AAAAATTCGTAATTACTACAATTGTAATAGTGATTTAGAACCTTTTCGTTCGTATAATTTTCAACAAAAATTATTATTATTGTATCTATTCAATGAGTTTCACTCATCTGTTATTCAATCAGCGATAATATTTGTGATTTTTGTTGGCTTTAACTGATTGATTTTGGCGCAATTATTGTCTATTGTCTTTACCTAGACGATACAGACATTTGACTTATCCTAAGATCTTAACAGTGTTTGGGAGACTCAATCGTCCAATGTTTCCGAGAAGAATCAACCCGTATAATATAAATCATATTATATTAGGTAACTATATTACATATATATATATATATATATATATGTTACGGTTTTAATGTTGTGAAATCGGTTTATGTCGTTATTTAGTTAATATGTATTTTTTGTATACGAAAAATGATTTTGCACTCTTGAATTTAAAATTAAAGTGTATAAGCCTGTTATCAAAATTAAAGGTAAGAACATATTGTCTGTTTTTGTACGCCGGTCTTTTTCGATATTTAAATATTCAAGCGAGTTACGGTTACGTGAAACATTACATACTAAAATAGCGGAAAAAAACCAAAGTACAAACACAAACAATGTCCTTAACTTGATCATATAGACCTGCAATACACTATAATATTAAAACTAAAAGCACAATATCGGCTAAAGCATAAAATATATAACGGCATTAACCGTAATATATACACGCGTATAAATTAACCTATATTGTAATATACTCGTATAATACATATTAATATCATCGCCGTAGCTGTACAATAATAATTCACTTTAAACATAATATACATTATCTCTCATTAGTATTGTATAATGTTTTGCATACGGCCACCGCGACTCCTGGAGTAACCTATTACAATATACCGCTGTTATATGTAGCAGTGTCATATTATAAGAGGTAATCGGCGCGAAAATTAGTAATAGCAATAAAATAAATATGAAAGAGAGAGAGAAATGTAAAAACTCTCACACAATCGCATATGTGTATTATATACATAATAATACCCAATGTATGTTCGTATGTTCGACGACGATTGCGAAACTAGAGCAGATATTGATTCTTTCAGCGGCATTGCCGGGCGTATTGCCAAACGGTCGGAACGGACCCTGCGGCCACAATAGTGGAAAAAAAAAAAAAATATAAAAAATAAAATAAAAATATGATAATAATAACAACACCGGGTCGCCGACGCCGGGGTCTTAACACACCGCGCGGCAACTGCTTGGGCCGCCGCCGCCGCCGCTGCTTGCTGCTAGCCACTGGCTGTTGCGGCGCAACTACAACAGCAGTCTCGTTTGGACCATTTAAAGGAGAGCCGGTTATTATAATAATAATAATCGAGAATATATTATATACGTGTATACCGGCACGTATAATATTATTACGATTATTACGATTATCATTATCATTATCATTATATACATGTGTACGAGCACACTCGGACAAATTGATTGTTATCGCGGCGGGTAGGTATATAGGAGCCGGTGTATAATATACTCTCGTTTGTTCGCGGCTCATTGTACACCCGGGCACTTTCGCCGTCGTCGTCCGCATACGTATAGTTTAAGTACAGTTGCGTAAGTTGCCGGGCGCATAAATCAACAAGTTTCCCCCCTCCCCTCTACCCCGTCCGTCGTTAAATAATATAATATATATATATATTTTTTTTTTTACACGCGCGCACACATAATACCGCGCGCAGTTCCTCGCCGAGTGACATTTCTGGAACGTAACCTAGTAGTGTTGCCGGTACACTAGCCCAAACGCCGCGGCTCCAGTGTTATCTCTCGCGGATACCTTCACGGCAAACCCGTGTCGAGTTTGCCGCGCAATCCGCACACGCGTCTGCGGTCCGGGGGACATATTATAATACTGTAATCGCTAAATTCCGTGCGATACAATGAAATACGCTTGTTGCTCACGCAAAAAAAAACACTAACCGAGTATAATATTATAAATTACGATCAAGTTATAAATAAAACCGCGATAACGTTATCAGTATGTACTATTTATAAATGATGGGGAAATAAAACGATTTCAAGAAGTCCGCGATGTAGAAATAATAACAATTACGCCTTACTTAAAATAATTACTCAAGACGGAATTTGAAGATAAAATCACTTATTTTCTTCACTGCGTTTCATTATTGCATATAACACGAACGTTAAAATAATAAAACTTGATACCCGCGTTTACATTATATAGGTCCAACTACGGGTGACTACATAGAAAAAAATGCATATTTTAGAATTAAAATTGTTTGAGTAGAAATTTTATTAGGTAGTCATAAAATTGTAAGAGTTTAAAAAAAAAAAATTTAAGTAGAAAAAAATTGTAATGATTTTAACGTGATCTGGTAACGTGACATTACGATGTATTATACGAGCTTATAACATTAAAATTAATTGAAAGTCAGATTTAATTGAACAATCGTAATTTATACATCTAATGGAATGTAAGGGGGGGGGTGTAGATCCGACTAATTAATTTTAACTTTACTTTAAAAAAGGTAATGTGAATAATTGGGAAAATATATTGGTCGTATATACATAAAGCTTAAGAATCGCTACTTTTAAGTACAACTGCAGCTTGTGGCGTGGCGAAGCATGAGTATTGTTTTGAAGATTCATAATATAATATAGACATGATTGTCACGACGAAGCAATCACCCAGCAGCAATTTTTTTCATTCATTGACTTAAGGACATTTATCCAAGTGGATAATAATGAAATAAATTATAGGGGGGGGGAATAAGTATTTTATTAAGGAAGTCATCAGTCGGGTGGGTACTAAAATATATGTTGTGCACCGCTGTTCAGTGTTCATAAATGTTCACCACGCCACTGACTGCAACAATACGACGACGCGACGGTGCTAAAAAATAGTAACACGCGCAGAGGTGATATCTGTGATAGATATGACAAAATTCTACATCGACTATAATAAAATTAAACGAAATTGGATCGCTCAAAATGATTATCGGGATTTGTTTTGCTTATTTATTAAAAAAAAAAAAAAACGAATACCACCGTATTATTTATTCGACCTAATTTTCGACCTACGCGCGACATAAACGTGTTCATGATGCAAAAAATCTTTGTATAGGTACGCAAGTTATAATTTATTATAATATTACATAAACATTATTGTAATATGAAAGTCTCCACGTTTAGACGTGAGAAACAAACAAAAATATAAAAACGTGAACTGCATTTCGAATATTTTGAGAATATAATGCTATTATTACTATCATCATTTCATAACCCAGAAAATTCAAATTTTTACAATTACGATTTGAAATCGTTTAAACAATAGAAATCAAAATTATTACACAATTACTGACGATCGGTATACATGTATAGTTGTAAACAACAGTGATACTTATGATATTTTACTTAAATCCAGACTCTAATATTTAATTCCAATTATTATAATATAAAACTGCGGTCGTTTTTATTGTACGTTTTTTTTCTTTTTTAAATATAGAATAATAATTGCTTACCCCCAGGAGTGACGCGTTAAACGACGCGCATTCGATCCCAACGAGACGAGGCGTTATTCTAAACGATTTAAAAACAAACTAAAAAATAAAATGAAAAATATTTGTGTTTCATGAATACATTGAAATATAATATTTTCCCATATTTAATTTCTACAGGTAATAGGTTCGTGTATGTTGTAAACATATGATACCCAACCAGTAACTATAGCAACCGTCGTCCTACGTGATTACATCTCGATTATGTCACAACTATTATAATAGTCGAGTAGGCATACCTGCCTATCGTGCTATATTCGATTAGATATACTCCCAGGGATACCTAATAGTTTAATCCAATAAAATACAATAAACGTCACACTTACTGCAATATACCCATATTATACGTAGGTATATAACGTTACAAAATGAAATTTAGGATGTACCAAATAGAGCTGAGGATAAAATGTCGGTCATAATTTATAATGGTAATAGCCGTTCTTATATTTACATACTATTATATAGATACAACGAATATTTCCTGCTGGAATATTTATAGGTAAGGTTCAATGATAGTTTAATATTATTATTATACTTCGGACGATGACGGTTATTCACCTATAAAGTACCTATCTTTAAGCATCTTTTATCGATAGGTACGACACCTATTACAAATATTATATACTATTATAAAACACGCACATTAAAATAGTGGATCATCATCATCATCTATTTAGCTATTCCATCAGCTAGTTTAATGCTCATAGATTTTACCTACACAAATACACAATACATAGCAATAATCTGATGATAATGTATCTAGTACCGGTACCTATAATAAAACGATAACGGTTAAAATATTGTCAGAGACACAATAATAAATTATGTACGTATTACTATGAGACGATAATAGACGATAATATTCAACATTTACAAGAAAATATATTTTTCGTTAATTTTTTTTCTAAAATATTTTTTATTGATTTGAAATAATCAAATACCTACGTAATTAAGTTTTTAAACATCGCAATATTAAAAAAACAAAATAAACTGAATATCGTTTTAAATATCTTTATGATCTTTAAACGGAGCATAATAAATGTATTGCGTTCGGTAAATGTTTACGATGTGATGTCCCGCGTGTCGTTCCCGTTGTAAAACACAAAAACTTCGTGACCGTTTTTTTTCGTTTGTTTATTTGATAAAATAGGTCATGTCATATTTATACAAAAAAAAAAAAGATCTATATACAGGACTGCTTTAAATGCGTTTTACATTATACAACTTGTGTCCTCCCGTCTTATGAAACTTAATTTGTTTAAACATATTACAAATACTTATAACGTATGTATAGATACCTAATGGTTGCCTATATACCTTTATACAGTTGTTCTGTATAATAAAGGACTAGACGGTATCCTTGTCGCCCGCATGAATAATCGTATATATATGTATTATACTTAACAATATTGCATAACATTTTACGTAAAAAAGGATGTCGTGCACGTTTTTACGATTCTAAAAGATCTTTTGAATTCGAAAATTATACTCTATATATTGTAGGTACATACCTGCAACAAAAAAAAAAAAATCAAATATATATGAGTGAGTACATTTTAGTGTTATTGTGTTACTAATGTAATAAGTATTACAATATATTATAATATAATGTCATCGGAGCGTCTCTAAACGCGAGAGGGGAAAAAAACCACTGACGATATATTATACGGGGTTCTCGGTTTTCGAATACACACTGCAGTATACAATACTACCATTATAAAGTGGCGGAGGTGGCGGCGGCGAAATACAACATGAAAAAGGCAGTAGAAATGCGGTTTGGTACCGCGACGATCAAAGACCTCCCAAACGAGCATTATGTCCGCACATATATATCAACGAGTACGATGGATAAAAATAAAGTCCCTAATTTGAATCACCCCTAGTAAAATATTTATGATCGGACACGTCGTCGGCGTGATGTTAAAACTGGCGTATAGTTGACCTTTTTTTTTTTTTGCTCTTTGTCACATAAAAGAGTATACATCAGGTAACCCAAACGTCTAGTCTCTTCACCCAAAACATTTGACGTTTTGAACGAACATAACGTTTTATTAGTTTATTATTCTCAACTTTTACGATGGTTAGCTATATAAATCGAATTCGAAAATGTGCCTATTTCACAATATATTAATATTATTGCATGTATTGTACAAAATACACATTAGGTAACAACATGTTATCAATATCTAAAATAAAATATTGTATTTTTAAATATTTAAAAGTTGTCAGGGCCGAATTTTTTTTTCATTTAAAATAATACAGTAATTCTTTTTGACTTCGTAAATTATATAATATATATCGTACATCTAGACAAATAAAATATTACAAGTGAAGTTATATATTTATGAGCGTATAGAGTACAGGTAAAAATCCACAACTTTTTAGATACAACCTGAATAATTTGGATCAATTTCATTCGTCGAAAATATGTTTTCCGATAAACAAAACATCTTATAGTAAAACACTGGTTTTAGTACCTTCTCCGCTATACTGAAAATGTCTTACTGCACAAAAGAACTACTCACAGGATATACATGGTAATTTAGATTATATACTATATATAACGATAAATCATTGTAAGCGAAAAACAATTCTACAAAGCGATGTAATATTAGACATATTTTTCTTTTGTTGGGGTATCCAGAAATAAAAAATAAATATAAATACAAAAAGGACCTGCTAAAAATTCAAGTTAAGTATCAATGGGAAGAAATTGCACATCACGAGGTACTAAGTGAAAAAGTTAAAGCATTTTCATTTAATGTGCTTTCAATGAAATAAAAACCAATTTTTCGGGAAAAGTTTTAGAAAGTTCAAAAAATTCATAATGTAAAATGCTATTAGGTGAAAAATTAGAATTTTTTTATATCTAACATGAAATCAATTAAGCATAGTTATTAACCGAAAGTCTTTTTCGAAAATAAAAATTACACCTCTAAGTAAAAACGAATAGCTTCTTCGCTACATTCAAAATCTAAAAATATAACGGATTATTATTCGAGGAAAATAATGAGAACATAATAATGTAAGATTATCGTAATTAAATAATTATATATGTATATTAACGAATGTATTTTTAAACATAAAAATCATGTCATGGTATTATTATTTATTCGTATTTTTTTTAAATATACACATTATATAGAATATAGTTTAATTGTTTGAAATAATATAATAATACAATACTCAAGTATAAAATATAATAGTATTCGTGTATTTTCAAGTGGAACAATAAAAAAAAACTATAAAACTATATGAATACTAAAATATACAATTCGGGCCCGGATATCTATTTCATATTATATTATATGTTAATAAAGACATCCTGATTTGAAATGAAGGCTGTATCCGCCATTTTTTTTTTTTTATCCCAAAGAATACATTAATTATTTTTATAACAAAGCGAATATAAATCTTTATAGTATGAGGTATACACCTATCTAATATACAAAATATAATTTCACTCGACATGTATGATTTATTTATGACACCGAAATTCATTTTGAAATATTCAAAATATACTACAGTAAAACTTCCATAAAACGGTCAACGAAAGGACCAGAAATAATGACCGCTATTTAGAGATGACAGTCCTTTAGAGGTTTCCTATGGAAGCATAACACTTGACATATCCAAAAGAAAACCGTTTCACAGAGATGATCGTCTTTTAGAGGTGACTGTAACGGAAGTTTAACTGTATCTGTATAATTGAGTTCACGTTTCGTGTTAACGTATCTTAGGAAAAAAATTTAAAAAATGTTAAAAGAAATTTTGTACGCGACTTTACTGTCTCAAACCAACATTATTTTTCTCCGACAAAAACGTAAAAAGAAATACGTAATAGGAAAGCTCACTCAAAGAACGTGCAACATTCCCGTTTACTTATCGTATTTTTTTAAACAATGAAGTATAATTCCACGCAAAATTTTTAAAGAACTTTGTAACCTAGTACACTATGCTTATGTTTTTTTTTTTTAAAATTCTTAATGTGATTGTTTTTAGGTACCTATTATCTCAATTACTACTACTACTAATAATAATATTACGAATAGTCAACGACAGTAACCATGTGTTCTTAACGTACGAGTAGAATCCTAAAAAACAAAACATCTAGTAACATTAATAGTTAATTCGCTTTAATCAGAATGATTTAAAAACGAACACAATAAAATATAAATCTTAATAATACGCAATTGAAGAAAATTTAAAATTCAAATTTTAAAAATTATCTGTAAGATCAACCCAAAAATAAAATTATTGAGAAATTTGAAAAGTATCGCATTCTTTCAAATATTAAATATTCAATATTTATCAATTATAAAAAAAATCTTGAGTCAAATTTTTTAGAATGTTTGCTGATCAAAAAGTTTCATCGTTAAGATGAATAAAACCACTGCAATATTGGTTGAGTAAAACTATAAAAGCTTAAAATCTAAATCAATAATTATCCCCTTATCGCTTGACCTAACTCATATAACACGAGTTTAAGATGTTTAATAATTCAAAATAAGTATCGGAAGAGCACTGGGCGTACTTTTATGCACATCAAATACAAATTCAGAATTAGTAATGATTTGTTTAGATTTTGTAAAAATAAGTCATCCGTATGTGGAACTGATTGTATTTTCTATTTCACTTCTAAAACGAAATTCGTATTCACATAACAGAATACAATTACTGTATACTCATGTAAATGTGTATGAATGTGTGTGTGTGGGTGAGTGTGTGTGTGTATACATATATACATATATTACAGAACCCGAGGTGAAATCGGGACGACGCGACAAGGGAACGAGACTGGGTATAAATTGTTTTCCAGTCGGGAACACCACGCGCACATTATTAAACATTAAAGAGGGAACGCGAAACATAAAAACTAGTAATTCCAATACACGAGACTACTGTAATACAGAAGTATAGTAATCGCCAGGAGAGACGAGTCCCGAGGGTTGTGTACGAGATGTGTCACTATAAAGGTACGTGATTTCACGAGACTTTAGTGGGAAATAAAAAAGGACAAAATATCTCATTACCCGCGCTACCCGTCACTACATATACGATCCAGTGCAAATTTCGTATACACAACACCAACCGGAATATAATTGCCAAATTGTTATTGTAGAAACGACAATTTTGACCTTTTTATACGCGTATTTTTTTTGTATGTTAAATATCAAGCTTGGAAAAAAAAAGCTTAAACATAAATTAGGTAATATATTTTATACGTTGGTACATCCAATACAATGCTCGAAATTAAAACCTTTGTACGTATCGTTTTTACCCGACTGCCGAAGGAGGGCCATGAGTTTTGTAAAAATCTGTGTATGTGTGAATGTGTACGTATGTGATTCTTACCTCGTAGATCACAAACAGCAAAACTTAATTTAATAAATGAGGTGTAGTTCAATCCGTATTAATCGCTAACGTATCTTAAGCCCTAACCTTGGTATCGTCTTAAACAAATTAATAGAGGCTAAAATAATAAAAAGAAACCCAACTGCGTACAAACGAAAAAATTCAAAAAACACGACTGTGACGAAAGTGAATAAAAAAGATATAAAAATAATATGATAAAAAAAAACAAATTGTGATAGAAAAAAAAAATGTGGTGGAAAGAAAAGACGGACTGATGCCTCTGACTGCAAGTTATCATTCAAGCTTAGGTATCACTGTATAATCAATCCGCGATTACATTTTCTATCATATTTTATTAATATAGTTCCATGACATTTAATTTTTCAAATTCATATTAGTTCTATAGAAACAAAAACAAATATACATTTTTTTCGTTTTCTCCGCAGTCGGTTTTTTAAATTTTTTTTTTTTATTAATTCTTTTTTTTTTAATTTATGATTGTGTACGGTACATAATAAAGTTATCGTTTGTAAATCATTTTTAGTTTTTAAGAGGCTATAACTTATACTATTTATATAGGTAGTACATTTGTATATACGTATTTCTGCTCGATATACAGTAAGTAATTTGTATACGAATGTTAAATCCGGACATTACTAATAGTATACATTTTGTACATTCGAGCTAGTCACGATTTCGTTACAATGTCAAAATACAAATAACACGAGGTATTTATTTAATAATATTCTCATTCAATATTATAAAATACGCACGTAATTCATAAATCAGAATATTATACAAATATACGAGTACGATGACTATATGAAAAATTAATTATGTAAATATTCGATATTGACTCAAGTCGAGTACATCTACCAAACGCTGAACTGTGTTGAACAAATAAAACAAACAATAATACACAAATAAAAATTGGATTTTATCAAATATATTTTAGATACAGAGTAAAGCGATGTAACTATTAGTTTTACTAAGAAGTGAGTGTGTGTGTGTGTGTGTGTTTTACAAAGAACACTTTTTAAGATAGTAAAAATAAACCAACCTTTTCATGTCATGTCTTCAAAAATAAGGATTTTTTAACAGATGCTACTTTATTTGAACATTTTTCGAAATTTTCCAAAAATTGGGTATTTATGATTTTTTTAGTAAGTAAAATGATTACATTTTTTCACGCAGTATTTTAAAATATGTCAAATTTTCACCTAGTGATACGATACTTAAAAAACTATTTAATATTTTTAACATTTCACTCACTGCGTCATTTTTTTTAAATTTTTTTTCTCTTGGAGAACATTTTTTTAGGGAAATACAAATGCACTAAATTATTCGCGTCGTACGTAAAAATAAATGCGAATTTTTACTCGGTGATACTTCATTTTTAAAATAACTTTTAGTTTCTTAACAGTTTTACTATACAAATACAATTTAAAAAACGAACAAAAAATGACAATACATCGGTAATATAATGGTTAATGTCTCTTTTACCTTGGTTAAAATGAGAAAAAATACGACTAATATTAATCTACTCAAAATCGTTTTTCTGTTTCAATTATCGCAATGATGAATTTGAAATAATTGAACATGATGTCAATGGGAAAGATGGGGTAATTACTACTACAGTGGAATACTATACATAATATACAAATAATACTATAATATTATGTGAACGCACAATCGATTACCTAGACACCACAGGCATATATTACAGAGTACACGGTAAAAGTAAAATAAATAAACACCGTTGACGAGAATGGCACAACGAGATTGGCATAAAAATCACGCTCGTTAATATTATTCCGTTGACAATGAATTATTATTACTATACACTACATGTTTAAAATTTAATCGCAGCAAAATATTATAATTTTTTCGGTTTTAAATGAATAAAATATATATTGCCTATATCGAGAAATAATAAAATTCAAATTAACATCATAAACGCATAATTCTGTTTAAGATTACAATAATACTAAATTTACGAATACTAAACGAAATTCGTAAAAGAAATCCATTATAATTAGAAAGCATAGAAATTATGAATTATTATGTTGCCATTGTAAAAAAATTAAAAGGAAAAATTAGGAATGCAATTATTTGCTCTAATATTTTTAATGTTTATAATAAATTATAAGTACTTACATAATATGTAATATATTAAATACTAAAAAAACCTTTAAAATAGTTTCCTATAATTTATATTTTAACATAATTAATGTTCAATAATATTTACAATACAATTTAAGTCATTTTTTTTGTTTTATATGTTTGGTAACTAATGAATTACCATAAAATAACTTAAAATCTCTAATTCAAATTAAATATATCGCAGTCAAATATTTTTTTATAAGGTAACACTGCTAATATGTTGGCTTGTCTTGTAGGTGGGTAGTTAACAAGGTAGGATACGTAGAATCCATAGAGTTATTTAATTTATATCAGTACGCAATAGTAAATCATTACTAATAAAATACGATTCTGAGCGAAATTCGATTATACCTCCATGTTTTTATATGACGTAATTTTTACTATTTTCGTCAAAATTTTAATTCAATGATAAATACATCCCTCCTTTTGCAACAATACTGTGATGAATTTATATTGAAATTCAACCGAAATTATATCGTTTCAATCCGTTGTTTCAAACAACTTTTATTCCCTGAAGTAGCCGGAAAAAGATATATAATATTATGTATTACAACAGTACAGTAATATCTATTTTTGAGGGAAATTCAATAATAATAATAATACAATTTTTGTATAGATTGATTATAAAAACAGTAAAGGTGAATTCGAATGAATTGGGAAATCATACATTATAAATTATATTTCGTCCCATTATCGACCCCATATCTACAATGTGTTATTTTGATGAAGTCGGTATATCTATATACTATATTGAGTACGCAAGACGTATCGTGGCAAAATGTATCGCTACACAAGATTTATGTTGTTTCTCATCAATAAAGATTTACCGCGACGACGACGTTCCGTTGAACCCAATTATGTTTTCAGCGCCGCGGACTGCCGGCCGCGAACCGTTTGTTTATCGCGATCTAAACGCCTTTTGTCCACCGAGCATATAATAATATATATATATGAAAGGTATAAACTAAAGGTTCGAACAATACAAATGAAGAGGTGACGTGAAGAAATAGGAGTGGAGGGTAGTTTCTGTAACAAAAACAACACCGCTGCGACAGTCGTGAATTTCGAAGACAAGTGGAATCCACCGCTCTGTGACGGGGGAAAAAAATAAGCCGGGTGTAAAAAAACCTACGGGGGTCGACACCCGAAAAGACAAATCGGTTCGAATAAGCTATAGCTGTATAGCTAAGAGCAAAAAAAAATTATGATTTAAGACCGTTAATGTCAATCGCTAATAGTAGTACAGTGTATTATTTTGCCGGCCAGACGCGTCTAACAATATATATATATATTAAAAAAAGAAACCGCATTCGATCGTCGTCGCCGTTGCCGCCGCCGCAGAGTTAATGGTGAAATACTGTAGGGAGAAGTACAAGAACAGATAAATACACGAGCCTTAAGAATAATAAGAAATGACATCAGAACTCTAAAAATAATATTACAAACGAAACGAAGATTTTCCATTCGAAGCACGTGGAATGAATAGGAGGACTTTAATTTGTCGGAAAGTATTTTTTCGCAACTAAATTTTGTCAAAACCGTATTTTTTTTGGAAAAATAATTCGTTTAACATTTTTTTTTGAAACCGTATTTTGTTGGAAAAATAAATTCATCGGAAAGTATTTTGTCGGAGCTGATCAATATAATTTCATTATAAGCATTCCGTGACTGCAAGTTATCGTCATTGTGTAAAAATTATTTTCTGACAATATATTTTCCGACAAAATACTATCCGACGAATTCTTTTTCCAACAAAATACAGTTTTAACAAAGTACGTTTCCAACAAAATACGGTTCCTATAAAATATTTTTCCGAAAAAATACGGTTCCGATAAAATATTTTCCAATATTTTACGCACCCCCGAATGAATATAACAAATACTAATACTTCAATGTATGAGTAGGTACACGACTTTGAATAATGCTTGCGAACAACCCGACATACCGCGATTTTGATAATCGTTTCTTAACACGAAAAATATATTGCAATCGGATGCCCCTGGAGTGTCTGTTTAATTTACGTACAGATAATAATATTATATACCTACTCGGTCCGTTCAGTTCATAAATAACCCGACATCCGATGACGTCTCGCAGGCGGGAATTCTTGCCGTTCTCGATTTTCTGTTTCGATCTTTTTTTATTTTCCATAGATCTCGGCTCTCGGTATTACAAAGAAGGAGAGTACACAAGAAGAATATAGGTATAAAAACGAAGTACGTCGAATACTTCGAGTAACCCGATAACTGCAGCAGGCCGACTACAATACAGTTGTAAATCTCTGTACATGATAAATAGTATATTTTTTACTCCTCTCCGTTGGGCTATAATAATATAATATGACCTCAGTCGAAGGAAAACCTATATCATTGTATGTTTTTCGAAAAAATCCGGTGAAATATTAATTTTTCAATCCAGTAAAATATATTTAATACAATAAAACGGCAAAAAATCAAAGAATTATAAAAAAAAAACACGAATATTTTTCACTCGATTATAAATATATTTCACCGATAAACAAGGCTGCTGATGATTAAATATTTAAATTACTTTTAATCAAATACAGATAATTTATTAATGAAACAATTCGCTATTAACATTTTCACTTGACTCAAGTATCATGTGGTAAGATATTTCTTTCCATACAACTTTAGCCCTATGGAAGAAGAGCTTAAATCAATTGTACATAGTTTGTGTATACAAGAAAATCAAATTTTGAAAATGCATTCACTTAAGCAATTTATACCAGAAAATAAAGCGGAAAAATTACATTAGAAAAAATTATAAAAAAAAATTACAATATGCATTTATTATTATGCACTATCACATATATTTTAATGAGATAATACGTAATATGAAAATGTTTTTCATTTATTAATCCGAATTTAACATCGAAATTATACTTTTAAATCTTTTAATATTGTAGAAAAAATAATTGTATAGAGAAAATTGAACTATACATTAAAATATATATATATATATAATTTTAGGTTTCCAAAAATAGAAAGAGCCCTCAAAGTTGTCTGCACCCCAGCATTATTGACTCAATCCACCTTTGGATACTGGTGTATCTAATAAATACAAACCGCAATTATATTTTCGTTCAATAAAAGTATTAAAACAGCGACGTAAACAACGACAACGATTAGTGATAAATAATATACTATCCAGTATGATTACCAATTCAAACGAACCAAACAAACCACGCGTGTGATGTTACGCGAAAATTAAACGTACCTATATCCGCTACTATATAAATAATTATAATTATTTATTGACTCTCATAACGATTTAACTTTCCCTTGTATATATTTTATCCACAAGCAGATATTTAACGAGAACAACGAATTATAATGAGAAGACATAATATGCAGTAGTACACCTATGTCTAATGAACTAAAATATTCGCACCATCATTCACCATATAGCCATATGAATCGAGATACGTACAACACTGCACCTATAGCTATATCATTTTATAACATCTAAAAAAAAAAATCCATTAAAATAACTGATAGGTAATTATTATATGAAAGGACTTGAGAAAATAATAATTTCACTGTAGGAATCACATTCCAAAAATACATTTAGAAATAAATTAACGACCTAAAAAATTAGGTTCAAGATACTGCAGTTCCATTTGCCGCCTCTGTCTAATGTCTTTCTAGCAGAATATACCTATAGAGAAAAGATGTATTTACGTAAAACAACGGAAAACCCTATAAAATCGGTTTCAGAGATAAAACACCAATTATATTATTGTGACAAAATGTATTAATTTTCTCATTTAAAAAAAAAAAAAAATATACGTTATTTCATCGGGATAAACTTTAAAATGTTTAGACAGTGAAACATTTTCTATTTCTGTGTTTGTAACGGACCAATGAAGCTAAAATACAATATTCACCTAAAACAAACTCTAAATTTGGTTTTAAAAATAAAACACCGATCATAAAATAATAGATAAATATAGATGCCATTTTGAACGCAACCTCGTTAGCATCTTTATTAACATATATCCGGGTAAAAAAATCGTATTTCACATTGTTGTGATCGACTATGACGTTTTAATAATTAATATTTCAACAAACGCCACCAACTTTGTTGCCTTTAAAATGCTATTATCCACACATTTTATCCCTAAAACCAATTTTAAATAACACGTGTTCACATTTGTTTTATGCAAACACGATTTTACTAAATTTCCCGTTAGAAGTATAGAAACGAAAAATTCACCTGTGGCAACGTTATGTTAAGTATGATTTTTTACGGTTTTTTTTTATTTTTATCGTGGTGCCTATATGACGTACGGTATGACTTATAATTATAAGTCATACCGTACGTCATATTATCCGGATATCTTTGGACACCGCGGGACCGTAAAACAGACTTCTGTCTACTGTAATAGGCGATTGCAGGCTTCAGTTTTTATGGTATTTTCATTATTGCGAAAACACTCGTTCATTAGCAATAAAGCTCTACGGTCAATACACGGGTATTTTCCGCGCCACGGAGAAGAGAACATTATAGAGAAATCACGAAACCCATAACGGATAATCACGAGCACAAAGCTTATTCGAACGCGTATACCCAGAATAGAGTCATAAACTTAAGAATTTCAATTGGTAAATTTCCCCTTCCCGTCAAATCTTTCGTCGAGTCGTCGATATAGGGGTACCTCAGCACACAAAATGACCTCCTGCTGCTAACTCGGATTCCACATGAAATACATGCGAATCGCGTTCCTTGCATTTCTGATACTTATATTGCAATATAACCGTCGGGTTGAAATTAAATTTCATAAATTATTGGTAAAATGTACAAATCATTATCAACGTTCTTATGAAGTATATACATACATACCATACGTTATATTTGCACGTAATTATTTTTGCATATTGTACTATACAAAATGTATTAATGCAATTTAAATTTATGTTAATTTAAAACAAATTTTAATATTTTAAATAACTATGTAAATTCAACACTTATCATTTTGAAGAATTCCCCCAAAAGTCACAAATAATATTGTAGTACATTCAACAGGTCATTTTATACGATAATTACGCATGTAACATTTTTTATTTCTAAGAAAATCTATTTCGCCTCAATTCGAACACAAATGGTTAAAAAAAAGTTTAAATTTCTGCCAGCTATTAATTTTATCATTTTCGACGGATATTGATCAATTTTAAATCATAAAATTCGCTTAAATAATAACTGTACGCTGCAGGCTCATATGTATTGATTTGGGGGAATTTAGACGAGTGTATTACACCTTAACTTATAGCACAATGACTGTACACCTTTTATATACTTGTATCTTACGAAAATATTTTACGTCATATCAATAGACGTTTACGTAGTTTTTTTTATGCCTACATACACACATGTATAAATATACACACACATTTATAACCCATTCGACACCGATGATTTAACGAAGAGGCCGCTGAAAAAAAACCCCATACATAGAGACGGCTCAATCGTACTTAGCGATTAAACGTCAAAACGGATCCGATTTCGCAGCGGGATACCCGCAAGTCCGGATTTAAGACTATTAGACATCACGTGAATTAATGATAGTTTGTTGTTGACGGTTATTTTTTATTATTATTATTATTCTATTTTATTTAAATAATATTAATATTTGTCGGTTACCGTTTGTTAAGTATTAGGTTACCGCCGCCAACATTCCGGTTTCTATATAATACAATATACAAGGTTATTGATGTCGCGCATCAGATGATCCTAGACAAAAGGTTCTGAGGAAATATATTTACGACAGTTATCATCCGCAATAATTAGGAATTAAATATTTGCAAATACTATCGTCTTGTGATATACTATCGAAACTACCATATAAGAGTTTGAACATTATGTAATTATAGTAATATTAATCTAGAATACTAAATATGTATTATGTATGTATAAAAAGCATAATGTATAACACTATTGATAGTTGTCGTGGTTGGTAGTGTTGTCGGTGAGAAATTGGGCAATTATAAGATACCTATTATTGGTTAGTATATTATATATGCTCAATGCAACGATAAATTAAAAAACGATTCAGAGCGAAGCTCGATAAACTGATAAGGTAAAAAATGTTTATTTTTTCTTGTAACTATCATGTATCGTCATTCGTCACCTTGGGTCTAACTAGTAGTACATTAAAAAGGTTATTTAACGATTTTCCATTTTTCATAATAATTAGAAAAACATATGAAAAATCGGACAAATACGGTATCACGACGTTAACAGAAATGCTTGAAAATTAAACACAACATTCATTATATAATGTTCTACTGAGTGGTAAAGAAAAAGTTATACGTAAAGAATTAGTTTTTTGATAATCATTTTACGATTAAATTTTGACGAAAATCGTTTGTGATTCACGAAAAACGTGAATAACCAAACTTCGCTCAGAATCATATTTAATTAGCAATGATTAATCATTACTGACAGATCAGATCGTTTTTAGAAAACCGTTTTGACATCTATATAGTTAAATGTTTCAAATAAAGTTCCGAATTCCAAAAATATCAAATTTCAAAAAAATGTCTGCATCTTTTAATAATTATAAAGGCACTAAGTGAACAAATTTAAACATTTTTACTAACCGAGAAAGTTTTTCAAAGAGAAAAAAACACATATTGGTCAAACTAATAGCATCTAATCCAGTATACTCAGTATCGAAAAATATATGATATAGATAATTGATGCACATACATATATATATTATATTATTATTAACCATTTATGAAATAATATATCATATATAATTAGTTTTATTGTAATAATATATATAATTTATTGTAATTAAATAAATATTAAACGCAAGGTATAATAATTAATAATAAAATAAGCTCATGTTCTCTAATCATAATGATGCAACGCTATTGTTTCCCCTGCAATAACCGTAAAAAAAAAAATATATATATATGTACAAAAAATACAAAAATAATAACACAATTTATTCGAATAATAAATCCAAAAAATAATCGTTGTCCTTAAAAATAATACACCATCAATTTACCTACACAAATAGAAGGAAACAAATTGAGTGAATATATATATGTATATATGATACGGTTCGTATAATGTATTATTCACCCGCACAGACAGTTTTCGTCTGATCTAACAACTGAATGGCAGTAGCCAATACGGTATATAATATAGGTACTTTAGAAGCGGTATTTTATATGCATTATGCATTAGATAGACTGCATCAATGCGATATATAATGACCAAAAGCAAAGTGATTTCCCGCGGAATTGAAGAGGAGGTGATATAAGCCGGTTGATTAAATCATATTGTCTATAGTAAGAGAGTCATGCAACATTATACGAGATGACCGGCAGCAAATAGTGCTGACACGACCAGAGATTTACACCCTTTGTAATCCGAGCCACCTTTAATGAAAATCGACCCTCAGCAATGCGGACCTTTGCAGATTGTTAGACAGCAGTATACTGCGCGTGTTGCAGGAGGATTATAGTGTTTCTCGCAACAGGATCCAACTATTATCGCTTATTTAATATACGTACATTCACACCGTTCGTGTTTATAATTATTGCATATTATTTTAAAACTAACACATATGCCAAATCCATTAAATCTGGATAGATGTAGATTTTTCAAACATTGACATTTTAACAGAGTTGTTTGAAATCACCAAAAAAATTAAAAAACGTTCACTTCGTAGGTATGGCTAATAAATCATCAAACAGAATAACTTCATGCGAATAAGCCCGAACTCCACGGGCGTCCAACATGAAAACAATATAAATAATAAAAGATAATGCGTGTGACATCAGTGCAGAACAATATTTATGGCGAAAAAGGCGGTGAAGTTATCGAAAAACAGGAATCTAACAATTCTAACAGAACTAATTAAGACACAAAATATCGACACGATAAGGGTATAAGAAATTCTTAGAAAAACCCCAATAAAACAGAAGCTGTTCGAAAAACCAAATGTTCAGTAATAAATTATACCAGGTGTAAAAGAAAATAATTGTCCCTATATTAGGTATATTGTATTTTATTTGATAAAAATCTATTATATGAGTATAATAAGTATATAATATATATATTATTTTAAAGGCAATAACGTATAATAAACTTAAGTATATAATATTTAGGGCCTTTGTTACAATTCCCCGCAAAATTTTAACTGTCAGTTAAACTAGGGTACAGTTTAGGCCTAAAGGATAGGTTTAAAGCGGTAAGACTTTAAGTTTGAAAACAATTTATTACTATTATATTATATTGCTATAGCATTAATATAAAATAATGCTGCACCGATTTTCATTAGATAATATTAAAATTAGCTTTTTTATATTAACCGAAAATGAGACAATTTTACTATAACACACATAATGTTACTCTATTGTATTAATTTCCTATTATCCAAGTTGCTTAGTACTAAATAAATTAACACGAACAAAAAGCACCTGCTATAGTTAAAGACAATATTTAGCAAATCAGGGCATTACAATAATGACATTTTAAAATCTGACAGCTAATTGTGTTAGTTAGTATAGGATTTAGCAACAAATCGTAACAATAATGGCCCCTTAATAAACTATAGTGCTGAATTTTATTAACTATTATAATTCGTAATATTGTAGTGTGAGATAGATCATGAAACTTACGAGCTAAATGTATAAACACGACTATGCAAACAGTTCTTGTTCGATGGCCAGAGAGATGGGGGGAAAGACAACGATTTATCTCTAGACGTAAAATATGACGTGCTTAAACTTCTATAACCATTGTTTATAGATTAATCTTTTATTTTATTTGGAATGCATTTTAAATTTAAATACATAACTTATATTTTAATATAGGAATATTATAATTATTTATTTGTTCAGGAATTTCCCATAACACTTTCAAAATAAATATTTTTTCAAGATTTCGCTGATCGTATCATTGCTCACGCAAAGCAAATTATTGCACGATATATTTTACGTATCTATAATTATTATTATTAACAATAAGCGTATACCTAAATATCGTGAATACTTAACCACAATAGAAATATTTTATATACCTATATACCTATACCTAATACACGAAAGCAACAATTTTTGATTCTTATTGATTTTACTATGATGTATTTTTGTAGTGTTTGTAAAAAACTGTTTTGTCAGAAATCTTGCTCCATATAAAAACTTTTTAAGAACTTTCTTGTAGCATCTTTTTTTAATTTAGTTGTTACATAGTCATTCATTAATTTCCCTTGTAATTTTCTTAATAAAAAGAGAAAACTGACAGTTATTTATACAATTTTTGTTGTTTTCTGGATTACCTTTGTAATGGGAGAAAACAATGAGACTAATAATATTCTGCTTAAAATCATTTTTGGTTAGCAATGGCCTATCGTTAAGTACAGATAAAAATCAAATTACTATATACATATACTCTCCCTTCCAACTTCCATCCTAAAACAGTAGCACATAGTTTTTTGTTAAAGAAAAATAATTAGGCACATATATAATAAATAATAGTAAACTTATCCATATTTACATTTTATATATATTTTTTTTGAATATTGGTGTTACAATATTACAACTTGGGTGAAAGGATAGTAAAAATATTTTGAAATAAGACTTAAACAACAATTGAGTAGGTAGTATATTTCTTATAAGTGACGATTATTCAAATGATAATTTTTGGATTTTATTATTTTAGTATCGGCCGTTTTTTTTTTTTCATTTTTACATTATCATGTCTTTATGACATAAAGAAACGATTATAACACGTAGTATTATTAGTATTATATAAGTATTATATGCGTATATATGAGTATATTATAATCGATAAAGCGCGCAATTATATTTATTTTTTTACAGCTGAAACACTAGGTATCTATATATTGCTATGTGTATTGTGCATTTAACTTGGGTTATGATAATGAAATATTATTTACATTTATATATTTATGTACTTTCACGTCGGGAAATAAGTAAACACACACTAACCGCAATATAGCTGGTGTGTACACACGCTTTGCCTACACTGACACCTAACAAGCACAAGTGTTACCGGGTATGCCTAAACAGATCACGCCCGGTGCCGCCTCGATCGGTCTTCTAGAGTAAAAAAAAACGTGCGCTATAATATTATACCGAGTACCTACATGCAATATTATAATATAGTCGCTACGGCGGTATTATAACAGTTCGCGCATTGTGTTTTTTTATCTTCTATAATATATATATATATATATATATATATATATATTCCAAAGACTCGACGACTGCAACGACGACATCGTAACGTGTGTTGACAGCCCGTCGCACGTCGCGACTGCAAGCAGCGGCACCGTCGGGCGACGTCGCGCAATAAAAAACAATAATAATATTTCCTTTACGCCCCGCGACGTCGTCGTCGCATAAAATTATCTCGTTGTCGTTTCCAAATCGTGTTCATGACCGTTTCCATCGTTCGAACATAAAGTACCTTTTTAGGCACAACAATAACATAAATATACTATAGTAATCGTTACAGTTTCCTGCTGCAGTATAATATTAGAAGGTCCGTTACGGATATCTAAATTCAAATTCAAAAAAATAACACACGACGTAAAAACGTATCGGCCCCCGAGTGCCACCGGTAATTTTGGAGATACGGTTAATAAACTGCCGCGTAAAATAATATTATAAAACGGGGAGGCGTCTGCAGCACTCGACAGCGTAATGGTTACTTCCTGTTATTGCTCGGTAAGAGACCCGATGGAAAACGACGATTTCGTGCGACATTCACACCCTCACCCTCACCCTCCCCTGTCCAAAAAAACAGTAATTTCCAAAGCGAATATATAACAACGAAATATTTTATCCACCACCTCCGTGTTCAAATGTAATAATATGCAAATAGTATTATTATACGAGTTGCAGCAAGGGTTGTCACTGTACTTTGTGTTGCAACGGAAATTAGCCTATTTCACGTGCTCTATAGTCGAGTCCCCTTTTTATCCGGTCCGATTATCATTTGATTATTATAAATATAGAAGACCGAATATTACCGAGCTCGGCACCGCGAGCAAGCCGGTCGAGCAATCTCTAATTGTATGACTAAATAGCGTTGTAAGTCCACGACCAAAAACGAATAGTAATCGGATTTTCGCTCGAAAACTATATTATTAGTTATATACACGTATAGTGTACTCGATCGTTTCAAAGGGCCGTCCCCTAACCGGCCTAACCGGTAAATGAACACGAATCAATTTCGTGAAAATACAATTTATCAAGAACTTATTACAACCAAACGAAAATTGCAGATGTATAAATTAAATATTTCCAATACACATAATAAGTAATAAAGTGAAAAGTAAATATACGTAAAGCGTCATCTTAGAATCTTTATATTTTTTGGTATAGTACCTAACAAAACTATAGTAATATTATATCTTTATCATTTTAGCATTATTACAGTAGATATATAGTTTAATGCCTGTTCTGTACGGGTATCCATGGTAACACAGATAAAAAAATGTATGCCACACTAGAACACTTTTAGTCTACTTTTTGACTACTCACTTTCCAACTACTTTTTTTCGTTCAATTTACCGATGCGGGCAAAGCAAAACGAGAATAAAGGTAAAAATAATTTTAAACATTGGCACGGGCAACGCCAGAAGCGGGACGGCTAGTAATAATAATACAAATAATAACAAACCTATAACAAATGAATTAGATTACATATTTTACGATATAATTTAAGCATGACTTCAACGTATACTTTCAAATGTATTCCCTAGATACGAGTTATAAAATATTATATCCATGTATAAATAAAAAATATGTGTGGAACAAATTTAATTAAAACTAACTCGCTAACAAAATATTATACCTTATAATAGAAAAAAAAATAAAAATAATAATTTATTAATGCGTATCGTAAAATAAAATATAGTATAGATTGTGCAATAAAATAAACACGGGTAACTACATAGGCGAGTGAGTCGATGCACACATTATTCATCATAAAATATATCGCACGCGTAAATTGTGTTTCGACGGCAAAACGGTTTGTTAAAAAAAAAATAATAATAAAAAAAATTCACACGATCAAACATGGCATAATTAATAGGTTTCGTATATTTTATAGAAAAAGAAGTTGGAATAAATTAGGGAATAATAATAATAAAAAAAAAAAACACGTTGGACACTCGCGGGCGGTCTTTGGTATACATACATATTATAATTTTTTCGGTTGTGTACACATTTTCCTTTTTTTTTTTTAGATTAAAATTTTAAAAAGTCATACATCAGTGTGTGAGGAACACGTACGCGTCTCATCACTACGGGGGGGCACCCGAAGGCGCCCCGTGACAAATGGCGACACACGATCACTTTATTGGACGATCTATTTATTAAAATAAAAATTTCCATGTATACAAAATTACATTGCCGTACATATAAATACTCGGAATAAATATATGATATAGGTACCTCTAAGACGACCATTATTAATAATAATTTTCAATTAACATTTTGCTCCGTGCAAACTTTTTTAACGATGGCTAGTATTTTTTATTTTTTTTTTTTTTACCGGCCAACACGATGTTCACTCAACCAATTAAGTGCAAATGGCAATCGTATAAATCATAAGCGACAATAACACAACGATGGGATTCTCGTAAATGTAGGTACCTACAGTGCAGCAGTATGTGCCATGGACACGGTATAACTTGCAGGGTAATAATTTATAAATAATTGTGTTAATTCGAATATTTAAGAAAAAAAATATAAATCTCACTAGAAACTTGTCCAGATATCCTAAAAAAAAAAAAACATTTCTATATCGAAAAAATACTCGAACAATATTTCGAAACTAACAGAAGATGAATTCCCCAAATAAACTACCTATAATAATTATGTTTATGATGCTACGTTATCAAACGGTATTCATAGTTTCAAGAGCGTGCTTTCGGGGTGGTTGTTTGAGGGTGTCATATCACTCCTTGACAACCCTTTTAATAACTTATTAATGCTTTATGAATTTCCTTTTATTAAATTGTCTTTTTTTGAGGATATTTAATTTTAATTTTGCTTGATGACAATATTCAGTGCAGAGCCATTCTAAAAATACTACTGCTAAGTTATACCCAGTACACAAGGATCGACATAAAAACTGCAGTTTTAACATTTGTAATTATACTCACGAATTTAAATTGCATATTATAATAATATTATTCATGGTATAATGTTACTGCAGTTTAACAATTTTTCTTTTATTATTTTTATAAACTTTATCTGTATTGTTTTAATTTTGATCTTCATGATGCAAATGCAAATGAATACATTTAAACTGTATATGCGCTCGATTTAAATAAAACAACATTAGCTTTTACATATTTGTCAGGAAAATAAATTATTTGATTTATACATTCACTGCATAACTATATATAACTGAGTATTGGAGCAAACCAAAAACGATTACTTAAATATTATTTACCAATACAGTTTAGTATTACAAATATACTCGTTTTCCAACTGTAGTATTTTTTTTTTTCAAATATACATTTATATAAATACCTATAAAAACCAATTATAATATCGATAGATTTTCAAACTTATTATTTGAGATGAAAATGTTTTTCTATTTAAAACATATAATATTATGAAGTAAGTATTTAAACGAATTGTTGATTTGTAATAGCGGTTTTTTTTTTTTTTTTTTTTTATTAAATTGATTATCTTCTCTTCGGGCAACACGAGAAATATAAGAAGTTTATTTTCGTCGATTTTTCTTATTGACTAAGTCTGTATGCACCATTTAATATGTTACAACAGCTCGTATCAAAGCATTTATTAAAATGTTTATTTAGATCTCTTATTGACAGACAGTGGCGCAACCAAAGGAAGAGAGTTACAACCCTCCCGAAAAATATTTTTACGTTTAATTATTAATTATACTTATATAATAGTTGCATAATGTGTGTTGCAATAACTACCATTACCTATATTATAACTTTAAATACGTATATGTTTTACTTCGCGCGCGTCCCCTATTTAGTAATTTAATATCCCGAAAACCATTACAGAAATTTGATGAAAGTTATTAACCCCCCCCCCCCCGAGATGAATCTTAGTTGCGCCACTGTTGATGTAGATTGTGGTCCTAACAATTCACTAAACCGAAGAAACATGTATTCATAACCAGGGGGCTATATTTACCTAATATTATTATGATGACTTAACGTTAAATTATATTATAAAGAAAATATTAAATTTATTTGGGAGTAAGGTTATTGTTTATCATAAATCTTTAAAGGATAAGATGAAAAAATATACTAAAGAAAAATAATAGATTTTACTTACACACCCGATCGAGAGTTAAATATTATTAAATTAACATACGAGGATGCTTTCCTAGATTTGAACGATAACCATATTAATTGTCGTAAACTGCATGGTATTATACTTTGTAGTAATAATATTAATAGTTTATTTATCCAGTAACTTTATTATTCTCTCAGGGCAGGTTGACAAATAACTATAGATACGGTAAAACGGTTCATATTATTTTATAGTTTTCATAAGAAATTAATTTTTATATACATCTCATATAAAATAAACGAACGAGACGTGTGTGTTTTTATTTTTAATTTCCAATTGACTGTGAAGTGGATTAATAACCGACCGCCAGTTATCTCGTATATACGATCTGAGGTTGTGGGCTATATAAACGTACGAGCTCGTATAATATCATCCAGTCGGTCATTTTTATACTCGTATAAAAACATAAACAGACACACGAGTATACGTATGGCTGTCCATAGCAAATAACTGAAAAAAAAAAAATTAAAGTATCGGGTTTCGGATACGTCAGTGTAATGGCGTGCGCGTCCCGCGTAAAAGAAAATTTCCCTAGTTTAACGTCAGATTCCGAAGTCTGATTGTCAAAATGATTAAGTACAACTAGCGAACGACCCTAACCGCGGTCACCAACATGATACGATACACACACATGGCAAACAGTGGTGTCTAATTGATTAAACCCGACTTGAGTCTCCTCGAAATATTCGTATTATTATCGAAATACAATTTTTACTACATCGCAAGACGATTATTAATAATAATATTAACATCATTATAAACTTATGACATTACGATAATCATGGACAAAAAATATAATACAAGACTGACTGGAACATAAACTAACTAACAAGTTTCTCGACATAATAATGATCGTATATGGTACATCCATCAACTTTTGTTGTACTTACCTATATAAAATCGAAAAGGTTGAAGTTTATCACGTGAAAAATCAACAGATATATTCAAAAATGTCCTTGAATCGTACAGTTTTCAGAAAGTGTTTAGAATAGATTTATTATAATACATATTATATCGTGTAAACACAATAAGCCTTATTGAATAAGGGGAAAAAACTAGCCAATATTTTATGTTGATTGATGCAATAATAACAATATCATGTAGCTTTTGTTTCCGTAAAATAATTTTGAAAAACAACTTGAAAAATAGTTCGTATTGTATAAATTTATCGCTAATACAGTGATTCCGGACCATTTCCAGTCTATTATCTACAAATGGGATTAGATATTATCAAATACCCGTCCCCCTAAAAAAAAAAATAAGTTTAGTTTAAAACCCAAAAACATTAATAATATTTTTGATCGGTAACACCGGTCAATACTGGCAATATTGCGAACCATTGAATATTAATATCATTTGTATTAATGAGATATCTGCCATTATATCCGATTGTCCATTATGAAGGAATTTCCGACTATACAGGTTGTCGATGGACGAACGTTGTAACAAAAATAATTCTAAGAAATTTAAAATAAACACAAGCAAAGGTTTAAAAGCAAATTTTATCTAATCGGCACATGTTATATTTCTCGATTTTCTTTATATTATTCTTAATATTTGGGAAAAAAAATTTGGGCGTAGTGTAGTTGCTCCATCTTGAAGCTCTTTGAATTTTATGTTTTAACGAAAATCTTAGAAATTATACTTAACCGAATTTCGTTTAGAATAGTGTTTCACTAGCAATAATTTATCATCATCACTTACAGGTATAAATTAATTAACTCTATTTATTCTACTTTCCTAACTTTCAAACTACAAGAGTCGCACACCTATCAGACATCAAAAGTATCAGTTCTTTTATTTTTCGCATTAAATTTCGGGCCCGTCATCAACTTATATTTTGGTTTCGATGAAAAAAGTTAAAAACATAAATTATAAGTACTCGGTTTTTTTTTTTTTTTGTATTGGGTACTCCTATATTTCTCGTCACGTATAAAATATTATTATTTTAAATTTAATTCAGCTTGGGTGGAAAAAAGTACCTACCTCGTGATTGAACACGGTAAAATAATAAAAGTAAACGATTGAACACGAGAAAGCGGCGCGCAGCGACACAGAGGTTTACCGTTACCACGGACTAGACGCGAAAATGTGATCTCGTCGCGAATGATAATAATATTATTATATTATTATTATTACGGTACACCGATAAATCAACGGTCCGATGACAGATCAATTAAACAGAAGTAACTAATTGTAATTTAGATCCGCGGCCGCCGCCAACCTGTCTGTCGCACGGAAAAATAGACATGTGATAATACGAAACGGAAAAAAAAAAATCAAAAACAAAAACAAAAAACAATATGCCTTCGCCAAACGAGTTTCTCTACATCAAAGATCTTCAAACCACATACCTACCTACCTACCCATATACATATATATATATATTTACTGATATAGTGGTGGAAAATAGCAAAAAAAAAAAATCAAATTGCAGTGTAGGCTATATAGCCTATATATAACTACATTACCGCAGGACAGTACATCCATAAATCAGATACGTGAGAGTAAACGATCAAAGCCATATATTTTTTTAAATCACGATCAACTGCCCGCAATTCTCCCGTTTCAATATTCAATGTCGACCAAAAAGTTACGACCGCGGATCATAACTGTATACGATATGTGCACATATTACACGAATAACCTAACCAAACAGCACCGGGTTTAATACAAATATTATACATTTAAAAAAAAAAAAAACAACTAATAAGAACAGCAGAGCTCTATCAATAAAATACGATTTTCCTCCAGCCGACTGGTTGCCGTTACACAATATTTCATTACTTTGATAAGTATACATGGGGTATTTAAAACCTGGTATTTCCCGTGAATACATAACATTATTTGAGCATACAAATAGTTGGAGAGGAGATCGAAAGTTGAAACCCCTAAAAGATACAGCCTTGATACTTATACCATGCATACACAAATTGTATCCCCCTGGCTTCATTTGGTGGATCTATATGGATGTACAAATTTAGAAAACACCCTCCTTCCACAACAACATAGTAAAATTCATATTGAAGATCAACTAATCATTTATAACTTTAAACCACCTATAAAAAAATCTGAAAATTCTTATTTTAAATTCAATTAGTCTAAAATAAGCCACTAAATGTATCCACAAGTAGGGAACAATCGACAATAACGTACGATTTCTATAACAGTAAATCAATAATTTAATGTTTTAAAAATACGGTTATTTGAATGTAATACACTAATACGATAATTTCAGAACAAATATTATAATAAGGAGCACACTAAATGTCTTAGTTATATTCCGTTCAGTTCAGTTTTTTATTCTATCGTACACCGATTTTTGTCATCTATTAATAAAATTGACTAAAGACGAACAATGTCAAAACACGTATTTAAGCAACTGAACGAAAAATACTGATTTAACGTCAAAATTCTTGACTAATCCGTCACATTCGGAATACGACAGAACTGAACTAAATGATTCCAGTGTATTCGCTCCCAATAAGAATAATACATTTAAAAATTACATCGCTAACATAATCAGTCTATATGTTATATTATATCAAACTATATGTATTATTAAAAACTAATTTTAAACATTTACGTGGGTGGGTATAGATATTACGAGATATATTTTGATATACTTTTCCATATGATGTAATTTTAAAAATTATTGCTATTTCGGTAGGTAATTTCCTTCAAAACTGCAGTACTATTATATAAAGCCCTTTCTAGACATTGTTATGGATAATGTAACCTTAAATATAGGGTTAAAATATAATCGAATCGTATTTTTTTTTCCGAGGGATACCTACCTTGTTATAACGCGATTAATATCCCAATATACGAAGCTAATTGTAGGTTTAGGTGCACAATAATAATAATAACAAAAAGATGTGGATTTATGGAGCCGCGGGCTTAGAAACATATATACCTAAAAAGAGGCGCCTGGCACATGTTGTTTACTGCTGCTGGGTGATGGAAAGGTGGTTTATGTATTTATGACCGCAATATTGCTATATAATATAATGGAGAAAATCATATTAAAAAGAAAAAATAAGGTAATAATGTAATAAAACGTACACGAAATTGTACCGTCGTCGCCCTATAGCAGCTGTCGCGCGAGAATCACCACTTCAAATTTTTGAATACTTCAATGTAAAAAAAGAATCTATAACCAATAACCACGATGGAAAAATGAAATAAAACTTTGTATACACTTTATCTACATTATACTATATCGAAGTATAAAAACGCAAAATCCGCAAACACGATGCGACAACTTTTAAATGCGCAGAATAAACAGTATTGTTGGTATCTGTATTTTTTTTTTTTAGTTCCTTGCATACATGAATGTGCGATGTGATATTATTTTATTTTACAATCGCCTATAATATAGGAGGCGAAAAAACGAAATATGATTAAAAATAAATTCCGTTAAAAAAGGAAATAAACCGCTTTTATATAAAACCGTATGTACCACCCGTTATACCGCGATATTGTTTACCTTTTTGTAATTTATATTAAAATATTATAAGTGAATTCAAGTACATAAAAGGTAAAGACAAGAATATAATAATATATATAAGGTAGGTACGTTATAATAATGTGCAGTGCGTATAGTTTTGGTATTTGTATATATAAATATATACAGGGGGCGTCATTAAAATTATTTATTATTATTTTTGAAATATTTAAATTATACAATATTATAAATGATGGCCAAGAGGTACAGTGTATAATACGTAAACGGAATATTATCATTCGAATGTTTTATATATTCAGACAAAATTGGTTTACTATATGGTCGTACTATATGCGATACAATGATGATAAAATGATAAATATTTCATGAAATAGAATAGCTAAAATGTAGTATGCTAACTGTAACATTATCTATCGAAAATTTTTAACTGAGTATTATAAACGCATTTAAACAAAACAAATCGGGAAATACTTCACACCGTGGTTAGACCATTTTAGTCACGGTGGGAAATTGAGTTGGTATACTGAAAACAACGATTAACCGTTGCAAACAAAAAACGATTCTAAGCGGAGCTCACAGCCGTAGATTTATGTAGCCAAGATACTTAGCACAAAAACAATAGTAAACCAACGTACCATTATCTATTATAACAATTTTTTTTTCTTTAAGTTTTATAAAATGAATAAAGTTATATCGAAAAATTGGTATAACAATATTATATACTTATAATAGTAATAGGCAACTTTAGTTTGTAAAATAAATAAGTAAAAATATATAATTTATATTCAAATAACTACGCATAACTATAGTTATAGGAAATACAGTTATAATATAATATAGAAACACCTTGGGGAACGTATTATTTTGTTCGTGTGAAAAAAATTAATATAATATACTATATAACGAATGAAAATATGGCTAAAAAAAATGTATATTATTTTATATAGAAGGAATACCACTATATAGTATAGAATTGTGGATTAAAACAGTTTTTATCAGATACTGTCATCGGTATTTTACAGTTTGGTCGACGAAATTTATAGACTGTAGCGAGACATATAAGTACTAAGAAAAAAACTCGAAAAATACACAACACAAAAAAAAACAACGGGCGGAATTTGATATTGGTTAAGTCTGCCCCAGTACCTATACACGAGTATAATATCTACTAAAATTGCCGGCATTTAATTTTATTGCATAAACATTGCAGTCGATAAAAAAAAACCACAAAAAAAAATATCATCTTCAAAAAAAAAAAGACGTTCTAGGATAATGGAGACGGTTGCAGCCACTGTTATTGATAATTGAATGTATATCTGTAAGCAACAATAAACCTTTGCTAAAGAAAAAACGATTCTAAACGCAGTTCGGTTGATAGTGATGCTTTGTCAGCAATATATTTGTCATATTATGGTAAAATAATTAAATAGGCATTATGTATTTTCTTTAATAATATTTATTTAATATTGTACCGATTTCCCCATACTTTTTTCAGATTTTTCCCATTTATTGGGAAAACTCCTGAAAAAATCGAAAAATTACATCCCTTTTCAGTCAGGGTTTCTATCAGAAAGTGCTATAATTTTAAATTGGAGCGAAATTTCTGGTAGAAAAATTGTACACAGAAAAAATAAGATAAAACAGGCCATAATATTTTTTTTACCAATACCTAAATATCGTACATTAATTGTTTTTCCGACATTTTATCCCGGTTTTTCTAAAATGTTATGAAAACCGCTTAAACAATCAAAAAACGACTTCCTCTAAATTACCACGAAGATAAAATTTCCTTTCAGAAAATAAGCTACACTTGATACATCCAAACAAGATTTCTGGTTGACAAGTTTACAATGGAAATCGAGGGATATTTTGCGATTAAAATAGTCTAAGGGAGTGATAGCTTAAGTCTCTAGGTACATCAAAAATAAATTTGTTTTTCCTTGTTTAGGTAAAAGAGGGAAAAAAATGCAAACAATTTTTTTCGTCACACTAGATTGAACTAGGAACCCCTTGGATGATAATAGACATAAATAACTATTAGATCAAGACAAATATTCTTGAGACAATAGAAAGTTATTTAACATAACATATAATATCCGTATAATATCAGAACTTCAAAAAGCTATAATTTCGAAACTTAGTCAGTCCACTTAATGCTGACTTCACTATCGTTCTTAAATCGGCAATATACACGTGTTCAAAAAAAAAAAAATTGAAAAATTAGATTTCTGCCACATAATTTGTTCGTCAAAATTTGATATTAAAACTCCTTTAAAAAAAAAATAAACTTAATTTTTTTTCTTTTTACCACAAAATAAGACTCTTAATGAACTTTCTATTAAATTTTCAAGCATTTCTGTTCAAGTCTAACAATTTTAACACAAAGTACCTACCGAATAAATATTACGTACAAAACTCTCAAAACTAAAATTTCTATAAATACATAAAAAATGGCTTACCTCGTTTAGAAAAGGCAAATATAAGTTTTCTGTCTAAATTTCAAGTCTCTACGAATATTTTTAACTAAATTACAACAAATAACAAAATTGAAAAATAATAAAAGCATTATTTTCGTAAATTTACTGATTTCTTACGTTTTAACCTTGGTTTTTCCCAGATATTATGAAAACTGCTTGGAAAATCAAAAAATGACCTCCCAAAAGTACCATCTAGACAAAATTTCCTTTCAAAAATGGTGCCGCGCGTATATATCTGAGCAAGGTTTATAGTCGAATTTTTGTACACAGTATACAAAAAAAAAAAAATTAAACTTCTTAGTAAATCCAATACATTATTTTCTACACTCAGAATCTAAAACACCAAAACGACATGGTATTGAAGTAGGTATAAATTATATTATTATTCACGTATATTAAAATCAAAAACGAATTTAATATAATATTACCTTTAGCAAAATTAAATTAAATTTAGCAATAAAAGAAAGGAAGCATTTAAAATAATACTGCACAAAATAATGATACAGGTATAATTCGGGCACAGTGCACATGATAATTCGAAACGCATTCGTCTTTATTACAACCTGTTTAAAAAAAACCTCAATAAAATTTGCATTTTATTTGCGTCTACATACGAATGTAAGGTATAATTATAACTATAATAAGCATATTACTTATTATTATATTAGTATTGCCAAGAAACAGAAGCTTGAAAACGGTTAAGATAATAATACTATTAACATTCACACTTGGTATACATTTTTTTTTCTCATCGTTTGAAAGAAAAATCATTACTGTACGCAGTTTGTGTAATATATACATCTACCTAAATTATCAAGTAATAAAATTGAATATTTGTCGGGGAAGTTTTTTCACTTGAATTTATCACGGTTCGTAATAAATGTACCTGCAGTACGGTGATTTAAAAAAATAATATAAGCACTACAGCTACAATAGAGTCGTAATTCAGTCGTGTGGGTTTTAAAATGACGTGATTTTTACTATTTTCGTCAAAATTAAAATTAAAACTATTATAAAAAACAAATCTACTACGTTCCGTTCGATTTTTTTTTACACTAAGTACAATACTATTATAATGAACCTTGCGTTAAATTGATAAGCATTCTATTTGGCCAGGCATTTTTTAGTACTTAAAATCAAATTAAGTACCGATTAAATTATAAAAAATTGTTTTATTTTTTTTTTTTTTTGTTACCGTGAAGACCTATTAAATAGGGGTGGATTTAGGATTTTTTTATAGGAAGGTGCTATACGATTACTATTATAGGTATAAGTAATTGACATATAAATAATTACTTTTTTTTGTTTTTTATAATTTATTTGATTTTAAAAAATAACGCGAAGTATCTTTTTATTTAGTTTTACAAAAAAAAAAATAACGTATACATTTAAAACACTGTATTATAATATAATACTGTTCACATTTTCATTTTTCAGCAGTCTTTTAACTTTATTCTTTTATATGTTTAAAATAAACATAAATAAATATGATTTACCGTAATTCATGGTGTGACTCACTATGTACAAAATCTAAATGCCTACCAATTAATATTTACTATTTCGCTGATCTATCCTAATAATGTACAGCAAAATATGAATTATGTGTTCAAAAACGAAAAAAAATGAGTACATTAACCAATCTGTGGTGGTAAAACAACTTAATATTACCGTATTATTTACTATACCTATAATTAAATACTGATAATTACAAAGAAAATATTGGCGAGCGAAGAATACCCGCTATTAACAGTTGTTTAGATTACTCATACCGTAACATAATATTATTAAATTTTCAACAAAAATCGTGTTTACATTAACTCTTCTTGAGCGCATCGTAATAATAATGCGCGAGAACATGAATTTCTCTTTGACTACCTGTGTATAAAGGTACCTATACTAATATTTATTTGACTAACTATTGTTAGTGCGGACACGGAGAAAAGACAATGGCGAAAACATCCTGTGAGTTGATCGTGTGTTTTGTCATCGATTGATCGCCCTTTATATATATTATATGACCGCGCGCGCGCGGAGTGGTGATCCACATTTATCATGTTTTTTTTTTAATCCATTTGAATATGTTATTTAGACCGAGAACCCTTGTTACTATTTGTATATTATAATAATATGTATTATACGCATAATATTTATTATGCGTATAATATATATAAAATTCTACGTGAGGTCCGATCGACTGATTGCGCGATCCGATTTGCACACAATATAATACGCTCTGGACACGTGTTTTTTACGGATCGACTCGTAGCAGAATAATAATAATAATAATATGTACGATGAAATTCTCAATAATATTATACTACATTAAATCTGTGAATATCTGTAGCTTTTACAGTTGCGCATAGGCACGTCTATGTATAGAGAGCCTATATAATCTTTGGTTCCAGGGAAGAAGAAAATGTTTTATAGTTTTCAATACAAGCAATTTAAATTTTGAAAACACATTCACTTATGAAATTTAGACCAAAAAATAAAGGAAAAAAATTACATTAGATAAAATTAAAAGAAAAACCAAACGACAAAAATTGGCTTAACCCCTTCTTCCCTAAGACGTATAACAGAATAGTGACCGACTCAAAATATTGAATGAACTACCATATTTTACACTCGAACAGTGCGGACTAGACACAAAATGTTAAGTAATTATAGTTCCATGTATAATCTATTAAAATTATAATTACTGAAACAAAATGTATTTTTTTTTTATTTATTTAAAATTACGTTGTTTTGCTAAGATTATGAACTTTGAAATGTTAAGACAGTGTTACATTTTCTATCTCAAGACCAATTCATCGAGAAATGCAATGTTCACATAATACAAACTAAAAGGTCTCTAAAATTGGTTTAGAAACAAAACACCGATTAAAATATTTGTATTTAACAACATTTTAAAGTTGGTGTTCTATAATTCTCCAGATATCTAACTCGCCATCGAAGGTACAAAAAACATATTTTACGCCCTTTTTTAAAAAAAGAACTGTAATTTTTTAAATATAAATATTTTAAGAAACGCCGATGAAGTAATAGTCTTCAAAATGTAGATATCTATAAATCATATAATATATTTTTTTTATCTATAAACCCGATTTTAAGGACATTTTAGTTTGTTTCACATAAACACATTTTTGTCCATATTGTCCGTTAAAAAAACAGACGACAAATTCTACTATGACGGTTTCTCAATGATAACATTTATTAGCATACGAAATGGCAGTCAACGAATATACATACTAGATCAACTAAAAATGCTATTCAATCTTTTACTTTATAGGTTCTCTAGGTACGCGTACATTAAATAGGTATACAAATTAAATTACTTGCAATTATACTGATACAATATTTGCTTTCCAAATGCATCGAATATACTAGTATAAATGTATAGGTAATACTATATTGTAAATTTTATCAGTAGTATAAAAAATGTATATATTTTATCAATAATTTTTCTATTAAAAACATATAGATAAATTATATTTATATTTTTTTTTAAAAAAAAATGAATTTTTAATAACATTAATATAACGCGCTTATTCTCTCTACTGCAGCTGGTTCAGACTGTATTGTATGCAAAGTTATGTAGGTAGCGTAAAATATAATAAATTTCATAACGTTGTGAATATTTTTACATAATTCGTAATACTATTATATTATTATATTTTTATTATGGATGTTGCGGTTTTTATAAAAATAAATCGATACATTGAAGTTTATAGGCAGTGCAGCCTGCGGTAATTCTTATCTCTTCGATTTTATACATAGTATATAGGTTTATAATATAATAAGAAACCGCCAAAGTTTATGAATTTATTTGTCTCGCAGTACATTTTTTCTTTATACCCCATGAACGATATATCATCGAGCAAAGAAAACTCCGCCTTCTTACACGCCGCCACAGTTCACAGTCGCCGCCGCGCCGACCGGAATGTGTTGTATTTTCAAATCACATGATTTATACGTTATGTAATCTAAACACACGTTTAAAGAGGTTTTTTCGGATATTTTGTCCCTCGCCTCATCCTCTTCCTCTCTACGGCGGAAAAAAAACATCATTGGCGTAATTTTTAGAATAGATATTAAAAAAAAATTAAAAGCCATGAGTACATTAAAATAACAATATTATATAGGTGGCTCGGCAGGATATTTTAATGACTAAACGCCGGGTTTATATATATATATAAACGTGTATAATACCTACTATAGGTTGTCGGGACTTGTTTGTGTTGGAAGGTGCTTGGCCCGGCTAATAAATACCATGCTAACGAGACCTGACCAGTGCCGGTTCACCTGGCACCTTGTTATTTACTGTGTATATATATATATAAATATTTTTGTTTTTGTTTTTTTTTTTTTTCTAACAAGCTCGTATACGCCGTTTTAAACTATAATTACGTTTATTTAGAATGGCGATGATGTTGCACCGGCTACTTCCTAGGGATGGCCGAGAAAAAAAACGAAAATCGTTTAAGACAATTGCACGGATAGGTATTATAATATTATTATTACTATAATACACGACAAGATTCGGACACCTTTCGAAAGAGACTTTAACGGTAGGTGCCTATCTATACACAACAAAGAGAACAAAATACGTGTTGAACGGACGTGCGTCTGTCTATATATTATACGTATAATCACAGTGCTAAGAGTATAAAATGAGTGGTAAATACGTTTTTTTTAACGCCTCAAATCCCAAATTATTTTTTGAACTAATGATTACTGCAGCTGAATGTTTGTATATGGCTATTTGCTATCCACAACCCTTTCTTTCTCTCTCTTACTCTCTCTCTCTCTCTTTCTCTCACCCTATCTCTCTCTCTTCCTATATATCAATCTATATCTTTCTATCTCAAACGTTATCGCTAAATCTCCACCTAACATTCATACCACCTGCAATACAAATTATCTGGGGGTAAAAATGATCTGTCTTCCTTCAATTCCACAGTGTTTCAAATGCGACTATATCAGATACCAGAAATCACAATAGTATCCAAATATTCTAAGAATAATACAAGTATGTTATGAAAAAAACATATATTCTCACCAAAAAAAAAAAACACATAAAAATAAAAATGTCAAATAGAATAATTATTGTTGAAATTACAATTATTATAAGACCGAAAGGAAAAAAACGGAATATATGAATAAATTTAAGATAAATATCCGATTTCAAAAAACCCTTAAAGGAATAAATTTTTAGGACAAATAGTTTCTATACTCATCTTACATATTATATTTAATAATGTGTACACATATAATATATAACCCCAAAACAATTTAAAATAATTACACCAGAATAATAAACAAATATTATATTTATCCCACGAAATTAAGAACTTGGAACTTATTCAAATATATTAAATGCGTACTAAGAATTATATATGTTATAATTACTCATGTTGGTGCTTCAGAAGAATACTAAAAATCAAGGAAAAACGGCAACTATATGGAAATATTTTTAAAACAAAAGAGACAAGACGATACCTAGGACATATTATAATATACTAAAGTATGACAACTTGACAACTATAGACAAACGAGATGTTAAAGGATACGCAGAAAGAGAGAAATTAATGAATGAAATTAAGAATATGTGAATCAAATCACGAAGAACATGAATATAAGGCAAAATACAAGGATCTAAAGGATTACTAAATTACAACAAGAAAGTATGGAGAGCTGCAATAAATTCTAATTTTTGATTATTAGGATTATTAATATGAAAAAAAAAACATCAAATCTCAAAAAGTAAGATTTTCTTTTTCACTAATCAATAAGAATTTTTTGATTGCATAACATGCGCAAATATATGTAGGTAACTATATTAATTATAATAAAAAAAAGTACTCTAGGAATCGAATAATATACAATGATCGTTATTATACAACTCCAGGGTTTTCTTAAAACAACATAATATAAATCATGTGAATATGATTCCAAAAAGTTATTTAATAAGTATTATACTAATAAAAAAAAAAAAAAAAAAAAATGGAAATTATACGGAGCATTGACTAATTATTATGATCTAGTCTATCATTAGAATCGGTCATTAATATTATATACACCGAGTACCTACCTATATATTATCTTTCTCAGTCGGTCTTGCTCACTCTTTCAAAAATATATATACAAATATGATTTACGTAAGGGGCTAGTAAATTTTGTTTTACTGTACCCACTATATTATATTCTCTATACTTCTCATTCTTCTAACAAATAATTACCCTAACAAAGGTTCCCGGAACCGAATCATAAACAATTGCTGTATACTCCTCTCTGTTATTATATCATACACATGCAGCTATATTAACATGGTTTTATGGTAGCCCAGTAGAAAATAAAAAAAACACAATAATACATACATATTCTTTCTTAATTTTATAAGAGTAAATTAGTTATACTCTAAGAATTTACAGGTGTACTTAAAGTATATTATTGCTAACAGGTGAAATGTGTATGTGTACAGAATATTATTAATTACAAATAAACTATGTTATTCCGATGTAAACGCATGCAAGTAGATATAACGTTTATTTTTGATTCTACTACAAAGATTCTACTACAAACAAAATATGTCATGTATACTATTACGTATTAAAGTAATGTACCTAGAGGTTATTTTTGAAATGTTTGACACCCTAATAAATATTACACGAGTTTTCCTTAAGCACTGTTTTATAATCAAAGGACATTTATGTATTTCATTCCATTCTATATAGTACACTACAAATAGATATAACCCGTTAAGTCGGGCATTTTTAATTTTTTTTTTATTGAAACTCTGTGAAAACAATTTATTACAACAATTAATAATTAGTTTAAAAACTATTTTTAATTTAAAAACAAAAACACGACTCATTAACAAATCTGAGAGGGATAGAATGCTATTCCGCTCAGATTTGTTTTTCGTTTGCAATGATTTATTGTTGCTTACAGTAATATAAACCAAATTACCCTTATATCCTACCTGCCCAATTACCCATCTACAACAACCATGAATAATATTAACTTATTTTTATTTTGAATATTTATTTAACATTTTAACATTTATGTTTTTTTTTTTTTTTTTATTTGTATTTTTTGTATTATATAGTATTAAAAATTTTAATAACACATCCTATCATCATTAGTTAAATAATTGTAAGGGCCTACAACGTTTTATTACACTATTACGTGCGTACAGCTCTTACGAAATAACAACTTAAACAAAAATTAGTCAAAGTTGTTTGTCAAATAAAACGTGTTTAATCTGTTTGAGACGAGATAAGTAAAACGCAAACAATCTTATTGTAACAGTTTATATACTTCCATGCTATTCAAACTAAGTACAACAAGGGGAATAACCAAACTAAAAAAATTCGATAGATGAATTTCATTAAATTGAAATTTATCTAAACAGAAATCAAAAAAAGAACTAATTTTTTATCGTAAATATAATAATCGTATAAACCGTTCAGTAGCATTATACACTTAAATAACATTTACGATTATTTCATAACCATACTATTAATAGGTAATATTATATGTAATGTTCCAAAAAATCAAAACATCAATTTATACTCTAACAAAATGCAACAGGAGCTTTGATTTCAAGATGGAATTCATAAAAATATTACCTTTATAAAAAATATAACTATATAATATATACATTATAAATTATCGATATTAAAAAAACGTCTGTTGAGTTTCTATGTCAGACCAACGACTTCAAATCACCAGCTGTACAGTACAGATCCTATGCATATACCTATATACATCGCGGTACATTAATAACAGTAAAGAATATATATGTATATATTATAGCGTCAATGGATTTTATTGAACTCTGAATACTCGAAAGCGCAAAAGGCTTCGTACTGACTATACGTATAGGTATTATTATTATTAAATTTATAAACCGTCTGTTCAAACACTATATAATATGGCGGTTTCTCGGCACCTTCTCGTTATAAGTAGACAGCCCCCAGACCGCGCGACCGACCGCATAACAATATTATGTAAAAAGAAGCGAGGATATTGTGTTTATATAGCGTCATTGGCCCCGCCGATACAATCTGCAATCGGCACGTATCTGTACGCAACCGATTTCGACAGTTATTTCTTTTGCGATAATTTAACGCTCAAATACTGAAACCGACAAATATAGAGACGATAGTATAAATAGAGCAATAAATGCTCCATAATTTGGTGCAACAATAATGCAAGTCCGTTTACGGATGCAGAGTGATATACGTAGAAACTTGTCACTTGTCTGGTTCAATCAAATTCTGGGCAAAAATATGGCAAATAATCCCATCATATATTTATGATTTTTTTCCTTCAATTGAACAATTTTGACTTGTCTTGTTATTGCACAGATTAGCCCTTCATTGTTATTTTAATATTACATTAAATTTTATCTGCAACTATTATATAAATTAGCTTTATATTCTTACTGCAGCTTCTGATTCGTCTCTTCACATCGCACGTGTCCGAACCAACTCTTCAGTCTGTTTTCTCTCTCGTTTTATCATCAACCAAATCTAAACGATGTTATGATAATATGCTACTCCGCTCGTCTTCTGCTCTAACTATTGTTTTAATACTGCCCAACGCGTTCTGTGCCTCCCGCATGAACGTCGTCGTAGGTCTCGCAATAATTTCGTAAAATGTATGTTTCGTCCCGATTGAAATCCTTCTGATCGCATCACACGGTCCACTATTAACACTATACACCAGTGTACTATATGTTTCGTATCATCCTCTTCGAATCCACCGTATTGATAAATACTATATAATATATGTATACTTAAGACAGTCGCGTGCATCGTACATAGTCATTGTTATTATATATTATAATATTTATCGTATATATAATATTATTGTTCATTCGTATTATAATGCGCAGGGCAGCACCGCGCGTACCGAGGTATACGTTGTAATATAATACGAGATAGCGGCTACTCGCCACTTTTCATCGTTAAGTATATATTATACGTATACTATTATACCGAGACAACCCAAAGGCCGTGGTAAAACGCGGGCGAGCAGGATATTGTGTTTAGCGTCATCGGACTCGATACAATCTGGCGGCCGGAGCAAAATACGGGGCCGATTTCGATCCGTGACAGTAGTGCAGCTACGCGCGCTCGTACGCATACACATAGTATGGTCCCACAACAGGTGCCACGCGATGCCATCCGCTCGTTTGTACCTGCCGATCAGATATTATAGGCGATGCCGCAACCGCCGCGCAAAACCGAATATAAATAACGATAAACGAGCGAAAAACACCCGATACGAATATAATAATAACTGTAGCCACGACCTACCTGGTCGCGTATACAAGGCGATTCTTCTGTCCGCGCGAATGGGAGGCGGATAATCAGTTTTATGAAGGTTTCGAGAGCGATAGATATTTGTTAATATTGATTTTATTCGAATATTTTCAAAACCGTCAGACCACGATCCTTTACTGTCACGAATTTCCCCCAAAAATAGAGACTATTTGCACTGTATTTTGTCTTTTACACACACACATATATATATATCTTTTCCCCGCTACTTTTGAATATTTATAGTGGTTCTCTCTGGCCCAAACGAGCTCAAATCCGATAATGAGAGATGTTTAGTTGGCAAATGACGTGATAAAAGTCAAATTGAATTTCAATACGAATTAAACCACGTTGTAACGGAAGCAGGGTGTTTTTGTAGCTTTTTAGACCCCCGTCAGATCCCCCGAATTAAGCTACAGAGATTAGATTTTGTATATGTTACGGAGAAAAGCCGAAATCGGACAAATCTCAGAAATTTCCGGGCAAAACGCGAAGTATCCAAGATACTTTGGTAAAATATCATATTTCAGTTTTTGCTCGGGTAAACCTATAAATACTAGTGACCAACTTCTTGGGCAAAACATTAGTATCCATAATTTCTATTTTTCACAGTAAGTAGATACCATTTTTTTTTTTTATTATTTTTACAAATAAATATTATTATTCCAATATAACTAAATATGAATAAATTTAAGAATTTAAAATGTTAGCACCTTTAATTGTAAAAATACGAAAAATATATTTGTTTATTTATTGCTAATATTACATATTATATTAAAACACTCACTGTCCTCAGTATTAATTTGGTACTTATTTGCTGTGAAAATAGAAATGTATAGACGCTATATGGTTTAGCCCAAGTATCGTGATGGATACTTGCGTTTTTCTTGGGCATTTTTGAGATTTGCCGATTTTGGATTTTACCCATAATAAAAAAATGACTTTAGTATAAACGATGTGCCTTTGGAGGTTCTAACTACCAATAAACATAATATATTATATTTGTACTTTGTTTTATTTTTAAATTAAGTTATCGAGAATCAAGTATCAAATATCGAAATAAAACGAGTATCGTGTATCGAATTCTAAATATTTAGTACCAGCCATCTCTAATTATTATTAATTAATTATTAATATATTATTTTCTATTATGAAAAATAGTCAGGGGAATTCAGTTCCATAATGAAACGGGCTATACTTAAAGGTGTTTTTAATATTTACAATAACGCTGTTAAAATATTTCTAAACTTTAAACACTGTTATAAGTTTGACTGCAGCGGCGGTATAGTACAGTTATCAACTTGTTCAGAAAAATATTCACTTTTCAAATCTCCAGAGTTTATACTGATTTGGATAGAGCTGTTTAAAAATCAAAAATTGATAGTATTTATTTATAGTAAAAGGTATAGGTATATTATCGTAAAATATTGAAAAAATGTTTGTAAATTGTAAATTGGATCATTAAATTCAGTAAAACGTCTGAAAAAATCAAAAAAATCGCTGTAGTTCGTGATAAAAAAAAAAATCACCTTTTGTTATATAACAAGACTGCGTTCGCCGATACCCAAAGAGTTAGTACCTACGGTTTTAAAAAACTGGCCAAAAGTCCGAAAGCCGTCTGCAATTTGCGCAGCAGTATCAATATCTAAATTTAACGAGACGGAAAACGATGCGCAAACAACCGTTTACCCGTGTAAATTCCGTGTTCGTTGATTATCAGATTGGAGAACCGGATAAATTATTTATGTTCGGTTTTCGGTGAGTAAATATACAGAAATGGAACGCGGCGTAGGTATCCTGTGTGTATACTTACTTATTGAAAAAAAGTATCACGAAAAAGAAAATACGATTTTTAGTAACACAGACAAACCGATGAGTGCATTATCTCCGTCGGTAATCTACACTGCTGCGCATTGGAAGAAGGGGAAAAAATACAACACACAAGCAGTTCTTCTGGACAATGGGTCTGAAAAAAGTATTAAACCTATAGGCAATTAAATTTTACGATGAAAGTGGTGTGTCCGATTTTTTTTTCACCAGCTTCTTATCGCCTCACGGAATCGGTTCAACCGGTGTATTTAATAATAATAAAGAACGGAGATTTAAATCGGTGGACTATCATTTTTTTTCTCTCTTGTTATTCGTTCAAAAAATATTCTCTAATGGAAAACAACGCAATCGTGTCGTTGTGTACGGAAGAACCGATCCACTTGACCGAGAAGATCTTCAAGTGATCTCAGGAAAATTGAACTCACTACGTACAATAACGCTCCGAAGGTATACGATTTTCAAACATTTACCGGATTTAAAAAAAAAAAAAAGAAAAACAGCTGAAATTCCAATTAAATACGATTTTAAAAGTTAAAGTTATAGGCTAAATATTTCAGGCGGTGGTCTCGCATTGTCTGATAAATTCACAAGACAATTTACATATCATAAAAGTAAGTAAGTACCTGCTTTAGATTAAATAAACTTTTTCGAGTGTTTTTATAACTACACCGAGAAGTAATTTTTTTTAGAAAAAGAAAAACCGTCTTTTAACAACTACCTCGCTCAAAAGTTAGAATATTCGTTGATCATAATAATATCGTAAAATTAAAATATTTAATTTGTTTACTAAACAAAAACAGTAATATAATTTAAAATTATCAAGCTACACAAAAAAAAAACTTCAACGTGAAGATTTAATTTAAACATGGTTATTAAATTTAAATTAGATTTGACGTAAATCCGAAACTATTTAACTACAGGCTATACAATTTCAAGCCACAGGAAGTCAAAATAATTGCGTATATTTTTAACATTATTCATTCGACTTATACATAGTTGGACGTATAATAAGTATATATTATGCATTATGCATATTATGGTTAACCTTTTGACTTCTAAACACGATTTTCACCGATATTAGAATCGTGAAAATATAGAATCATTCAATCCACGAAAATATTTTACGCCGCAATATTTATTGAAAATACACATATAAACAACAAGTAAAATGTTGTACTACATCTCGAATTGTTAATGCATTCACACATAAAATTTGTTTCATATTTCTCGTTCCACGTCATCTTCATTGATTAATACGCATTAATGGAACAAGAAAAAAATATATACATACAAGTACCTACATGTACATAATGCATAACCTATTGACCGATGATGAGAAAATTTAATAAACTTTTAAAAAAAAAAAAATTAAAAAACAAGATAATAACATAAGAAACGTAAACATAATATTATGTTTGTAACATCATAATTATTACACGTATACTTATATATATATATAGTACATGGGCTTTCTAATTAATATATCGGAGAAAATTATCGTTGGATTTGTATAGACGTTAATTGGCGCTTATGATGATGATATTTTTATGGAGATTGCACTTCGTAAAATTATATACGCATAATACCTACCAAAATATTTAAAAAAAGGGAGGTTCCTGTACGTTCTCCAAACCGATATTTAGAATATTAAAATATTATAATTATTTACGATACGCATTACGCGGAGATATATACAATAATAATAAATTACTATAAATAATATCCTTTTTAATTGTTATACATTTAAATCTTAAATGGTTTACATTATATGTTTAAATATAATTAAATATAACTTATAGATTGTGGATTTATGTATAAGTATAGATTGAAAATTAATCGACATTCGACACATATCGTTTATTTGTCTACAGACGCACAGACGTGTTTAACGTATATAAAACAAAAACGATAGATCTTTAGATTTAGATGATAAATAATAAATTCGTAGAATTATTGACAAATCATTGTTAATATAATATGAGTCGCTATATAAAATTGTACAACATACAAATAAACGCCAAATATTTCGTTTTTATCAACTTTACAGGAAATCAAAAAAACACAGCGGTCACGCGATACATCTCGTTTTTTTTTTTTATTTTAAATACATTTTAGAGGTGATGTTATCTTAAATTATTGAAATATATTATACGATACATTCGAATAAATTTGTCTGGTTGTTGACTTTATCACAAACTTGTACACATCAAACGGTAACCGTGGAATTCTACATAAAACAGTGTCGTCAACCCGATTTAATAATAATATATTACCGTCATTGATACATTATTAACAAAAAAAACATATTAGATAAGACAATAAATGCAATTTACACGGGTTTTTTTAACAACATGTAATAATGACAACCCACCCACCCTATTTTGAACCAAAATATACTAGATAGACGGTGTTAGGTAACGGCTCGCCTTAAAAATTATAAAAAGGAAAAAAATGTCTCAATTACTTTTATTCTTATATAATATGTTATACTCAAAAAACGGTATTAAACAAGAACTGAAATTTATCTTCCGTATAGCATCTGATGGCAAGAATATCAGTGCGGTACGTACATCAAATAGGCATAGGATGGTAGGTAGGTAAACGGCGGCTGTTGAAAAGTAGTGTACTCGATAATATCTAATATTATAATCGAACCGATTCGGCCAAGTCGTTAAGAGTGTTAATGGTTGTCGTTTGTGTGTTGTGTCGATGTGGCGGCTCCGGAGGCCAAATCGTTTAATCATTCAGAGGGAGGATAAAAAACGAAAAAAGAAACAAAACAAAATACGTTCACTCGTTTCAAAACCGAAGAATAATAATAGCATTGTATGATCACCGTTTACATGTGTGTGTGTGTATAGATATTACATAGGCAATACGAGTTGGTCGATTGTGTCGCGGCCGCGGTGATCGATGACCACGGTTAATAAACTTCTGTTAATAGGATTTTGGTCGATATATTATCTTAATATGAGGCCTTCGGTGCAATAACGGACTAATCTCATTCCATTCTCCATTAGTCCACCATTCTTCATCTCCATTCTTATTCTTAAAAATATTTATAACTTTATAATGCAATGACGATTTAGGTGCTGTCATCTAGTGAATATTAAATAAAGATGATGACTTAGTCCGTTTACGGATTGAATTTTACGATCTAGTTTAGTAGCTATATTAATGTCATTAACTCAAATATGGAAAATGTGTGGCTGAGACAATTACTGAATTGAAAGCTCCATACATAATTGCCCTATAATGCGGTAGTATTTTTGTTGTTTAGTGTGGTTGTATATAAAGTCAATGTCTCAAGAAACAACGGGAGAAAATAATTCGTAACATATTATATAGGTAGCAAAACGATCGATTTGATGAACTAACGATATCTTGTATATCTTTGTTAATATTCAAATATTTTTATTTTTTTCAATCGGACTTTGTGTGAGGGCGTCATAGTTTTGGAGAAAAATTAACTTTTTATTTACACCCCATAATCAATAATGAAAAATAACTTTTTATTTATTGTTCACTTTTCAACATTTTCAAAGTATCCACCTCGCTATACATATTATGCTCAAAAAAATTAATATATCAAACATACATATAACAGATTCGATAGGTTTTTAGTCATAGCCGTTTAAATTTCTAGAGAAGGGATGTGTATAAATTAAAATTATCTATCGTGGTTATTATTTTTTTAGTGCTGCGATTGTTATTCTTCATTGTGTTACGTAATAGTAACACCTACTGAATATAATTTTGTTTATACCTTTTCTCTAGAAACTAAAACGGCTATTACTAAGTATATGTATTATAACTATCTATGGATGTTAGATTAAAGGTTCCATAATAATATCTATTGCAAAGTAGCTATTTTGAAAATTTTGAAAAATGAGCAAATAAAAAGTTGTTTTACATAGTGATTTAGAGATGAAAATATAAATTTAATTTTTCTCTAAATATGAAAGTCCACCTCATACAATATATGATTGAAAAATAGTTTTAAAAAATAAAATACTCAAAAAAATATTAGAAAACACAATAAGACACCTTCTACATACCTGTCAATAAAGCTGAGCAAGTCACTCGAAATTTCTAACCAATATCAAAGTTAAATTATATATTTGTTCTGAAAAACTGATAAAATTAGATTCGGAGTTAGGTTTTCGAAATTCACAAAGTTTACAACTAGGTCAAACCGGAAGTTATTCCGTGAAAATAATAACTTTCTTATAATATTAGAAACAAGTTGTAGAAGTTACGTTAAATGTTTTATTATCCTTTTGATTTTGTTAACCTAAAAACCTGTACGTTGAAAAATTAAACTAAATGACCTAATCAAATAACAAACTTATACGTAACACGAGTGCACCTGTGTTTTATAAACAATTTTAGATTCCAAGCGTAGCGAGGGAGCAATTGGTTTTACAATACTGTTTATTTCTTCTTCTACTTTTTTGTTCATTGTTCTAATCTGTGGACACGTTTTTTTCTAGTGTATTAATCCGTGTGTAATGTACTCCGATGTATTAATGTAGCACCTTTTTCTGAAAGCTCAAGTTGTCTGTATTATACTTTTAAAAAAAGGGATTTTTTAAATAAATGCTCTCGAAGGAGAGAAAAACGTAGGAAAACGTAAAATTTCACGATTTCATTATATTATAAAAACACGGACGACGTTTTCTACCAACAAAAATGATTTAATCGAAAAATCACAAGCCCTCTTTTTTGTTGCCTTTTTTGATTTACTTTCTTACGGTATCATTGCCAAAACTTTTGAGCTTTTAAAGAATTTTAATTTTTGGTAGTTTTTTTCTGTAATTTGTTTATGAATATGTAGTAATACGAAAATATGGCGGGGAGTGCCTAGTTATGTNCATAATGTATGATAGCTTAAATAGCATATCATTACAAATACTCGTTGTACACGCTGTTGTATACAGCAATCACTATTGTCTAATACAAAACGAAAATAATGAAAACATTCAAAACGATCAATCACAAAGTTAATCGGTATTGCGTTTGAAATATAAATTTAAAATTGTATTTAAATAACAACGGAAGAAATCAAAAGTTAACTTTTCTTTTTCTTATCCGTATATTATATAACATAATATATAACAATAACGGATTAAGTCAGAGAGTTATTTGAAATTTAAATTTAAACCGACTACTACTCTATTCAAAAAAATTATCTTAACACGTTGGCAAACTACGATATTATATACAAACCCGTAAAATAAAACAGAACAAAATTGTAGAAATTCTGTTAGCATATTATAAATACACCGGGACGTGTTTACGAGATACGATAATAACCATAACTATAATAATATTATTATAATATACAATATCCACCATGATGGAATAATAATAATAAATTTGCCGAAATTAAAATAAAAATGTATTTAAAAAAAAACCAAATGTGCAAAACATGTTCGGACATATACGTCTTCGTACACAGTACGTGTATATCGTGTACACCACCCATAATAATAATAATAATAGTAAACATATTGTAAGTTTGAAGAAAAAAAATATCGTATACGAGTATATTACATAATATCTATTTTTGTAAACGACGGCGGCGGATGATTATACTATATTAAAATGGGTACTCGTCTATACGGAATATTTTATTTTTCTACCAAATAAAAAAAAAAGAAAGAAAATCGTCGAGTTAAACATCCGACGGTTTTACACGCCCGCGAGGGCCGGCTGACGCGTTTATGGCCTGTGATTATTGACGGCCGCGACCGCGACGAGGGCGTGTAAAAAAAAAAAAATTATAAATTTTCGGGTCGTTTTTCGCGAAAATATTATCCTATATATCCGCGATATTATATTATAGTGTACGATTGGGTTACAAAAAAAAAAAAAAAAAAAAACCCCGCCCCGGACCTATAACTGCACGTACACGCTGTAGATAGCTTATGTAGCGTAGAAAAAAAAATGTACATTATCGTCCGGACGAATTTTTTGTTTTTTTTTTTTTTTTGCTCCAACTCGTCTCCGGCAATTTACCCGATCCGCGAGCGAACCCGCAGCTATAAACAACATACAATATTATTATTATTATTATTATTATTATTATTATTATTATTATTATTGTTACCGTTATTATCATTATTGTTATTAGAGCTCGTTCGTTTCTCTCCCGCGTATCTCTCGTCCGCGCGCCGCGCCGTTCCCGTCTCGCCCCGACCCTGCGCGCGCTGATTTAATGCCAACACAATACAATATAATAACAGGTTGGCGTATCGCGCACAATATTTCCAAAGGGGTTACACTGCGCGCCGGTACGTATCCGCACGCACGAGCGTAACGTTACGCGTACCCACTATTATCGGGGTAATATTATATCGCGTGCGACGCGCCGTCCGGGCCCCGGTGTGTTATTGCCGTTCGCATCACGACCGGCGGCACGTTATACGCGCGAGCGCGGGGCGAACCTGCAACGTCTCAATTATTGTTATAATGCTACCTATACGCGATACGCGTAGGGTGGCGGGTCCGGGGGGGGGGGGAATGATAATTATAATAAAATAAAAACGCCGCGGCGTGCGCACACGAGAAAAAAGTCGTCTGCACGATCCTTTGGCCCGGCGCCGTTTTGCACATATTTATTAGCGAAATAATAATCGGCCGCGCGCGCCCACCCAAACGGCGACGACGACGACGCGACCGACTCCTCCATCTCGACCGCTCTCGGCAATAATATGCTGTTGCTGTTGCCGGTCGGTCGATAAAAATACATAGAATATCGAATACGCAATACGCGACGCACGTTTAATTACGTTTATTGTTCGAGGGCCCGGGACCCGTCGGGTTCGCGTGTTTCCAACACTCTAACGCGGTCCGAATAAGCCGTCGAGTAAGTAAAACAGACGAAACACGTTCCGTGTATAGTAAATGTGTATAAAAACACGTCGACAAAAAGAACCCCGACAATTTCGTCGTATTTTTCTATTTATAAAGACGCGAATTTTCTTTTCGTTTCGTCGTATTTTCCGCGCATATTCGAACGCTTTTAGTACATGCTATTTTGATCGTTGTTCGCATACGCAGAACGACCCCGGAGCCCCGACCGTACAAATACAATAGTTGTATACCTATATAGGGCAAATATTCGTATGCCTTCGGATATTTTTATCGGTTGGTAAAAAACAAAAAACAACTAGTTTATGCCAGAATACGTGTGCCGTGACCTATTGATTCTATACAGCACGATCAGCATAACGTAAGACACCATTATCATATCATTATCATTATACCAAATACAATTAAATTAAAATATAACGTAAAACTCATTAATAAGAACAAACATAAACAAAAAAAAAAAAAAAAAAAGGGAGATTGAAATAGAAAACGTCAAAAATTTTAAATTTAAATTTCAAGCCTGTTCACAGTTATTTATAACATTGCAGTGAAACACGTACAGTACATCTTTCAATATTCGCCGCTTAATAAAATAATGATAATCTATATATGTATATAAAATAAGATGTCCTGACTGACTGACTGACTGATTTATCATCGCCTAGCTCAAACAACGGGACGGATCGGGCTGAAATTTGGCACACATAACTATTATGGCGTAGGCATCCGCTAAGAAAGGATTTTTGAAAATTCAACCCCTAAGGGTGTAAAATAGAGGTTTTTAGTATATTTGGTACGAATATCTAATTGCTTATTTATTTATTTTTATTTATTCAAGGGTTACCTTGGCGTTACGGAAAATAAAACTATTATAATTATTATTATTACTATTATTTACACCATTAGTTTTTATTAATTTCACAATAGAACACATTTAGTCCGCCGAAGGTAAACTACCCACTTTCCATCTATTTGTTTTCATTCAATTCTGACACGGCCAAAACCAAAAATGAATATGGGTAAAATAATAATAATACAAATTGGCATGGGCAACGCCGGGCGCGGGACAGCTAGGTGTGTATAGGAAGTTTAAATTTAAATTTTCTTCGACAAATAAAACCCGTTGTAATCATCATATTACATGGCGGCTGCTTTAAAAAAAAAAAAATATATCGTACATGCCTAATGCGCCTATATAATATTATATAAATATATGTGTATTGTATACGTAGGTACATAAAACACTGGCAATTAATTCTCAACATTATTATTTTAATTTAGACATATATTATAATAAATTGTATTATTATATTACATACGCGTTTAAGTAAATTCAAAACTCTTTTCTGTTTGCTCTTCTTTATCGCCACAACTCTTAATAATAATAATATTCTCGTATAACGTAGCCACAACTCTTAATAATAATAATAATAATAATATTCTCGTATAACGTATATAGACAGACACCGCGCGTTTAATTAAATCACTCACCCGGAATACACACCGTATACACCGAGACAACTGTACCATGGAAATTGTTCGGAAAGCCATAAGACAAAATTGTAATTAAAGCACGTATATTATAAATACAAGCCGACCGCAATTATTAACGAGTATCCCCTCCGTGGGCCCTTTTTACATAACGTTATAAAGTATAAGTATAACGGCGGCGGCGGTATAATTTCTGTAGCTAACAAGCCGTGGAATTTGAATTATCATATAAACATTGAAAACACAAATCGTATATTATAATATAATAATACATAATGCGTAATATAACTAATTAAATAGTAAGCATATATACATACCGACTGTATTATTAACACTACAAATTTACTAAATACAATTTAAAAAATGCTTATATTATTAAATAAAAATAACACAACAAAATAATATATTATAGAAATATTTTATAATATAATAAAAATGACGATACCGCTGATGATAAGTGTGCCGCTGTTTTAAAATAAAAGTTGGATGGAACGATATGTATAAGAAAAATAATTTATATTTATACAACGATAAACTATTGCTAACGAAAATCGATTCTGGGCGGATTATTATTAGTCGCATTTTTCCCTTGCAGCCAAGAATTCAACAAAAAATTATAAACAAATTTCCAGTTTTTCGATTTAGTAAGAAAGTTAAGAAGAATTTCAAAAACTCCCAATACCTACACCCCTAAACTAGCTAAATCAAAAATGCTATAAATAATTTCTTTTTAAGTTTTGTTTCAATCAAGGTATATGGTTGAAAAGTTATTTACAGGCGAAAAAAAAACCTATAGTATAACTAATACTTACAATTGCGTAAGTAAGCACCTATATGTGTGTAACTGATACACACAACTTCTTACACTACAACAAATATCTTTCGTAAGGACAATTAATATTGCTTCATGAAACCACCGAAATAAATGATATACAAGATAAATTGATAATCACACTGATTTCTTATTACCGTATAAATAACCATGATGTATTTTTGTATTTATTAATATTCGTATTATGCGATCGGAAAAAAAATGTAGCAATAATAACTAACACAATCTGCAGTATTAAATGTCATATGACGTATATAATTTAACTCGCAAATTAAAATCCATCGTTAGTGATGCCGTGACATATAAGCAAAACGAGCGTTCATAAAAAAATTATTAAATTACTCCCTATATATTCATATACAGTAGTATCAGAGGTGTTTCATTTAAATGGTAATACGAAATATTTCAGCTAGACTCTAAGATTAAAATGAATTGTTTTTAGTAAGGTAAAGAGTACATATACAAAATACACATTTTCAACCAATTTCAATCCTTATTATTACGTACACACGTCATGATGAGCGATAAAACTTACATTTTTAGAATTTTAATTGTGTATTTTGATACTATGATTCTTCCAAGAAAAACCCCATTCCGATCCGAGTACAACCCGTTGAAGTATTTATCGTATTACTATTTTAGCGAAACACAGTGTAATACAGGAGGGAGTCAATTATTTCAAAATCATGTATTTGAAAGATTATATATTCAAAACACAGAAATCATACCAAAATAGCTCTCAGATTAATATCCAAACAACCAGGAATTTACAAATTGATGAGAATAAAGCTTTAAATTCCATAGCAAATAATCATTCAAGGCCGAACAAATAAAAAGATAAAAATATTTAATGAAGAAAAAGAATGACGGATTACAGATGTTTTAATTATTAGATTCAAAAACCACGTTTACGGTATTTGTAAGTTTCTAAAAGAAATATTATATAATTTCAAATTTTAGTTTATTTTTATTACGTAGCATTTACATTTTTAGTATCTGTTAATTTTATGTCTTTACAGAATAAACCCAAAATGTAGGTTTACAACATTTGTAAATAGTGGATGATCAATAAACTATTTGATGATTCATAGAAATTAAGATAAATTACAAAAAGTTAAATTTTAAATAATAATAAAAAAAATAAAATATAGAATTGATATATTAAATACTTATAATACCGTTTCAAATAGATTACTTATGAATGAAAATATATAAACATACACATATATATAGTATGTACATAGTAATGAGTTTAAAAAGGTAGGGTCTTCATTTACAAGATGCATAAGACTGAAAAATGAAGAGTTTAGTAAATAATTTGAAGAGAATATGACAATATAAAAGGATATGATTGATATTGTCTGACGAAAAAGGATCTCAAAATTAATTTTAGATAGAAGTGCAGGGGATTCAATTTTACCCGAAAATATTTTTTTAGGAAAGAACGATTCAGAGTACATTTACAGTCAGCGGAACTATGGAGATTTAGAAAAGAGCTAATTAGATCATAATCGTGAAAGGTGTAGTAGATCTTTATAATATAGACAAGATCTAAAGTGGACTATTTTAATTGCTATCGAATCAAGAGCTATGGAGGAGCCCCACAGTATAGATTCATAATTGAGTAAAGTACGAACTAAGAAGCAGTAAAAATTGAATGATTAAATTTAATCTCTGACAGTATTCTTTAGATGAATTCAAAGATTTCAAATGCTAAATAGCAGATTTCTTCTAAGTGTAACTTTAGCATAAGAGACAAAATCGAAGTTCTTTATTGGAAACTGTAGATGTTAATAGAAGACCATTTATAGTGTAATTAAATATAGTTCGATGAGAATTACGTAGGTAAGACATTTGTTGATATTTGGAGATGTTAAATGTAAAATCAATGGAGTTGCCCCAATAGTATACTAAACGGTTTAGGTTAGAATAAAGAAGGAAGGTGTCATGAATAACCCTAACACGCCTAACTATAAAGTTTAATATATCATCGGCAAATATGAGCAGTCTGGCATGTTGTAGAACAGAAGATACACCATAGACGAGTAGAGAAAAAAATAACGGTGATAGACTTGGAGTAGGAACAATAATGTTAGAGGAGTTAACATATTTTGTACTTTTACCCAAGAAAACCACGAAAAAAAACCAAATTTAAAAGAATTTGAATGAATATACAATGATTTACACAATCAAAGGCCTTAAAGAAGTCTGTGAAAATAACGTCAACTTGTGAATATTAGCTAATTAACTCCATTATAAATTATAGGTAATCGTTGATCAACCGGTCGAAAGTCATTCCGCGTATCAATGAATAGATGCTATCGACTGAAAGTTAAATAGAATGAAGTAACAATGGTTCATATTATATTTTAGCCATATATGATAGGATTTCAATAGAACAAACATTATACATTTTAAAATTTGTTCAAATTTTTATTAAAACTGTAATTCAAATATTTTATGAAATTGATTAAAATACGTGATTCGTTGTTTGACAATTTGTAACTTTTCAAACACTTGAAGTTCGAAAATACAGCATTCAAATATATAATTTTCAAACAATTAATTCCTGTCGTTTATATATCCATTGAATAGTGGTTATTTTAAATGTTTTGTTCCGAAAGATGGCAAAGACAAAAAATTATTATATTTTCTATATATATATTTTTTTTTTTTTTTAAACAGCCGTACGCAACGTTCATATACTTCAATATATTATCTTTAAAATACCACGAGTTGTTTTCTTGTTAGTGGTTTGAAAACATTGATCTTGCGCTGACAGGGTGTCAAACGCCCACGCCACCGCTGTAGTGATATGCAATGTGTGTGTATATATATTTTCGAGTCGTTGGAATAAGGAAGACATATTATTATAATATAGAGGGTTATAAGTACGAGGTCACGTTCTTATAAACATTGGAACATGCCAAATGAATATGTAAGGAAGAAAATGGAGGCCATTTAACAATAATCCTATGATAAAGTATAATACATGTACTTATACAGCTAGCACACACTCGTCTACTTAATAACTCGAAACAACACTGTTATTGTTTTGGATCAACGTGTTGGAAACCGTAAAACTTCACATTTATAGTAAATATCTTAAAAAAAACAATTCACTGTCCTCGGATATTATCGTGTTTAATCAAATTCATAATATATAATACGAGTTACGGTTTACATCGCCCTTCCATATTATATTATACTCGATTATTTTATAAGTATAATAAAATGATAATTTCATAACTATACAATATATATAATAAAATGGCTAAGTCAACGGCCACTACGATATACACAATAATATGTATACTGACGGCGATATAAAGGGATAGTCTATTTATTTTTTAATTTTAGAAACAGACCTGACATTTTTACAAATTATATTTATAATTTAATTTATGTTATAATTTATACTTAATTATATTTGCATTTTCTAAAAAAAAATCAAATCTTTCCGAGAATATTTAAGATATTTATTGACAAAGGTAATTTTCGAGTTTTTTTTAGTTTTTATTTGGTTGTATGTCGATAAAATTTATTTGACCAAATAGAAATTTTTGAATATTTAATATATGATTTTTAATAAATTTTTCTTATAGTCAATAAAAAATGTTAAACCTATTATAGTAGTTTTTTTTGTACGTGCCTAAAGTCCAATTCTTGATATAAAACGTAAAAACTACGGCATTTCAAAACACATATAATCGAATTTCGCTCAAAATCGTATTCCGTTAGCAATGATATAAATTAAATAACACTATGCCTCCTATCTTCTCGAATTTCCAGTGGCACAACCATTAGCAGTATCAGCTCCTTTTTTATTAATTTTTGAATAGGAAAACCATAAAAAATAGCGAAAGTACCTGTTCTGTAAGTTAATATATTTTAATTCTATCGGAATCTGTAGTTATTTTACCATCGAATACTCTCATGCAATCTATTCCTGTAACTTATACAGTATTTGTAGGTCTTATCGTCGTCCGAGTCCCTCTAATCTTATTAAATCGTGCAGACTAAAGTCTTTACGCCACCGTTGGAAGGTAATAATGTCTTTCTTTAAATCCGATTTCCTCTTATGCATAATTACTGCAATAGAAAATGATGCCATCTTAACCTCTTTATATTGAGTTATATAATACCAACCTCATCTTTCTTATAATTTTGTATTGTAATAACTGACCGAGAAGGGTATACAAATACGTAAGTAATAGGTACTTACTAATTAAATTCCGTCAAAATAAGTCTTGGAAAAAAAAAATTATATTATAACACACGTCAAGAACGAGATTTGATCATCATAATATGTATTATAATATACCTACTCTTATTAACATACAAGTATAATATATATACTAACTAATTACTTTGAGAAGGCAAGACAAATATAATAAACAAGTATGGGATATACTATACTGAGATTCACCAATAATACTACCACATTTGAACATTATTTTAACTACACCTGCAATAACCAATGTTGTTTTTTTTTCTTTTCTGAACCAGTTGAACTACATGATCAGAGGAAACAACCACATCGGTGGCAACAATCTACATATTGTACACACTGTCTTCCAGTATTGAATAATAGGCCTTATGTAGCTATAAGGAACTACAATAATAAGAAGTCCACGATCGTTGATTTTAGTTATCAGTCGGTTATTATTATAAATTAAACAGATTTCTTTACATAACGAGTGTATTTTCTTTTATTATCTCAAAGGTTTTATTTTCACCGCGATAAAGATAGAATATAAAAAATAAAAAACAAGACTCATTTCGCCTCCCGGGCAAACCACAACATATTATCTAAAAATCCTGCAGGTGTGAAATGTAATGATCGAAATTTATTGTTCTGAACCAACATTTAATATTGTACTTATATAGAAATCAAACACATAAACTAAGTATAAATAATGTTGCAAGTAGATAATAATATTATTAAACTACAAATAGATAACTTTGTAAATAATTATTATAGTCCGTTATTAAAAATGCATAAATGGATCCGAAAAATGAATTATCTTTAAGGTCTACCTATTAGTATTTAAACAGTGTTTAAATAAATTCAAAGAATGGGATTATATTTTTAATTTTTGAGTAATAAAGTGAGATATAGGTGTTCCAACAAATTATTTTTGCGTCTCAGAAATGTTGAGTTCAGCACGCCACTGAGTCATTTATACTACTGAGTAATCTTTTATATCAATACACAACAGTAACTCATTGTTGACTATTCTGAGCGAATTTCGTTTAAATATGTATTGAATAATAATTAAGATTTAAATAAGAAACTGCTACTATACATTAACCTCAACTTTTTTTTTTTGAACACCAAGTATAACTGATAATGAACTTCATAGTAAATTTGAAAACACTTCTGTTAGGTCGAACAATTATATTCACATAATAAAACCAAATAAAAACTAAAAAAAATTTGAAAATACCAAATATTTATAAATAGCTCAAAAATCGCCAGAATATTTTGAAAATGCTACCACGTATTTTATTATTCATTATATTATATTGTAGTTTAACCTACACACGTACGAGTATAATACCTACATAAAGACGCCATTAAATGATTGACGTTGAAATTCGATTAACTTCACCGGTCAAAAATCAAAATGGTTTCGGGCGAATCACGCCTCCCGTTTATACTATATTCTTTTACACAAATATCGATATAATTTACATACGTGTCAATTAGCGAAAAGAAATGAAGGGGTTTAGTAACATAATAATAATAATAATATAAACTTGGCGTGCGAACACCAACAAAATGTTTATACCTAAAACGCTTATATAAAAGTACATAAATCGTTCTAACGAGAGTATTAATGTATGCGATGTGTCCGGACAGTTTTCCCCCAAAAATTCAAGGAAAAAGTGAAAATATCTAACTACAACATAAACTCGCGACGGAGCAAATATTGGAATATTTGATGCTATGACAAAACAATATTCCATTTTTAAACAACCATTATTATTTATTTCAAGAGTGGAACTAATTTCGACGAAAAAGTAGACAATTTTAAAAAAACTTATTATTCTCAAAAACCAATATTACATTATTACCAAAAACTAATAAAATGTCAAATGTCAATAATATCACAAAAATCGACAGAATGTCTAGAAAAGACTAGTATATACTGTGAAAATGTCAACTCTCTATACGATTATTTTTAACTAAATCACAACAAAAATACCTAATCAAAAATAATAAAACCGTTAATGCCGTAAAACCAAAACATTCCACGGTCCTCTAATAATCTTAAGTATAACTATATCAAGATAATAATATCATATACATCTACTTTTTTTTTTCTTCATATACAACTAAGTATAGTAACAATATTCAGACGGAATTAAAAATCATGATTAATTATGATATAGGTACTCAAATTGTTCAAAATGTGACGATGGCAAATATCCAAATTCTCCTATACAAAATAATAGGTAATCAATAATCATATACAAAATAATATTATATAGACGCAAAACGATTTTCGTTATTCCCGATGAATATACAATATTATAATATTAGATTATAAAAGAATGTGTTCTAGAGTTTCTTCGGATAGAGTAGGGAAATAGGCGTGGTTATTATAAACACCAGGCAATTAACATTACACGCATAGGTGTCACTCGTAATTCTTCTGGTTAACTGTATGTAGATTTCCTCGTTGCATGCTTCGAGAGCCCCCGCAGCTGCCGCCAGCTTCTATATTATAATAAATGCTATTACAATGATAAAAATAATAAACTATTTTTATTTTTTTTCTTACGCAGCTGTAAGTACCTATAACCTATACACTCTTTCGTTTTCCTTCTTGTCGGACTCAAATTTTACAATTTGTACAATTTTTTTTTCAACTGCATATAAATATATACATATAATTAAAATAATGGTTAACAACACTCGTCTATTCTATATGATAATATTTTGATAGGTATATAAATGTACAGATTTGCAATAAAATTAACAATAACATTATTAACCTATAATATGACCACCGTAAATTAGAATTATTTTTGAATCGAACAATACCTGCAACAACACGTTATTGATATTATTGTTTATAAAAAATTGTATACGAGTAAAATAAACAATGGTTGATACAACCATTGATTATAAAATATTATAATAATTATTATAACATATTACAAAATTAATCGGAAGACTACGAAAAAAAATATGGGTTTACAGAATCATAAAATTACGTTAGTTGCTAAAAAAGGTAACTCAAGAAGATGAAACAGATTGGAATATAATAACAAAAAGAGATCTGATACTGCTGATAGGTGCGCCACTGTTGTAAATGGAAAGTTGGAAAGGTATAGTACATAAAACGAATTAATTTAAACCAGTAACGAAAAATTATTCTGTTCGAAGTTTGGTTACACATACATATTTTGAAATGCCGTAATTTTTAAGACATTCGTCAAAATTTGGACATAAAACACTTATAAAAAAAACTACTACATTACGCTAATTGTTTTAATTTTTTTAAATACCTTCCAAGTTTAACTTATAATATCAACCTCATATTAAATTTTCAAGCATTTCTGTTCGGCCAAACAATTATATCCATGTTAAACAAATAAAAACTAAAAAAACTTGAAAATGTTTAATACCTATGAATAGCTCAAAAATTATCCCGATTTTCACAACTATTAAAAAACCTACATGGGAAATCAAAAAACGACGTTCTTACGTACTAACTAGTCATAATTTTCTTCCGGATAAGAAAATATGCTACACTGAAAATTCTAAACAAAATTTCAAATAGAAAAACAAAATAAAAAAATAAACACCCATCGTATTAAAACAAATAGATTCTTCGCTTCGTTCAAAATCCAAAATAGTACAACATCGGTAGATGGAAAAAAGTAATCAAAGAAGGCTTTAAAAAAATACGCATGTCACGATTATATGTAAAATAAATTTTGAAAAACATTATCCATGAATAATTTTAAATAGTAGCCAGGTACGTGTGATTATTATTGAAAAGATTAGTTAATTTGATATGTATGCACAATAATACATCAACACATTACATTATGATGAATAAGTAACTAAGGTAAATTAAGATTAACTAAGAACCCTGCGAGTAAATTAATTTAAATATAATATAGCTAAGTAGGTAATGCTAAGTTGGTAAACGATATTCTTGTCTATTTGAATAGACATATTCAACACGACATATTTCCATAAAAACAAAACCTTTTTTTCTATTGACAAAAGTCGTAGGAACGTAATAAAATAGGTATATAAAACCTATCATATAATATCCTATAATGTTATAATACATATTATACAGATTTTCGGTTGCTTCTATAGGTAATTTTTAGTTTTTTGTATTTTGTGTATTTATATTTTTTATTTTTGTTTCTTAACAAGATTTACAAGGCTGACGGATAAAACAAGATGTGGAAAATAACACATTTAATCGTAAATCCAGTCGTAAATTTAAAGAAGAAAAAAAAACCGAATAACATTGGCGGTCCTATGAATATTTTCTCACTCGCCCATGTGTTAGCCCATCGGGTATAAATTAGTATCGACAAATAAAATAGAGTTATTTATGTTCTACAATAGTCCATTAAAAACGATGTATTTAGATTGTTTCAAAACAGCCGCGATACCTAATACACTTTGATGATGAGGTTGTCTGCACAATAGAATTTTAACAATCATTATCATACTCAAAACTGTTCCCGGATATATCCCGATCTAAAACATTAATTAAATTAATACTATCGTAATAATCAAAATTACAAGTAATATCAATATTAGTACTAATAAAAATTACATTAAATAAACGAAAAATTAATCAAAAATATTTAAGTATTATAAGACAATTTGTTTATAAAAACATACTGAAACAACGATAAATCATTGTGATTGAAAAACAATTCTAAGCGGAGCTCGGTAATCTTGTAAGGTTATAGTCATGTTTTATGCCCTTTGTACTCAATAATAATACATGTAAACCAGAAGAAATCAAAAAATTAAATTAAAACCTACATACCGACGTATTTGTTATCGATTTTCTTTTAATTTCTAAAAAGAAAACTATTGAAAATCTAGAAAAACTCATCAAACAAAGAACCATGAGGTGCAAAATCCTAGAGCTCTCTAAAAATAATTTTCCGAAGAAAAAAATCATGCCTACACACCTATTTTATTAAAACAACCTCTCCGCTGCATTCGAATCTAAAATTACTATAGGTATACCTAATATTACTATTCAATTTCTAAATATTATTAAAAATGTAAAAACAAATGAATGTACATAGAATATATTTTGTATTAAGCGTTTGAAATTAGTTTTAAATTCGAATATATATATAGGATCTTGGTTTTAGCTTAATATAATTATAATACACGGCGTACGACCACGAATCCGTTACAGAAAAGGTGTATGAAGACGAATGCGTTAATCTGCGGAGGTCGGAAAAAATAAATCTTTCTCATTCACCACTGCAGAAGCGCCCAATTTGGGTATGATGAAGACAAAACGTTCATAATCATTCTTTTCCGTTTTTTACTCGACGGTAATAACTACAATAATAATAAATTTAAATAATATCCAAAAACAGAAAAGATAATTTTTTTTTTCATTATTATTAAAGAGAAGACCGCGGCCTCGTTGCAAGACGTCTTTGTTTCATACGTCACCGACACGTTGACCCGGAACGATAATATGTAAATATATTTTACATTATTATATTATTTCCGAGACGCGTCGTCATTATATTGCCATCGTGGTTCGCCCGAGAAACTCTTCTGAATTTATACGGTTCATCGGAATGTGTCTGTATTAATGTGCGATTTATCATATATTATTGTTATTATATACGTGTATACGAAAAGAAGATATCTCTTTTAGAGTCTACGATTCCACCGACCCTGTATCTGTGATGGATAGACGAGTATGATGGAATAATAAATAATACAAGGATGAGGAACAAGCGGCATAATAATATTATAGTCCAATCGTATGTATAACTAAAATAAATGACCTAAAATAAAAATATCATTGTAAAGACATCGAGAATCAAAATTACAAATAAAATTATAAATGACCAAGTTACGCGGTAGTCAATCATACGAAAATAAATAATTCAAAAAAAACGAAAAATAAACTTCAACGAATAACTTCAAAAATGCAATGAATATTTTCCAAATACATTATTACATATTATTATACTTGTATTATAGACTTCATTATAAGTTTTAACGACGCACGAGGAGAACATTTGGACAAAATTTCAAATCACTGGATTATTAGAATCCATCTTTTGAAAACTTTGGACTTAAATAGTCAAAATGCTTCGAAAATACTTTTTAAAATAATTGGGATTATTTCAATAAATCAATTTCGGTGTTAATCGTCATTGAAAATATTTTATATCTTCTGTAGTGAGAATATCTATACATTTACCCTGTCATCCGTTCCTGGTCCAATGGCCCTTCTTATCTTTTTAACAAGTAATGTAATAATGTGTTCACATGAAACAAACGAAAAGTCCTTTAAAACCGATTTTAAAACCTATATTATACGATTTGTAGAGAAAAACATTTTAAAAACCTCATCGGCGTTTTTAAAATATTAATTATTTAATAAGTTACCTAATTGTTGTATTTTAAAAAAATGTAAACTACATTTTTTTGTACAAATGTGACAAATCAATATTTAATTGTGATGAACATAAGTCATATGATTATTCGTATAGAAAAAATGATATTAAGTATATTATGTCAAGTAATATTATTAGTTGCAAGGTGATAAGTCATTAGATATCTAAAAACCAAAATAATTATTTCCGTGCTATAATGATAAGTCAATAAAAACTTACCTTAAATAACTTTTTTCAAAAGGTACAAAAATTATTAATATTAATATTGAATTTAATTAAAATCAAACATATTGAAAACAAATTCGTTTGTTGGTTTTTTATCGTCTCCTGAACAATTTTTATTTTGAATCTATACTGTTTCTCACAAAATTGTTATTAAAATTATTTTATTATTATTTTTTTGTTTTATCTGTTCTATTCAAATATATATTATAAACTATACACTAATATTATTTTGAGTTGAAAAATCGAAAATAATAATAATTGTTTTGATAATATATACATTTTTTTTTTTTATTTTACATATTAAACGTATCGTGATTTGCGGTACAGAGGTGTATTATAATAGCCGCTTTATAGGTACCTAAATTACAAAGTATAAAAGGGAGCAACGACAACAACAAAAAGAGAGAAATCGACTGTTGTAAGTACTAGACAATAACATACGCGGTGGCGGCGGTGGCGTGAAAAGGAGACATGGAAATACTGTCGTAATTTTCTGAACGTCTGCGGTTATTGGAGAAATCTCAAAAAGAACTATAAAATGCATAACAGACGTATCCGCTGTTGATGCAATGTGCAACCGGCCACAACACGACATGTGCATTGCGTATATTGTGGCAATACCACAATAATGATGAACCGTGACGACCCGTTATCGCAAAAGCCAAAGGGACCGCCACCGCCGGCGAAAATCATCAAAAAATTAGTAACGGCACGGAGGGGAGGTCGACGCTGAACACAAAAAAACATCTGTAAACCGTACGAATTTTGGATTTTTTTCTATTACATATAGGTAGGTTCACATTTAACACGTACGAAAAAACTCGTCGGCAAAAATATTATACTCGTATGGGGTAGCTTACCCAAGGTATATCTATAATAATTTATTATGTTTTATAGTTGTTACTTTTATATATACATAATATACCTAACCTAACTTATAGCTTTATTCGATTTTTTAAACGCACATAAATAAACACGCGCCTGTTAATTTCAAATAATATACGACTATAATATTTTAGTGAAAATTCGAGATCATAGATGATATTTTGTATAGATATTAGAAAATAGAATTATTCAAATATTATACAACATAATATTCGGGGCAAATTAATCCGAAAAATACAATTTTTAATTAGGTTAGGTATATTAAAAAATGAAATATTTGTGGACACAATGATTTTTCTCGAAATCCTCAAAATTCTCGACTTTTTTTATTACTAATGTTAGGTCCAGCGTTCACTAAAATAACGTGGCATGCGATATAACAAGGTAGTAATGATATTATTCAATTATAAGCGAAATGGCAATACTAGTGACGTGATATTTGCACTTATTCGGTTTTTCAATCACAATTTGATATATGAGTATATAATAAATAATATATAAGATTGTGAACGATGAACAATTATAAACAGTACATATTATATTACTATTACTTGGAAAACATTTTTTTTACAGCTTGACGCTGATGAGTTTTAATATTAATTATATGGGAAATGTTATTTTTCAAAATAATACTTAACTTTTTTTTTATTTTTTTTTTTGCCGGAAATCTCTAACAAAAATAATCTAAAAATAACGTTTCCAATCTATAAATGTTCAAAATATCAACCCCAGCAAATTTCTTATCGACATTGGCGCCAGACGAAGAATCGTTTTTCTTATAAACTTTTATACACAACTACGCAGTCTTTTCTTTTAGTTGACAGACGAGCCAATATCATTGAAAAAGTTTACGACGTCAAAAACTATCTGTTCTGGAAATACTTCAATATCTCGTTTATAAACGTAAGTACGAATAACATGAATTCCTACCAAACATTACTGCACTGAACGTTTAGAACAGATTTTGACTCAGCTAGAACTCAATAAATACTTAAATGACAAATTAATCAATAAATTATTTGTTACTGGTCAGGTTAGGATTTTCTTAGACCAGGATTTCTACTCTTATGTGGGTTTATACAAATTAAAAGATCATACACATTTTTATTTTATTAAACTAAACTAAACTCGTGGTAAAATTATGTACGGAATAATTATTGTATGAAAAGAGCTGATACTGACAGACGGATGAGCCACTGTTATAGATGGAAAGTTAAGAAAGTAGGATACATAAAGTTATTTAATTTATATCTGTAAGAAACAACAAACCATTACTAACGTAGCACTATTCTGAGCTAAATTCGTTAATAGATTATAGATGTTTAGAAATTCCATAATTTTTACAATTTTCATCAAAATTTTATCTAGTTAAGAGTTGTTCTAATAAAAAAACTACAAAATTATACTCAACTTTTTTTTTTTTTATCACTAAGTACAACTTATGAACCTCGTGTTAAATTTACATGCATTTCTGTTTGGTCAAATAATTTTATCCACATAATACCTACTATATATATATATATATATATATATATCAATAAGGCTAAAAAAATTACAAACATGTAAATAAATGCAAATAAACAGTTTAACAAAATTGATAGAATGTTATAAAAATTCAACCAAATTTGAAAAGGCCAAATTAATTTTATGAAAATGTCCGGTTTTTACAATTATTTTTAATATAATTACAGAAAAAAAAAAATTGAAAATAGTAAAACAGTTATTTCCGTAAATATTCCCGTTCTTTCTACTTTTTTCCCGGTTTTGTTCCATTATTTAAAAAACTACAGAAAAATCAAAAATAACTTTCCAACTCACTAACTAGACAAAATTTATTTAAGAAAAGATAACTCTTGAAATTGAGAGTAATATTTTTGGTATAGAAAATTAGAAAAAATATAAAATAATGAAATAGTTAATAATAGAAAATATGTATGTTTTACTTTTACGTTTTTTTCCATTTATTATGAAAACTGTTTGGAAAATCAAAAAACACGAATTTCTTCTTCACCAACTTAATCCAGAACAATATTTCTGATAGAAAAATATTTAACAGACACTAAAACGTTTTTCATTTCCAAATGCTATATATTTAGATAAAGACTTTTCAGCGAATACAACACGTAAATGACTACATAAAATTAATCGCCAAGTGTCAACCAATCACAATGATTCGTTCCGAAAATTGCATAAATGATAATTTTTCCGGACTCCGTTTGGTTTTGTGCTTTATACAAAAAGCAAGGATTATACAAACAAAATACGTATGCTAAGGACTAAGGCGTTTATAGATAATATAAACTTGCTCTTCTCAAGACATATTTCTGTGAACCTCCTAGACAAATTTTACGAGAGACTATGTCCACTAACATAAGAGTCATAATGCATAAATTTCCTATGACCACACAAATCGCAACGACGGTCCCGCTAATAACTAAATCGCTACATTAATAACGCACCACGTCAAGATTCAGAGATAATAAGAGAGGTCTCAGTGGAAATGGAGGCAACGTGAGTCGACAGAAAAAAAAAATTAAGAAACATCAATCGATACATTATATAGTTACCTACCCTGCTATACCTAGACAATTTTAATTAAATATCGTTTATCAGGCACAACGGATCACGTACCTATTGGTATCTTTTATATTTTATGTACGCTAATATTCGTGTTACTTTAACAGCTGGACACCGAGCGAATATTGTTTTCACCTCGGGGAGGATTCTTTTGTTTGTTTTTTTTTTCCGTCGTTCCAACTTAATTATACATCCTGACCCGATTTTTTTAATTCAATGAAAGTAAAACAATACCTATATATTAAAATCTCATTATGTGTACCTATAATATGTTCGTATAGAATATGATTACGAGTATGATTATGCTCGTACAGGTAGATATCTAAATATTATTAATTATAATAATATTTATAATATACGACATAACTTTCATTCGTCGAATGTTCTATTTAAAACGTAGGTCTATATACTTTATTAATTTATTCGCTCAAATTCCTTTTTTCCCCCCTTTTCACTTTGCCAATTTATTAGGAAAACGTGCCCGAATTCTTATTTACAGTAAAGCGGAACGCGGAGCATTAAAAAAGCCGCCCACGACTTCCATTAACGTCACGTCGTTTGTCACAAATTTAGTACTTACCTATATACCTATCGTCCCGAAAACCCGGAACTCCATTAAATACGTATTTCGGTTTCACGGCAAACCCTCTCTATAAGTGTATGCCTGCCCCGGCATACAAATAGCCGATTTAAAGATTTTTTTCTCCCGGTCTCTTATATACTATTTTTGTTTTTACAAAAGGTAAATAGGTACCTAGGTAAGTACCTACTTTATGTTTTTTATTTTCAGACCAATCTAAAGCAATTGCATTATATAACACGTTCGTGCCCGAAATAAAAGAATCTTAACAGAGTTTATATATTTATTTTTTACCGCCATTCCATGAAAAAAGTAGTGAAGACCAAAAATATTTGTGCTCTTTAAAAAATAAAAACAGTTGTAGACAATTTCGAAACGCATACATACGAGTACACGGGTGTATTTTCAAGTCTAAATTTTCATTCATAAAAGATATTACGCACAAAAGATAAAAAAATCAACAATTTTTATTGAAAGACATTTTCCGGTGTAAGGTGACATGAAAGGTTTGAGCGGTCTTTTGAAACGTTTAAATCGAAACCTGCTGCATCTTTTATAATTATAATATAATATAGAAAGCATTCGTCGTATCCGCACAATTATTATATTGTCGGTGCCGCTTTTTGTAGACACTCCTTTGAAACACGAGATGCCGAAACACGCTGCGGAGATCTACAAAATCGGCGCGGCGGCGTGTAGGTACTAAAAAGAAATGTCAACATGTCAAAACCGACCTACCCTTTGTTCATCAACTACCTACCGGTGATGCCACTGTAGGTACATAATATCATAAACACTTTAAACCGTAATTTCATTGAGAAATTTAACGGATTATGTAGCCATGTAGGAAGTTATGTTAAAATCGATTAGTTCCAAAATGTCCTTAAAAATATTACTATAACAATCAATATCAATATTGGTAAGAAAGTTTTCATAATAATAAAAGAAACATATTCGAATTTTTATATACATATACTCAACTAGAAACACACATTATCTCGGAAAGTATTAACGTTTTTCGGAATTTTTTTGTTTTGAAAACATAAGAAACAAATAGTTTTAAAATTGTACATTATCATTTTTTTTATCACTCTTATTTTCAGAGGTGAAACGACTACCTACTTTTGATTTTCAATTAGCAGCCCATATATTGAAAATGCCTTAAATAGATGGGAGAAGTAGTTAAATGTTGGTGCTGAAATTTTTGATTTTCGTCAACCCATTTTAATATAGATTGCTATTTTAAAATCAAAAGTAGGTAGGTAACCGATTCACCCACAAAAAATAAAGACAATATAACATTTTAGAACACATAATTTTAAAAAGTGTTTAAATATCTGAGTTATTTATTGAAAAAATAAGTAATACATCGAAAATTTGACTGTAATAGAATATTTGAATATTATATAGCTATATAAATCTAAATATTCTAAGTACCCATTATAATAATTTGAATAAATATAAAGCAAAAATAATTATTACTTATATAGAAAAGTACCAATTGATTGTTAAGACATTCAAATCCATTATTCGTATAAAACTAAATATCTAAAAATTTAAGTTATTTATAGACATTTTAATTTTGCAAGTTTTTTACATAATTTTTATTTGGTAGGTACTCTGTGGATAAAATTGTTAGGTTAAACAGAAATTCTTAAAAATTTGATAGGACATTCATGATAAGTTGTACTTAGTGGTCGAAAAAAAAAATTTAGTTTAATGTACCTAGTACTTTTTTTTTATAGGAGTTTTAAAATCAATTTTTGACGAAAATCGTTAATATTATGACCTTTCAAAACATGTATATTTGAACTTCTCTCTAAATTGTTTTTCGTTATCAATGATTTATTGCTGCTTACAAGTATAACTTAAATAACTTTCCCACTTTTCCCACTACCTACCTACAACAGTAACCGCACCCATCCCCAATGTCAGTTCTTTAATTATTATTATTATGATTAACAGTATACTTAAAAACAATCAAATATAGTATTCATCTCTATTAAATTTAAATTTTTCTATTTAATAAAAATACCAATATATTGTAGCGTCAAAATATTATATCCACACAATATTATAATAAGTAGACTATCTACCATCTATCATGAATATACTCATCCAAGTTTAATATACATAATTAATGTTGTAGATTATTTTTAATTTTTAGTTCTTGTATTATTTCTTTTCTAATTATAAACATTTTTTTATCAATGATAGTATAGTGCCATTCCATTATGGGATAATAGATCAAAAAAAATTAGTAAGTAAAAACAGATGGGCGTATCCACTTATACAAACCTCCAACATAAAATAATTTGTAACATAACAAATGTTAATTATAATAATTATCACTATGCCAACTTCTTGTTAAATGATTGAGTATAACAAATATCTACAGGTAAACTAAATAGGTACATACAAACTAATATTAATTTTAGGTACGACCAAAATATGAAGAAAAATTGTCACAACTTCATAGATTAAATACTGTTATTAAATATTATTAATTATTAATACTCTTATAGGTACTCTACATTATTCACGATAAGTGTGCACTATAAACTTTATTACCACCACCTTGCAAATTAAGAATTATTACAAAATTTGGTTTTCAATTTCTAGAAAAGTCAATGGACCTAATAATAATGGCCATCATGACTACTGTACATCATTTATGAACTACATACTTACTAGTTCATCTCCTCTAAGTGGATTATGATGAACTACAATTTGTTTATTCTCATCCAACTAATAATGATAAACAATGTATAGTTATTATTTATCAGTAATAAATATATTTATAAATTGTTGTATGAAAATAACTCTTAAATGTAGGTATGTTAGATATTACTTAATGTTTGACGTAAATATTTTATAAAAGAAAAACTAGATCATTTATCATAAAAACACCTACCTAAGATTAAAAAATAAAATTTATATACAGGTTTATACAGTAGATACCTACATTTTTTATACAGAATACAATTATTAAGACCACCTTAAGCAATTAGTCAATGTTTAGCTCTTTACTATGTTTCATTAAACAGAAACTTTCTCTACACAAACCCCCACTGAGACTGGTATATATATATAAATATATATTATACATAGGAACTGTGTTTTTATATTGTACACTATTTATTATTCAAACATAAGAACACCTAATAAGATGAAATATATCAAAACACCACAACTTCAAAAATAAAAATAATACTTTACTTTAAGAATAGTTATAACTAGGGCGCGGATTTTAATGCCCTAAAGAAAACCTAAAAATGCCTTAGAAAAAATGCAATTATGACCTAAAAAATTCAATTAATGACGTAAAAAAATGTACTAAAAATATGAACTTAAAATATGAAAAATAATTATAAAAAATTTTTGTTTTCTACGTATGCTCTAATAGAAGCAAGAGTTTCATCATAACAAGTACTTACGTAGTTTTTTTCGGATAGTAGACTCTTCAGGAATTTGCTGATTCATATATTTTTCCAAAAAATTTCGAAAATTTGATTGTTTTAGTTTGGCTAGTGGAATATTTGATGACAACATGGCAAAACATAAATCTTTATTGAACGAATTAGTTAACGTGTCGGTAAAAAACGGTTGAGTTTTATATTTTGCATTTTTCGCTTTATTCATTTCCAAACCTTTAACATGTTTATCTCTTGATAAATGTTGGGTAATCGTAAATTTTTTTTCTGACGCAACTTTTACACTACAAATTTTGCAAAACAAAATTTTTCCGTCAGTCGAAAAAACATCCTCACCAAATTCGTTTATATACGCACGTAAACGAAGTGATGATGATGGCTTAACTTTAGGCATAATGTTAAAAAGATGAAAAAGACTTAATTGTATCTACCAAAATAAATAAAACTGCTATTTATAAACGTCAAACGCACGGAGTACAACACACGACACTACGACAGTAACTCGGTAAAACACGACTGTTTTCGTTTGAATACTAGAAATAGCTGATTAGAACGATATGTATAAAACTATATTTCGTTGAAAAACGGAAATTCTGTCCACTGACGGGACTATTAATAGTATGGCAAGGCCCACTATGTACACTATACACACGTAGTCCGTTTTATTGTTATCGACGTTATCGTCATCGACTATTGTCATTTACCATAATTCATATATGACACAGACGATAAAGTATAGTTTTCAATAATTTAGTAAAAGAAAAATATTGAATACTTGAAAATTTTTTATTTCTCTCCAAAAATGCTACATTTTTCAAAAATATGAAAATAATAACCTTAAAAGTAGCGAAAATGACCAAAAATGCATTAAAGAAGTTAAAACGACAAAAAATGCAAAAAAAAATTAAATTACATGAATCTACATTACTTAAAACGCATTTTTGCCAAACTGAGCATTGCGTAAGGATTTAGGAAAAAAATGCATTTTGCATTGAAATCCGCGCCCTAGTTATAACTTATAATAATATACTAGGTATCTATATACAAGATTTTTTTTTAACTGAGAACACTCATTATCTCAAAAAGTATTAATTATTTATAACAATTTTCTTTTAGGAAATTTTATATATATTTAGATGATCAACAAATTGCAACTTCACATTACAAGTTATATCATTATCATATTATAGTGAACTAAATATAACATATTTACAAAGAAAAAGGGTTTTCTTATTGAATATTAAACCTAAATAAATACAATTATCTTCAATCCTAACACCCTTAGGTCAGTAGATCTAGATAATACAATGTGTCAACAGAAAATAAAATGGTCCAGAGACAATTAACCAAATTATTAATCATATTCAATCTTTGAAAAAAAAAATACTAGAACACAGATAGACAATTTACAATAATCTTATTATTATAATACCTATGTATTCTATTTGTAGAATAATATCAATGAATATTTTCTTTCGTCATTTATTTTTTTTCTCTGATCAAATTTACTTATTAAACTCATATTACTGAGTATAGGTTGTAAATTAAAAAATTAAAAAATCTAAACATTAATAAGTAATATTCAGAATTTTTCTTATTATAATATAATACATAATATAAATAAATAATTAAATGATTGTAATAGCTAACTTAACTCTTATTTCCTAAAGATGCCTCCAATGGAAGGCTGCGTCTCCTCTATCTTCCTAACCAATAATTTAAAAAAAAATAAAACTAAAAAATATATGATTAATATCTACTCATTTCTCACATTGATATATTTATTTAATATACTTTAATTCAATTATGTTCTTAGTTGTTTAACTTTCTTCAATTAAATAATGTGCATAATATAATATTCCTTAAGAGGACGTGATACACCTGTAATTTGACCGTATAAATATAATTGTTAAGTAACAGAACCATTTTGTTAATAATTGAAGATTGATTGACAATTTTTTATTTGTTTTAATATGGAGAACTTTAGCTGTGATGTAGTATTTTTATTTTTTAGCTGGTAAGCTTTGTGTGTCACGTCCTTTTAAATTATATTATTACAACTACATGTATAAAAATGTTTGTTCTTAAAGTTGAATGCATAAAGCATAATTATTATGTCTTCTTTTTTTATATTATTTAAAATTCAATTAGGTAATTAATTATTTTTAAATACCTAGATACATTGTAGTTTGATTTTTATTCTAGTTATACAAATGTAAAATATTTGTATATTATACACAACACACTATACTACTCTTAATACAAATGTATATAAAATATAAACAATAAATAGTGTTTTTAGCCATTTTAGTTAATGCTATACCACCAATTAAAATATAATTTACACAAGGAATTTCGAGTACCAATATTGTTATTACTCAAGATACTTCTCTTTTAATCAGTAATTTAGAGACTTTCTAGTTACTTTACACTTTGAAAATCACAATAAAGAATAGTATAAGATATTATAAATTAATTTGACATACACTGTAAGAATCATTAGCGCCATATGTGTATTTCTCCGATTGAATATTATTTATACCATCTTTTTTTTTTTTTGTTAACTATTATTTTAAATATAAATAAAACAACACGAACCTGTAAGATGTTTTCCGGTAAATTCAAAATCATCATCTTGGTCCCAATGTTTCAATGACAAGTTATTTAATGGAGTAGCATTAGCAAATTCTAAATTTGCAAAATGCCAGTCTAAAATTTGACGATCTTTTGTTGATAGATACACATCACTAAAAATAAAAATTTTATACTAATATTTAATTGTAATTGAAAATAAAAGACATAGTTAAGCAATATGTCATACAAATTCAGTTTATTTTAAAATTATAAATGTTAATAATATACAATATTATAAAATTATTATAATTAATATGTGAATTAGATGCAATTTGTCAATTTGATAATTTACTTGACAATTTATTTAATATTTAAAGGTAAATAAAGATGAAAAACCAAAAGAAAAGGGGGAGGATACATTTTCAATATTTCAAATTAAGTACTAAACCTTATAATAAAATTTAAATAATTTTTAAAAAACTATAAAACTAATTTTATTTTTAAATCAGAATACAATTTTATAAATTTTTAATACCCATTTAAATGTGACCTATTTGAGCTACCAACACACTATTTTAATATGTAAGCAATATTTTGTTATAAGATTTAATGTAATAGATTTAGTTTTGTAAGAACTGAATAATTTAAATTAATAATAATTCATATAAACATACCTCGGTGGAGAAGCTTCCATTTCTTTTAATTTATCTTCGATTTCATTCTTTTGTTCAATTAATTCATCCCATTTCTATAAAATAAAAAACATACCCAAATAATATTATTTATTTATTTATTTATCAGTATAAATAATTATAGTTATAGTAAAGTTTACTTTAATATTAATAGCCATTTCTCGTATAACTGAACGGTATCCAAAACTTGAACTTGCATTATTATGCTTTTCTTGAGCATACTCTTTTTTCTGAGCATCCAACTCTTTTAAATTTTCTTGTATATGAAGTAACTAAGCAAAATAACATCAAATAAGAACATAAATATATAAAATTATGAAAATTATGAAATGTTTATTTAATCATAAATAGCATAACTAAACGGATAAAAGGATAAAATGATGTTAAACTCTCTTTTTCTCAATATGCATACTTCATAAATACACACTAAAAAATATTACTTTTAAACTCACATACCTTTTTATGTTTAGTTTTCAATCGTTCCTGTAAAGCTACATAATTTTTCATATATTGAGTTAACTTCTCCTTGACATGTTTCTCTTGCAATCTGTAATACATAAAATGTATATAAATAATTTAAGTTTAAAATTTCAATTGAAAAACTTTTTATCATTAAAGAAAAGTTTTAAAAAAACTATTTAATAGATAAAACATAAATATTGAATATTCTTTAATTTTAAAAAAAAAAAACTAAAAAGTAAACTATCTATTAATTATAAAAAATTCAGTAACTATTTACTAATTATTATATATTACTAGCATTCTCTAGTATTTATAATATATTTATATCACTATAATTTGTAAGAAATTTAAATTGCATTACTTTACATATATTTAAACTTAACAATTTTATTTGTAAACAACTTTTCTACCAGAAATCTTGCTCCGATTGTCAAGTGTAGTACATTTTCTAATGGATATGTTATCTGTGTAGTACTTTAGAGAAGTTGTTTGTTGATTTTTCAAACGGTTTTCATAATAATTAAGAAAAAACTTAGGAATAGGGGAAACAACATTTACAAAATGTATTATTTTCAATTATTATTATTTTCAAATTATTGTTTTTTATTGTGATTCAGTTAAAAATATTTGTAGAGACTTGAAATTTAGACAGAAAACTTATATTTGCCTTTTGTAGACAAGGTAAAATGTTCAAAACATTTTATTAATTTATGAACTATTCATGATATTGTAAGTACTCTATGGATAAAATTGTTAGATCAAACAGAAATTCCTGAAAATTTAACAAGAGGTTCATTATAAGTCATACTTTATGTTAAAAAAAAAAAAATTGACTGTAATGTAGAATTTTTTTTGTAATTATTTAAATATCAAATTTTCACAAAAATCATAATTACGGCCTTTTAAAACATGTATAACTGAACTTTTCTCAGTATAATTTTTTGTTAACAATGGTCAATTGTTAAATACAGATAAACATTAAATGTTCCTCTATATCCTACCTTTCCAATTTCACACATATAATCCACCTCTCATGCAAAGTATGTAAATCTTTTTTTTTTAATTTTAATCAGGTTATTCAAAATTAATCATGTGAATATTATACATTATACCTTAAATAATTAATACTAGTGTAGATTATATACTGTATAGGTAAAAATTATATCTGTTATTGATATCACTAGTGTATTTACTATATTAAATGTGTACATTAATTCAAAACTAATACAATAATAGTCATTAAATAAAAATTAATATTATTTAAAGTATTTCAAATATACAAAATTAAAAAAATAATCTTTAAAACAAATAAAAATACAAACTTTATAACCCATTCCAATGCATGACCAAGTGAAACAGGTTTTCCATTACAATAATTGAAATCCAAATGATGAGATAAATAACTAGTAGCTTCTAGTAGGCGATTAAATTCTCTTTCAACCATTTCATCTTTTTCTTTAGGGACTTGCTGTAATACAATGCACAATACATAGCAATAATAATTCTTTACATGCAACTGATAAACTTCATACTTACAGTAGACACTGATGCATTTATTTTCCCAGGTTCGTATAATGGACACTTTTGGCGTATACGATGAAGTTCCATATTAATTTGCTTAGATAAGACTGTAACTGGATTACCTCCAAGACCAGTAACTACCATTGCACCCAAATCAGCAACATAACTATTTTTGCGAAAAGTAGCTATACGTCCACCAACTCGATCCTAAAATGATCAATCATTTAAAAAATTTAAAATATGTCTTTTTATTATTTTATGTAACAAATTATTATTAATAAAATAATAAAGAAAAACAAAATTATGAAAATGTTTAATACTTGTAAATTAATAAAGTAAATAAATATATGAATAAAAATAAAAATAAATAAATAAATAAATGTGTCACCTGGAGTATTATGATAAGTGTATTATTAAGTGTATTACCAGTTTCGAATTAAAAATTCATCATCAGGTATACCACAATCAAAATGTAAAACGCAGCTGAATATAAAAATTAAATGAAGAAATACATAGAAAAAAATTATACAACTTAGTCATTTTACATAGAAATAATCTATTTTAATAGGAAAAATTATTTAAAATTATTAGACGTAGATATGTTAAGAAATATAAATTATTTGGTTATTATTTATTATCTAAAATGTATTGATATAAGATATTAAAGATAAAGTACACATTTCTGAAAAAAAATTTTAAAAAACTATCCCTAATTCAAACTTTGCTAAACATGTTTTAGAAAATAATCACATATAAGCTTTGATATTAATACAGAATTAGAGATATTAAATCCCAAAATAACATTTACATTAATTCAGTTTTAGAATAAATACACATACACAATGAAATATAGAAAAAATAATTGAATTTTTAATTTGAAACTGATCATATAATACACTTATCATAATACTCCAGGTGACACATTTATTTATTTATTTTTATACATACATTTTTCTATTTATATATTTATTTACTATATTTAAATTATTATTATTATTGTTATTATTATTATTATTATTATTATTATAATACCCTTGCTTCTAAAACAATCACTTCCATGCCAAATTGTTGCATTTGTTGGGCAGCAGCTAGTCCTGCAATACCTGCTCCAATAACAATAGCCTTTCCTACTTTTTTTGCAGGTAGGGGCTATAAAACAAGATAGATAATAAATTAGTTGACATATATACTAATATGTATATATAAGGTATCCAGTATATATAATACACATATGCATAAATATATAATATGTATGTATCCTATAATTACTTTTAATCTCTTAAATACTCCAAAATTGATATAACCGTGGCGCTCTAAGTAAGCATAAACTCTTCGAATAAGAACTTTGTCAGTGTTAAAAGGAGGTTCAATTGACGGCAAAGCAGAATCCAATAATAACTGTTGTTTTGGATTATCCAACCATTGTTGCAACTGATAATTAAATTAGATAACATTATTATAATTTAATCTTTTTTAACATATATTACTTTAATGTAACAACTTTATTTAAATTAGTTTTATTGCAAACCAATTCGAAATGCTTAACACCATAGTTTGTACTACTTGTTTTTAAAATAAAATACATTTACCAATCGATTTCGAATATGCAAAAAAACTTTTTGAGTTTGTGTTGGTCCAAGTGCAACATCTGAGAAACAGTACGCTTCATTTGAAGTCATTTTATCAAACGGTAGACGACTATGAAATGCAGCTCCTTCCAAACCTAATAGAAATAATAATATACAGCAAAATCAATATTTTGTTAATATAAGTTACACACAAAATATGAAAAAAAAAAAATGATTATTTTAGATATTATACTCAAAAATATGTTTTTAAATTTATTTATAAAAACTTTATACAAATAGACAACTCTTCCATTACAGAATTAATGTAAAATATGCTATTTTGACTATTAAAAATTGTTAAGTTATTATTTATATCAAAATTAGAAGTAGAAGAAATTTTTTAATTTCATACTGATGAACCATAATCATATACTAATACTAATCTAAGTATTCTGAATTAAAATGTATTAAAAATAAAGCCTTTAATAAGTGAGTATAAGGAAAATATGAGAAGTAAAAAATAATATCAAAATATTCCTTTAAAATATACTCTTAACAAAAAAATTATAAAAATTGCGTATATATATCTTAAAAATTTACAAAATCCTTAAATATGTATAAACAATGATTCTATACTTTAAAGGTTTACATAAATTAATTTTACCTGTTGGATCATCCTGTTCAGAGTCCAATTCAAAATCATTTTCTTCTTTAAATGGAGTTGCGTTATCCTCAGATGCATTATTGTCAGGAGCACTATCGGTTACATTAGGTGAAGTGTCATCATCGTTAGGTACTCCTGAACTCAACTAATTTATAGAAAACTCCGAGATAAATATTAAATACTATGGTATTAAATAACATAAAATATATTTTAACTTACACGAATTCGCTTACGACGATTAATTAAAGCACTCATACTTTATAGCGTTCACAATTAAAGTTTCAATATTCTGTAACCACAATATTGTAATACGCAATTGTAACTTCTAGATATACAAAAACAAAAAAAAAAACATATCAATACCAATAGATATCTCTACATACGGACACTTTACAAATGTGTATTCAGAATTGATAATTTGAACCAAAATTTTAGCGAAATCATTTAGGTACTTAAACTAAACAATACTCACCAAGTTTGAATTCGAAAAAATTTTTAAAAATTGTCAGATATTCTTTAGCAGTAAGAATATAGACAAGTATACTAAGGAGGATGGAGAATGGAGAATGGAGCAATGCAATGAATTCAAATTCAAATAAATCAGAACACCTGCAGATTGAGTTTGCCGCTCATAATCATAATAATGATAATAAAATACCCGGGAATTATCAGAAACTTTACTGTTTATGAGTATCACAATTTAATGTGTATTATCTTAGTTTATGGTACCGGGCACGACTGTATATAATCATAGATAATAAAGTACTTACTTCTACTCACGGCCCATGAATATGTCACTACTATCTATGTGTATAATATTATCTATAATAACTGTGATATCACGGTTCGAACCATGACTTATGATACAGACTAAAAATCATAGAGAGGCCGTTTCGTATCTCACCTGTAATTTACCACTTCTTAAAAAAAAAATATTGTACAGCGTATAGTACAATATATTGTACGGAAGTGATAAATGATAATACGTTTGTGATAATCTAAGACCGTATTGATTGCTGACATAATTTGTTTGATTCAAATTTTGTTTCAAAATTTATTTTATTTCATTTTAACTTTATTATTAAAAAATAAAACTTCCTAGCCGTATTGTTTGTGGCTATGAAGTATGATAGTGACTAAAAAATAAACACCTAAGTAATTTACAATAAATTTGTATGATTTTAATAGTAACTACTAGCTAGTTAAAACTTTAAAAAAAAAAATTATTAAATAAATGTATTTATAGAATTTGTTTATTTATATATTTATTTACGAGTATTAACCATTTTAATAATTTTGTTTTTACTTTATCATTTTATTACAAAAACTGCATAAAAACATTAAATTCCTCTCTACATCCTACCATCCCAACTTCTCACTTATAACTGTGACCCACCCATCATTCGAACTGTGAAGTATGTCGGCCTTTTTTTTTTGAAGTTGTTGACATTGGTCGGGTGTTACTTATCTCACCGACCATAGCCGGACGTATTAAGAACATAATCATGTCTATACAATAATATTCTATGTTAGTCCGTGATTTAAGATTAATATATCCATAGATACAGATTTATTATTTATTCGTATGGCAAAATAGAAAACAAGTAATAATGTTTATGATAATTATAACAATTAATAAAATAGAACATCAATAAGGCTATATCAGCAATACATTAAGCATAACAATGACAATAATAACAACAATGTATATAAATATATGTAATTTTTTACTAGAATAGTGAACCAATTTATCTGCTTTTGGATGTCGAGATTTTGAATACATTCAATAGCTTCCGGGGATTGAACATATCTTAGAGTTCGCCGTCAAATTTCCTAATAGGCCATTCAGTTAGTATATGCGATATTGTCTGGTGTGGTTAACCGTATTCACAATTTGGGGTTGGAACTCCATAGATATAGATAAAATACATACAATTACCTTATATCTATACCGTATATGTATATTTTAAACCATGGTTCGATCCTCAATATAATTTTTAATCATTGTTCGAACACAAATTCAAAGAATTTTTTATTCCAATAGCTGCAGCAATATTTGATATTTTTCTAATTGTCTTTCTTTAAAAATTGCATAAATTAAAATGGCGCTTGATAGCAATATCATTATCTTAAATAAATCGTGAATAACACTAAAGGTCATAGATAAGTTCTATCATATTTTAATATTGTTCGTTGTTCATAATATTATGTCTATCATATTGAGATACATTACCAGAGGCGTACTAAGGGGGGGGGGAGGTATAATCCCCCCCCGAAATATTAATTACAAATAATAACGAATACAATTGAATAGTCTAGTAAAGTTTACGATGTCTTGTTTTATTCATGTCATTTGTTTATTTAAAAAATTACCCCCCCCCCCCAAAAAAAAGTCAGGTCTAAGTACGGCACTGTACATTACATAAGTACACGATACACAGTGAAGAATATTTTATGATAACGGTTTGAGAGCATTATTTCTTAAGTTTTTTAATTTTCATAGTCATTTTATTTTGATCAAAGTATTGGTTCCGGATCTCGGTTGTAGTTATGCTGCTATTATTTGGTCGTATTCTAAACCATAGATAGGTTCTTAAATATCTTTAATCGTGGTTCTTATAGTATTTTAATTTTTTATATTAGGTTCTTATTCTATCCACGCCCTACAGACTATAATTCTAATATTCTATGGACTATAATCCGTAATTTTATCTATTCTGTGTATTATCACTATTATCTATGATCCGGACACACCTTAACAGAAGCAGGCTGCGTATTTACTCCATGATTTACTCTACCGAATAATTATTAATGATATAAGTACAACTGATATTATATTTTGTTGGCCTTATCGCTATGGTAGATATTAAATAAATCGCTTAATCGTGCCGTAACCATTGATTACTACATCTTCCGTGCTTCTGCGCTCAGAATATTGTCTAATCGTATTTGTAAACAAACACCTATTTGTTAAATAGTAGACAATTTCAACAATAACTGACCGTTGTCATAAACTCGTAATACATTTTTAAGAATTCTCACCCAAAACTTACAAAAAGACTTCAAAACGCCTCATCAAAATCAAGGGTAAGTAATGTCCTTCAATAGGTACATATTTCTAATGGTACAGTAGCAAGTAATCATTTAAGAATAAAATTGTATTAATGGAATTAATTTTCAGAGAAATCATGAGGAATAAAAAAGATATACACATTGCATCTAGTATGGATGAGCTAGAAACCCATATCAAACTACCTGATAAAATGAAGGACTTGAATTTACTAATGTATGAATGATTTAATAATTTTAAACAACAGTAAATTTAATTTGTTATTACAATTTCTTTAACACCTATATTATATTATTTTAAATAGACTAAATGAAAAAGCTGAACAAGTATTCAATAAAGCTAAAAATAATTATGAAGATGAAGAAAAAACATATATATTATTGATGAAGTATTGTGAAATTGTGCAATTAATGAAAAAACAATTTAATCGTGATGCAAGCTATATAGCTGGTATGAATAAATTTCACTTAAGAACAGCAATTACTATGTTGACCCATATTAAAGAAAGCTTAGAAAATAGGTAAGTTTTTTTTATAACCCTATAAAAACATAAAACTATGTAAGTGACTTAATTTTATTAATTGATTATAATATTACAATTACTGTCCATTTTTAGTATCTAAGATAAATTACAAAATGTATGATTTACTTTTTTTTTCAATTCTAATATTGGTTAAATGATAATTGATATCTGCCAGCACTTTTCCTTAGTATGTCTTAATTTTGGTGTCTTCCATCACTTACTTCATGAAAGATATTCTAGACTTTTCCCTTCCGGGTTTACCATTTATTTTTCATTATATTATTGTGTTCATTCGGTTTATGGACGTTTCCCTTCCTGAATCAATATAATATTTTTTTTTACTCGTAATAATAGCTTGAAAATATGTTCTCTAGTTTTACTCGAAACGTATAAAATATATTATATTTTTATTGTACGTTAATAAATTAAATTAAATAAATTCTCATGTACTTTGATAGAACTTATGTTGATAGTTGTATACAATTAGAAAAAAAATATAGAATTATAATACATACTTACAAGAAAACCTTCATTATTTCCACTTTCTTTATAGAACGTGTTTGAGTCAACTGTTAACTTAAGCTGGTATGATAAGAACAAATAATATTTTTGGAAAAGTCGTTTAATAGATTTACAACACTAATTTGTATTAATCATCCAAATATATAGCTTTTTATTGAAGCTCTACAGATAAGCAACTCAAGTGTATCAATAAAAAATTTGAATTTTAGAACAGGAGCTTTCCGTAAAAATTTGGGTAATAATGATAGGTTAACAAAGTTATGTGAAAGTTTTTCAAATGAAGATATTTTAAATTTTTTTAATTTCAATAAGCTATCTTATCAGAATAAAAAAATATTTGTTAGGATTTTGATGATGTATAATGGAATTTTATTTATTTATTTATTTGCGTTTGTATATTGTTTTTAATATTTATATTAGTGTATTTTACATTATTATTACATTCAAATTTGAATTATACTTATTTATTAAGTAATTTAATCATTAATACATTTATCAATTTGTATTATGTATTATTGTTTAATATTTTTACTTTTAAATTTTTATCCTGGAAGGGAGAACATCCTAGATTTGTTCACCCAATGGCTAAGTAGCCAATTTCTAAGTGTCTGATCCACATTTCCTTCTCAGTCATTACAAAAATGAAAAAAGTTATAATTTTGAGGAAAGCTTAATTTAACATTTATTTTATAATTTTAATGAGTTATCAATATTTGATCATAAAATTTAAGAGAATAAAAATGTTGACTAAATTTTTAATATTTTCTTTTTCATAAGAATTCATCAGTCAAATTTAATCCACGTAAATTAAGATGTACTCAAAAATGTCAAATAAAATGTTTTGAAAATTATATCATGTCTTGAAAAAGCTTATATAATAGTCTATTAATCTATGACAATTTCAAGTCATTAATTATTATTGAATTACTGAGTTAGCCCAAAACCCAAAAGCAATTTTGACAAAACTAGTGTAATATTTCTGATTTTCCTACATTTGTTAGATTTTCCCATTAAAGAAAATTAAAAATATTATTTTGAATGATGGCTTCTGCAATCTGAAGTTTATGATTGAAACGAAATGGTCAAAATATTGACATTAAAAAGTGGATAAAATATAAATCAACTCAAAATCTAAATTATTAATGTTTGTGAAAAAGTCCATTATAGCTTAAATTTTTTTTAAAAAAACCTATTAGAATATAATATAATAGGTATAATGAAGTATATTTATATTTGAAAAAATTATATTTTTTAATTTTTTAGGTATGAAGAAAAAGCAAAACAAGCAAATAATAAAGAGCAGATTAAATATTCTAAACCTAAAGTTAATGGTGTACGCCCTAATGAAGAAAAAAACAATTTTGAATTTGAAAGTACAATAAGTAATAAAGACCTATTTTTTCTTTTACAAAATACCAAAAGAAGTAAGATTTGTCTACTTGATACAAGACCTTCAGATGCTTTTCAGGATTCTAAAATTACTGCCTGTGATGTTATTAATATACCAAAAGAAAATTTAGTCCCAGGGTATGAATTATATTATATTGTTTATCCAATAATATTATAATATATAGTATTTAATTTATTATGCTGAATAACAATATATATATTTTTAGATTAACAGCAGACTTATTAAAAAATAAACTAGAAGGATCGTTTCAGGAAAAATGGATAAAGAGACATAGTTATGATTACATTGTGATACTAGATCAAGGAACAGAAGATATTGAAGGTGATCTAAAATTAATTTATCTAAGGAATGCATTACTTCAATGGGATCCACCATATGATAATAGAAAAAAAGTAAAGTTTCTCAGAGGTGGTTACGAAGATTTTTCTTATGTATGTCCATGGGAAACTTCTCAATCAGCTGGTCTTACACAACCAAATAGTGATGCCGAACATCTTTCAGATGTAGAGTTAGAGCCTGAACCTGAATCTGTGAAACCTGAAAGTAAAATATCTTGAAATACATTTTATATTACTTAAATTTTTAAACATTTGAATTGTTTAATTAGGTAAACGAGTTCAATATCCATCCTTAGACAGTATGCAGAATGATTTGCTTAAATTTCAAATAAAACCAACTGATAGTTCCAGTGAAGAAGAAATGGATACTCAGGAAATAACTTCGACATTAATTGAACCACCTGTGTTTGATAGATCTACAAAAGTATTAAAATGTATTTTTTTATAATTGACAAAATTTTAAATTTTAAATTCATTTTTTTCAGCCATCAATTAAAATGAATCAATTCAATAAGGTTGAAATTATTAAACCTTTGTACAATATTAATGATGAATTAGATGAAGAAAACAATGAGGTATCGGTTTTTTATTTTAAAATAAAGTTAAAACATAAACTAAATGTGTATAATATTAGTATTACTAATATTTGTTTATATAGCTACCAAATAATATTGAACAACTAGAAAATAGACAATTATCCATTGATAATAATATTTTAGAAAATGAGGATTCCTATACACTCAACTATAAAAATAAAGTATTATGTTCAATATTGTATTTGATTTGTTAAATGTGTTTTTAATTAATATACATTAGTTTTTGATGAATTATTATTTATTTTAAAGGAAAAAGATTTTTGTCCAATTCCACATGTAGACCGTTCCACTAAGCCATTGGACGATTTACTAAAAGTTTCTAAAACACAAATCACGGTAAGATATTTTTTTTCATAATATAAACTATAGTATAATATTATATTTCAAAAGTAATTTTTTTTAATTTCATTATTTCAAATAACTCTTTTGATGATTGTCCACTACATTATATTTCATAGTAAAAGTTTTAATTTCCAATATTAATTATTGTATCAAATTAATATTCAATTTATATTGTTTGATTTATTATCATTATAGGGAGGAGATGGGTTACGAGGTTTACTAAATTTAGGAAATACATGTTACATGAATTCAATATTACAATGTTTAAGCAGCACTGAAGATCTTGTAAAATATTTTATAAATGTATATAATGAATTCATCAACCATGAAAGTAGAACAAAAGGCTTAGTAGCCAGAGAATTAAGTAATGTCATTAAAAATTTATGGACAACATCTGATAGAAGTTTTTTGTGTCACAAGTTTAAGGTTGGTATCAGCTGTAATATTCCAATTATTATATTTATTTACCAAATGTCAAACAAAGAATAATTTTTACCAAGAACCAGTAATTTATCTTCATGGTTTAAGTAATTGGAATACTATATTTTTATCACAAAATGTAATTTTGAATTTTTAAAAAAAATTAATATGATAACTTATTATTTAAATTGTATTATATTAATTTATAATAATCTATAAAGATTTATTTTATTTCCTATTAACTTCTGGAAAAGTAGGAATATCTTTTTGTTGTTGATTTTCAAAACATTGAATAATCAATAATAAAATAATTAAGTAAAAACAAAATTATTAAAATGGTTTACACTCGTAAATAAATATTTAAATAAAAAATGTATATATAAAAATAAAATTAATTAATTAATAAATGCGCCTCCTGGAGTATTATGATAAGTAAGGACCGTATTTTGCATATAATATATGTTCATATTTTTATAAGCAATTACATGCAGTAAATGGATTTTCTTCAATCATACTTAAATAAATAATATTACAAATTTTTATTTTGCATATTTTCCTTAAAAACACATAGTCATGTTTTTGAATATTATGTATACATTTAAATGTTTTAATTTATTTTTTAATTGTATATATAAGTATTTTTATTAATTTGGTCCACCACACTAAAATTGAAAATATTTTTAAAAATAATATAAAATTACGTTTCTGTTGATCATTAGTTGGTAGGTAGGTACCTAATTATACATATATTTTTATTTTACTTACTTTATCTAATATTATCACCAATTAAGTTAGTAGTTAAGTAGTTCGAAGTATACATTCAACAATAGTCAACGTATTTTAAAAACGGTTCCATTTTATAGAACATTGTTTGTGTTTATTACTATACAATGCCAAAATATCCATGTCTTTTTTCATCATTAGTGTTTTGACTTTATAATTTTACAATAAATAAATAGCTGTATTAATCAAAAGTAATTTTGCATATTTGAAATTTTTTAAGTGTATATTGGCCTACATATTTTAAAATTTTAAATGCATATAAATCCGGACTTCAATGATATAGTATATTCTATAACCAGAATAAAAAATTTGAAACTGGTCATATAATACATTTATCATAATATTCCAGATGATGCATTCATTCATTTATTTATTTTATTTTTTTGTATACATTTTTTATTTATACATTTATTTACTATAATTATTTACTTTATCAAATAATCATTCAGTTGATCTTCAGTTCCATTAATTATAATATTATTCAAGGCACTCCAATTAACTTGAAACTAATAATAAATGATGATTGATATTACTACTTAAAGTATTTTAAATAACTTAGTCAGTGTGTTGTTCTAAAACAAAATAGAATAGATCTTCACAACTCGTTTTTGTTCAATTAATACATATGCTTAATTGTATCACATAAATCTCACTTTGGTAATGTCACTCAGTCATTTCGATATACATCAGTAAATATTAATGTGTCCCCATAAATGTATTAGTATCATTTACACTCTTAAAATTGAAATGACCATAAACCTAATTATTTTGTTATCTTTTTTTTTTCTTTTAATACCTATATAGGAAACAATTGGAGAATTTAAAGATATGTTTAAACATTATGATCAACAAGATTCACATGAATTTTTAACCATTCTATTAGACTGGCTTCACGATGATTTAAATGAAGTAAAATATTAAGTTACATATCTATCTGTATTAATCACTTATTTTTGTTTTTTATTATAAAATTGTTTTATTTTTAGCCTGTAGACAATAGAATTATTTTAGGTGCTTCAAAAGAAACGGGTGAAGAAGATTGGGGGCATTGGACAAAAACTAACAATTCTATAATTCAGCAACTTTTTTATGGTCAACAAAAATCAACCGTTTCTTGTGATACATGTTTTGAAAAATCCATTACATTTGAACCATTTTCAAGTCTAAGTTTACCATTACCATCAGAAGGAAACAGATGTACACTTGCAGTAAGAAAACTGTTTTAATTATTTATTGTGTCTAATAAATTCAGCCCTAAGAGATCTTCGACTAAAAGTTTTATTGTGAAAAATCATTCAAATAAAATCTTAAATTGAAACCACATAGTAATTTTGTATAGTCATGTTCTATTCTAATGCCACACGTGTTTTTTTGTGTTTGTTAAACTACTAACAGGCATAAATAAATACCTAAATAATATTAGCACAGTATGTTATCATCACTAATTTATGAAAATTGTTATTAATATATTAATATTTTCATAGTATTTATGTTTTAAAACCCCTTAATTTATTTAAAATAGTAAACAATTTAAGTTTCCAAATAAATACTTATAATTTTGATTTTAAATTCTTTTTGAGAATCTAATTTTAACTATTATTTGTATTAACTACTAATTAATACTACTAAAAACTCATAGTTATCTATTAACTATAGTTAATCAGTATAGTGAACAATATTTTTGCATACTTGAATTTTTTATAACATTAAATTTTATGTAGTAATTTTAAGGAATTCCCTGTAGTGATAACAAATGAGAATCTACATTTTTTGTTGCAAATTATGCTATTTAATAGTTTTCTTTTTTTCAATTTTGACTTAACTGTAATCAAAATTTGAAAAAAATATTTCTGAGTTATTCTACTTTAAATAGGGATTGGATACCAACTGGTTGACGGAAGTCAAACTTTATTTAAAGTAAAACTCCATCTATTTGTTGAATTTTTTGTAAAGATTTTTATTTGAAAAACCAAATTTGGTACCATCACCGGATACTCTTTAAATATTGTGAAAATCTAAGTATTCAAAAATATCGGCTTTTTAACCACACTAAAAAGTTCAAAAAATCAGAATTTAAATAAATACAAAATTTAACCCAAAAAATAAGATGATCACACTTAGTGAATCACCTGTACATTAATTTGTTATTTATTTATTTCATACAATTAAAATAACACAAATTGTATAGAAATAAATATAATATGTTAAATTATGTTTTATATTTACATTTTTTTTTTTTCAGGATTGCCTACAATTATACTTGAATGGTGAATCAATATGTGGTTGGCATTGCCCAAAGTGTAAATGCAGTAGAGATGCCACAAAAAAATTAGACATAATGAGGCTTCCACCGTATTTAATTATTCATTTGAAAAGGTATTTTTTTAATACATACATTTTAATTTTAGTTTGAAAATGCTAAAAAAAAAAATTTTAGGTTTTCAAGTACTGGATATAAAAAAAATTCAAATGTTGAATTTCCTAAAACTGATTTAAATATGTCAAATTTTATTAATGGTATAGAACATCGAAATTGGAAATATAGTTTGTATGGTGTATCAAATCATTCTGGATCGCTTGATGGTGGGCATTACACAGCATATTGCCTCAAAAAATTAAAAAACAAGTAAAAATTATATAATTACCATTTGTATTACATATATACACAATTATATACATATCATATATATATTATAAAACTTTCACTAATTTTCACAGGTGGTATAAATTTGATGATGTTCGAGTGTATGAAGTTGATTCATCTATAATATGTTCTTCTGAAGCTTATATATTATTTTATTGTCGAAAAAATTTATTAATGTTTGAAAACTAAAAATAAAATTTATAGGTATCTATTATTTTGTTGGCGTCTTTTGTCCACAAATAAGTATTTTATTAAATTTTAATAGGTATTGTTTTTATTATTAGATGTTGATTTGTTGATATTGCACACTGTACATACAAATATTTATATTTATAAATTACTTATATTTTTATATAATATATTTTGACTTTTTGATTTTAAAAGTGAATTAACTACCTAATAATAAATTTATTTAATAATGGTTTAAAAAGTCATATTTATTTCTTACTTGTTCCTTTTTTTCTAATATCTAAATACTTAATCAGTAATAATTATTACAATGTTTTTAAGTTGCTTAATTTAAATAATGGTAATTATTTGTTTTTTTTAATTAATTTTACTAATATACTGAAGAAACATTGTGTTACAAAAATAAATTGTACCTATTTTTATTAGTTTGTAAACAATATTAAATAGCCAAAAATTGCTTTATCTTGGTAACATTTATGTTTTTATTTATTATTATTATATAATAATATAATAATAGTAGTAGCCAAAGAACAATGCCAACACAAATAAAAATAAAAATTGTAGTAATTTTTGTTGTCAAGAATCCAAAAAATTCAGTGTGGTCCTGCTGTGGTGTCAAATTAAAATATTAAACGTTACAAAGGATGTTCATACTTCACTGTACACTGAAACTGAATTACAACTAAAAAGTAGTTTGATTTTCTTTCCATATCAGTGTTCAATATTGGTGAAACGAAACTTGTTTATCTAAAGGTTCCAACTAAAAAATATCAGTGTAAGAATAAAATTGTCTGTATTAGGTTGAACACCAAACGTTAATGAAAAATAAAATGCAATGAGTTTGGTTGCTTACTACATAAATGAAACTATAAAAGTATAATCGTATTAGGTAATTGAGGCCGTGCTAAGGTAACGGTCAAACAATGTTCACCGAGTGTAGTTTTCTTAATAATTGAGAAAAACCTGGAAATTTATAAAAATAATGGTTTCATTATAAAACAAATATCTATTAAATTTAATTTTTCCTTATAATATTATAATTTATGAACACAAATTACAAACACATGATAAATAATAAATATATTTGTTATACAGTCATTATAAAGTTATTTATATAGTTTTTGTTATTTCCAGTTTGTTCATTTGTTTTGGTCATACATTACATCCGCAGTTTGCATTTCAGAAACTCACTTGCTTTTACCAGCCCCTTTGGTCGTGAATTCGTAAAAAACACTTTTCACCAAAAATCTACAATTTAGCTTTTTCGGCTTTTTGTAAAAATCGTAATTGGAAAACGGTGCTTGACGAAACTAGCAAATGTTTTGCAATTCACTTATATGGTCTACCTCTAGCATGGCGTTTTGTTCGTTCATAAGTGTTTTCTCTACATCAATTTCATTATCTACTAAGTATGGATTTTCTTATAAAAGTAAAAGCCGCGTTTTTCTTCGCACCTTTTTTCAACCACCCTGTTCCAAACTCAACGATACGACCATTACATTTTTGCAAATCGTGAAATAAGTAGGTATACAAATTCTTCGTTGTCACTTATCCGTCCAATTTTCTTCTTTTTTCCTATTCAATAGTTTCATAAATTCGGTATGTTAACCACTCACTGGGTGTCTTCCGTTGTTCCGTAATAATCAATTTAATTTTTCAAAGTCATTCGAGCATAATTTCGCCGGTTCTAGAGACGCATTATTAGTTCTGCAGGCAGTGCTTAATTTGAGAGCAGGATAACGTAGGTAGACCACTTCTAATTTAGTCTTAATTTAGTTGAATACAATCATTACAAAGGACGCTACTTTTTTTAAGACTTTCAGTACCTTTTTTTATTTTTCCAATTCAAGCACTGCCTGCTGTAGACTACGCTATAATATTGTGAAACCTTTACAGTAGGTATTCATCATAGTGCGCAGCATACGTCGAGGAAAATATAGACATATCTAGTTAAATAACCCACCGAAATTTCTACTTTAAGAATAGTAGGTACCTACGGAAAAATAATTTACTTATTTTACATGCGTACTGTAAAAATAAGACAGCAATAAACACTGCTACAAACAGTTGCGACACGACCACCATAGATCAAATGACGACGACGACGAAATAGCCATATTATATTAAATTCAGTACCTATATATTATATAGGATAAGGCTGAATAACAGTAAATATATTAATAATCAGAAAAAAGAACCACGGACAAAAAATTTACAATCTGTATACTTTTTCTTTTATTATTTTTTTTTTTTGTTTTTTCCCGACCAAACATTAATTTTCCAACCAGAAAAGTTACTAAAGTTAAAAATAAGTTGAGTATGAAGTTTTTAGTAATACAATCAATATTATAAAAATTGCTTTATAAGGCATTAGTAAACAATAATAATAATAATAAAAATACTATGATAAAAGTATAAAATGCTATTGCTTTTATTATAAAATTAATAATATAATTAATAACGCTAAATATAACTAATTATAATACAATAAAAAAATTGGATTTTTTTCGGTGGCTTTTTGTTCTTACATTCAAAATTTGAATATATTAAAATAAAATTATCGTTAAATACCGACGGAAATGTAAATATTATTTGGACCGTCGGAGGACTATAATACCGGAGGGCCTGATTAATGAATAATTTGCTACCAATAGGCTGGGGGGGATTGATTTGACGATAATTTTTTTTTTTTGCTCATCAGTCATTATACCTACCAAATCTTTGGTTCCTTACCCTATAAATACTGCCCCCCTTCAAAAAAAAAGGTCTACTACACATATAGTCAGAGATACAAGTTTGAAAAAAATACATTTATTTTTTAAAAATCGTTTTGTTGCGCCTCCTCCCTAATTTAACAACATCCTAAGCTGCAGCCTAATCAAGCTAATGGTTAATCAGGCCCTGCACTGAAAAAAAAAATGGTAACGATTACCAAAACACGATTGATTTTCGGTTGCATCCATGACACCGTGTTTGGTTTAATTCACAAGTTCCATTTGGTAAACTGAGTTTGTAGCGGCCACAGTTAATTTCAGTTATAGATATTAAAAGTATAGCGATTATACCAAACTGATATTTACCACAACTATTTGTTTTTGTAGATCGTATGTATCTACAATAATACGCTTTGTTGTAGACACCTATTAGTTCGATTGTTACAAACATTAAATTGTAAATACAACCATGTATAATTTAATGTTTATTACAGTTCAATTTTAGCTATTGTATAATACTAGTGAAGTTTAACTATATAACTTATTACAAGTACCAGTGCTAGCTTTCTATCGTTACAAAACATAGTGGCAATGCTACAGTTGAGTTTTGTACAACTAAGTAATTATTTTGTTTACTATAACATGACATTTTTATTGTAGTTGACAAAGTATCACTATTAAATGAACTCCACTCAGATTCGTTTTTTCGTAAGCAATGGTTTATCGTTACTTACAGATATACATTAAATCTCGTCTATATCCTACTTTCCCAACTTCCCACTTACATCAGTGGCTGCACCCGTGCCCATTATCTTACCTTTTTTTACTCGGTAACGTTTACAACTTTTTTGTTTTAAATAGGTGTAGGGTTACACCAACTACCAAGATATTAATAATTGACAAAATAATGTTTGTAGCTGCTTCTTTACATACTGGTGTTTACAACCAAAACTGTCATACTGGTTATCATATTTCTGCTGTCCCTACAAAAATATATTTAGCTTAACAGGTTTGCTAAAATTGTTCAGTTATTTTATTTCGTGTGAATACAAATAATAAGGTTGGTAGTGTAAACAAAAAATTTCCCTTCAAATCAAACGTGTGTAAAATATTAAAACAAAAATGATATAGGTACCGTATGTCTACCTATCGTCTAATATTTTATACGATAAATAAATCAAATGAAACACCAAATATGTTCGTTTTAAAAAATACCATATACTTGATAAAATTAATTGAACAAAAGAAACGTGACGTAGAAAATATCTGTGACAAAATTATAGAAAATAAGTTTCAAAACCGTTGGCTTTACGATCACGTACGGTAATATTCACACTTATTTTTTCATCGTTTTTTTTCCCAAAGCGGGCCTATTATTAGCGGTCGATGAACGAAAAAGCACGGTCCGTCAATCGTTTTACACTCGTTTCTATAATACTGTAAGCTCAGTGACGGATATTAATTAAATGCTAGCGTGTAATGCAGGCTGTCTCACAAAGATATACCGCTTGAACATCTCCGGAGATAAAAAAGATAATCAAATTCTGTTTTTTTTTTTTTTATATTACTCACAGGGATAAGGACTACACCTATTTATATTCAATTATTATTATTATTTATTTTATTATTTTCGGAAAATTTTAATGTACCACACATTCACATCCGATGAATAAGTTTCCAAGTAACAGCCGTTTTAAATTCTACTGAACCCGTGTGAAAACCGATGTTATCGCGTAACACGGTTAGGTTATTCCCTAGATAATATCGGTTTTCACACGGATTAGTAGAATTGAAAACGGCTGTGTGGCTTAGGAACTATTAATCGGATGTAAATGTGTGATACATTAAAATTTTCCGAAAATAGTAAAATAAAAAGTAAATTTTTTTAATTTGAAAATAAATATTTGTAGTACTCATCCCCGTAAACAACGTACAAAAACAGAATTTAATTATTTTTATCGTCTCCGGAGATATTCAAGGGGCACATGTTCGTGGGACAGTCTGTATATTTTACAGCGTAGGTACTAATGTAGGGATGAGTAATTATTTTCTTATGAGTTGCTGGTATAAGCGGCGGCGGCGGTTCGTGGGAGCTGTTAAAGGGAGCGAATTACGCGTACATTTGCAATAATAGTAAATGAGTACTAAATCTATCATCATATATGACCTATCACCTACACCATAGGTTTAACCGACATTTTTACTAACGATTAACCGTTGCGAGCGTATGGATAGCATTGAAAAGGCCGAGGGAGAACCCATTATTCTCGACGTTCGATGTTATTGTTTTATATCATTGTTGACGTGCGAGCGGTTTAAATTCATCCGCACGCGGGTCGCTCTGTTCGGATTCCCGAACGGCTTACGGACGACGACGACAGCGTTTCGTTACGTAGTTGCCGATTTTTGCACACACTTTCCGCTTTCTGCGTATTGGATTCGGTGGCGCGCAGCACGAATAAGGGGGGGAGTGTCCACCGAAATTTCGTCTTTCACTGCGTTTATCAAAATTAAGTTTTACATTCAACAACATACCGCAGAATAAAATAAAATTTAATTACATCAAAAATCATTTATTCAGTTATAATATTATAGTGAGTGTACGTACTGATAATAATATGTGATATACACTCTAGATATACAAATTTACATTAAATTTCCATCTACAACAGCGATCCCACCCATAGTACGAAGTTTATCCGTTTGTTCTGTGCTATTTATGGCACATCAATGACAGAAAATGCCACTTTTTTTATAATAAATATATTCATTTTTATAATAATTGCGAAAAACCAAAATAAAAACGAAAAATGCGATTTTTTTTCAATTTACCGCACAACGATTTCACTATTTAAAATGTTTAAGATTATATATTTCTATCAGAAATCTTTGTCCTAATTATTGCAAGAATAGCATATTTTCTGAAAGAAAATTGTGTCTAGTTTGTGAATAGAAGGGCCGTTTGATTTTCTATAAAGTTTTCCTAATAATAATAACGAATCCCCGGGAAAAAACATAGGAAATACTACAAAATGTAGGACATTTGGGTTTTTTGTTGTTATTCGGTTAAAAAGTGTTGTGCAAACCTGTGGTTTTCATAAAATAATTTTATTAGCCTGTTGTGGGCATCGTAAAATGTTCAAAACATTCTAAATATTTTTAGACTATTTTATAGATATTTGATATTTTCGTGGTTTGATATGTATTTTTATTTGATAGTTCTCTGTTATCCAAATCACGCTTGAAAATTGAATACAAAGTACATTAATACATTATAAGTATTAAGTTGTACTCAATAGCAAAAACAAATTTAAGTTTAATGCATTAGTTTTATTTTGTTCATAAGCGTGTAAAGATCAAATTTTGTCGAAAATCTTAATAATTATACGTCATTTCAAAATATTATGTCTTTTCGTTTTCATTGAATGCGGATATAAATTAAATCCTCCTCAATGTCTACCTTCTCAACTTCCCACCTACAACAGTGGCTGCACTCGTCCTCGGTATCGGCTTTTTTTATTTTTTTTTTTGCCATAATTTTCTTGTAATACGTAAATTTAATATGTAAATCAGAATTTGTCCGTAACAATAAAATATTATGAGCCTCTCACTCTTCGGTCCGGTGGCCGTTAAAATGGAATTGTTGCCAAAATTTATGAATCTAATCGATTAAAAAAAACCCAACAACAACACCGACGACGTCCAAATTCGGCGAGGAAAACATTTTACGCTTCTCTGTTATATTCGGGCTGACGGACGCACAGTTTTGGCGTAGGTTAGACTGGTAATTTATTGTATCAAATTTAACTTTTTACCAGAGTTATAGTTGTGAATCGAATGCGGTAATACTATCTATGGCAGTTGTGAGATGACCATTTAGACAATCAAATGACCGTAATATCAACTCATCCGCCTATTCGCTTGGGCCGGTGTATCTAAGTATTTTTCATATCGGGGAAAAAATCCAATATTTTCTGTTTAAAACGATTTTTTTTAATAAACGTTTAAGACGAAATAAACTGTTTGTGTGTACCGACTGTTCAGCTAGCCATCACGCACTGTAGGTTTGTAGATCCGTTAATTGCAGTGTACGGCGTAGTTCGAACACTGATATCGAACTACACTAGTAATTAAATATTAAGTAATTAAAATATAAAACGTTGGTAATTTTCCATTCGATAAGATTCTGCGTATACGTACGGAAACTAATAAATTAGTATTACGTGCGTTGTGTTTTAATTGTGATAATAATGTATGAACGTATACATTTGCACAACAACTCTGAATTTCCAATAGGTATATAAATTGGTCGAAAGAGAACGCAGAATACGAATTTAAATAATAACAATGTATAATTATTATACTAATATATAATTGTATTGTAATTAGTTTATTAATTAATGTTCAAGTAATACACGGTTTATCCGAACACCAGCGATGGATGCACGCCTTCCGTTTTTCCTATTCCGAAGCCAAACATAATAAAATAAAAATCAAACTCAGTGTTCATTTTGCTTCAGTGTTCGGAGTTTGTCATTCATTTAAAAACCCACTGCAGACTATTAGTGAACATTATTCGAACTATCTACGCCGAACACTGTTCACGGATGAATAATACTGTAGTGTCTAACCAACTTACGATAAAATTTCGAGAATGGAATTAACTATTGGTATACTACCTAGGTAGGTATTCTTATCATTATTTATGTCAAAAACCTATGTAATTTCTAATAGATATTTTTGTGTTCCAAAAAATGACTCTCAGAGAAAGGAGTTTATTATAATTTGTCCAAATACCATAGCGATTTCGTCACAAACAATATTAAGCTCGTAGACATGTGGACCTGTGATTTTTATAGATTTTTTACACAAAGACACTTAGACATGCGAATGCCTACGTTATCTGTCTGTGACGCGTAGTACCACAAAATGTATAAAAAAAATACCACTGTGTATGTGTAAGTGTGACGCGTAGACTGTACAGTGATATACAGTAGCGTAACCGGGAAGACAGGTTTCGTTTGGAGAATTTTTTTTTTTTAGTATTTTTTTGCAGACCTTGGAAAGTTCATTTAAAATATGAACTAGGTTGATAATCTCGTTCATTTTTCTGAATGAACTTTCAACTGTTTTCATTAAATTATAAATGTATTGAAATATATTGTACAAATATATATATTGTAAATATATTGTATTAAACATAGTTACATAAAAACTGCAATTATACATTTTAGATTCTGAGCGAATCGAGGAATGTATTGATTTTACAAAGATTAATATTTTTTTTATATATATATTTTGATCCATGACCAATTTTTCTAGCAGATAATTCGCTCCAATTTTCAAGTGTACCACTTTTTATGAAAGTAAATCTGACTAGAGTGATACCTTAGGGGTTTTTTTTTTTATTTTCCCAGGAGTTTTCATAATAAATGTGAAAATTTATGAAATATATTATTTTTAAATCGTAAATATTGCGGCCTTATAAAACATATTTAACCGAACTCCGCTCAGGATCGTTTTTCGTTAGTAATGGTTGCGTTCAGATATACATTAAATTTTCCATCTATCTTTCTAACATCTCACCAAAAACAGTGGCAGCCCCCCATCGTGCGAAGTACTTCCGTTTGTTTTACTTTTTTATTATTTCTCAACTTTTTACATCATATATCAGTTGTTTTCAACCGGGGTGACATGCCACCTAAGGGTGATATAGATCCATGCGGAGGTGACATGCATTATGCATATTTTGATGTGCTGGGCGGTACAATTTCGGATTATCGTGGGCAAGGGTGACATGAATCTAAAAAGGTTAAGAACCACTGTCATATATAAACTAATAAACTCTTCTAATTGTATTAAAATAAAACATTTTAATAATAGCTTAATGAACATTTAATACAATAAATAAAATATAAATTTACAACATATTTATATTTTATTTATTACATTAATCAAAGATTGAGTTGTACCATAAAAGTTAAGTAACGCAAGTCCATTTGTTTAATATATTACCTATTTATCGCGTTTTTAGATACCTATAGGCTATAATCACAGAAATATAAACATACTAGATAACGGACGACCATCTGAAAAGTGTGTCTTGTTTTGCCATATGCTAACATTGCAATGTTTACAAATATTAACTGATAACAGGTAATGATGAATTGTCATTTTGATAAATACTGATTACTGTTCAGTAGACAATAATACCCTATTCAGAGTACAGACACTTAATGTCTAAATACAGAATTCTGAATAGTAAAAAACATTCAACATTGTATGGTGTAAAGTTTTGGTCTATAACATATTTCCAATGGCTAGTCGAGGTACAACACTTTCGCAACATGGGTACTGGATACATTCAAAATGTATCAACGTAAAAGAACCATATTGAAAGTCAACAAACTTGATAAATTGTCTAACATATTTATATTGTATATATACATAATGTTGTATTATAATATTGTAATATGTATTGGTATTTTCTAATTTGTATTAATATTGAGTGTTTACTATTTATATATATATTTTAGTTGAATTGAAATGTTTAATTAGAAAGTAAATAAATAAAAACACTTCACTGAGAAAACAATATCTGCTCAACTACACATCAAACCTAAAACATCGCCTTAATTAATTTAAAAAATATATAAATACTTTTATTCAGTAACAGTAATCAGTGTAAACAAAGTATAAAATCAAGTAGTTTTAATTTATGATTCATTATCAATTTTGCATGATGTAAATATTGCCGTCAACATCTTGACAAATAACCGCAGCAGACACATTTTTAATAATATTAAGTAAATAGTCGTCGGCTATCTAGTATGTTTATATATCTGTGGCTATAATATAGTACGGCTATACATAATTTATAATAACTTATCAATACTTCATTATAATACCGTGATTAATTATTTGTTTGTGTAACTGGTTGCTATCATAAAAAAAAATGACAAGTAACGAATAAGAATAGCTTAGAATTCAGAAATAAAATATCATCATAATCTAATTACTGATTATTAAATATTTAATTGGAATATGAATACATTTATCAAGTATCGATAATTTAAACTTCTAAATAAAGTTCAATTTAATCAAAAATATGAACTTAATTCAAAGTTAGTTTAGTTCAGTTTAGTTTGAAATTAATTCATTTTCGTCCGTAGCTTTTGAACTTTAAACTTTTGGTTCGTTCATTCTAAGGTCTGCTTTCTTATTATTCTTGTTATTTATTAATTTCAATACTGGATTTACCCAAATACAAGTTTTAATATAAACAAAACATACATAACACATACAAAAACATTTAGTCCAATGATGTTGATGGATCCTTATTTGCTATACTCATCATTATATTTAATGATCGGTTTTCAAATAATTGGTTGTGCATATAGTTAAAGAAAACAAACACAAATGATAGGCATGGAAGGCTGAAACTTTTGGAAGTTGATTTGTTTTAATAGATCAGGAGAATCAATAACACCAACAATAAGACGTCGCAGATAAGATAAATTAACCTCAAGTCTTCTATCAGTTAAAGTATTCAAGCCAAGCCGGTGAAAAACTACAGAATAATCATGTGGTGGATGTTTGATATTTAATTTATATACTACAAAGTTAAGAAATTTACCTTGGATACGCTCAATTTGATTCTTACCACAAGAAGTATCAGGATCTCACACAATGGTTCCATATTCCAAAATCTACCTGACGAAGGCACAATATAAAGACTTAATATGAGTCACTAATTTAAATTCATTACAAATTATTTTTATAGTTTATATGCAAAATGTACTAAATTTCGTAGCAAAAAGTTTGATGTCTGTAATACAATGAAATGAAACGAAATTCTATTTACGAATCATTTAATAGTACGATTTAAAACAAAAAACTGAATATTGATACTGCTGATGGGTGTGTAGTGTACACTGTACGCTGCACCGTGACACTGTTGTAAGTGAGATTAGTGATCTGCACAAGTTTAGGACTCCCCTTGTGGAAGTTTAATCAAATTTCAAAGGGAGAGGGGAGGATATAAAATGTCAACCCCACTGTCTTAAGTGTATCTATATCTCAAATTACAACATTGGGCATTGGCTCCACTAACCTAACTAAGGCACAAATAGGTACACAGATACACAAATTTCCAGAATGTTTTGAAAATTTTACCACGTCTAAAATAGGTTAATATAAGTATTCCGTAAACATGTCAGGTCTCTACGATAATTTAAACCGATTTATAACAAAATGCAATTTATAGCTATAACTATATATATATAAATATGATTTACGAATTCTGATCAAATCGCAAATGCCAATAATTCGTATTCGTTATTAATTTTTTAGATAATTAATTATTAATAAATGCATTAAAACATTTAAAACCATAAAACTTACAAACATACAAATTTCAATTTCAATAGATAACATGACTAAAATCCAAAAACGACTTATCATTATCACGGATCACAACTATGGACTATGGCGCCATGAAATATTATCACAGTTGTCGGTTGTTGATAGAACAAAATAACTAATACATCGAGTTTAATTGGCAATTTAAAATTCGGTTTAATCAATTAATACTACTAATACCCTTAATAATTAAGAATTACTATCAAGTGTATAAAACAGTGGTTTTCAAACTGAGTACCGCGAGCATTTACTAGGTTTGCTGCGGTTTTGAAATTTTGTTCGATAAATTGTGACGGACCACCGGTTACGGTGATCCGCACGTTAAGTATTAAGTCGTGATTCTATTAATTATGGCTCGTTTAATTGTGACCCATGAATTTTGTGCGAAAAATTAAACAATAACTAAAATGAAAAACTAGGTTTAGTATACCGTGAAAATATCGTGAAGAGCGAGTAGAAGGGGTATAGTTAATAATGTAGTTCGTTGCACCCATATTAAGGTACAATAATAATTGACCACTCGAATATAAGTATTCTTGTAAATGGGTTTAATGGGTTGCACGACATAATATAATATTTATCGACCTTAAAAAAATTGCAAAATTGCCACTACCCCTTCTCCCTTCAAAGTTTCAAAATTTGTTTTATATATACATTGTTTACGCAATCATGGGCTGTTGGAAAAAATGACGCGTCACACGAATTGTACATAATAAACCTTTATCGGAAATTATTGAAACAGTTCGATTGTTTTCGTTGACGGCAGATAAGGGCAATAATATTATGCAATATTACGTTCTCTATGATTGTTCCTAACGTCATCGTAACAATAAACTCCGAAAGAAAACCGTGACGTCATCTGAATTATTTTCAAATTTTCAATATTTATAGGGAACGCACGGCGCCACTCCCGGCCGAACCGACAACAAAAGATTACAGTGTCAGCCGCCTTACAGTTATTAAGATGTACTACGGTAATATTGTAACCACCGTATAAGTCTAATTTAGTTTAATCTATGGCGTGAGCGCGCGTTTCGAAATCCGGTTTCCCGGGCCATCGCTCAATGTGGCTACACTGGCGAATATTTTTTTTTTTTTTACGAAATTTTCGAATTTACAGAAATCCTAAATACTGATTCGAAAGAACGGAACTTGCGGTGTAAATTTTATTGGCGTTTTGAATTTTCGACCTGCTGTGTCAGACTCTAGGGCTTAAGGCCAAAATTCTCGGACTGTGCACCCTGCCTCTTTCGGCGCGGTACTTATTCGTCCTACCCTCCGCCCGCCCAGTCGTCATGTGTAGCCAACCAACGATTTCCAAGAACGGTACAACGTACAACGCACACACACACAAAAACAAATACACACTATTGTGCACGATCATTCATTAGTGTGGTCGTTGTTGTTTCCGTTCGTTCTGTTCCCGTTTTCGTTCGTTCAACGCGTTTTCCATTACATCTGTGCATCGCCAACAGGTATCTCTGTAAGTAAATATCATCATCGTCATATTATTATTAATATTATTGTGCGCTTTATTAATGTTGTATCCATTCCGTGTCCCATGACTGGCCGTCTCGTTTTGGCGACGGCGGTTCGGTCCCGGTGCCGATCAACGACGCGTCGCGGTTGTCACGTTGTCGGCGTTCGTTTCGGAAACTGCCACTCGGTGGCGACTCGGCGACAATCAACCGTAACCCGTTGTAGATGACCGGCACCGCAAACCCTTTAACATTTTTCATGTCTTTGTGGCGGTCATGGCCTTGACATTAATATTTAATTATTATTATTATTATTATTATTATTTCCTTGTTCCGATTTTCGTCACCACCGTGTCGGGGAATCTATCTTGCCAACGAGGTCCGTGTTGGCCGAAATGGCGTCACGACGGACTTACCGTCGTGACCTACTACCTAACGTGTGACCCATCAGTTTATAGTCTGGCAATAATCGACTTGGTTTAATACGTTACTTCGGTTATTACTAAGAAAAAAACTCCACATATTCTATGACCCTATTGACGTCATGAGTACCTACGATTACGATTCTTAGTTTTAGTATATTTTATGGGTGATTTTACCCATTCCACTACCCTCTCATCACCCGTGTCTTTATGACAAATATTATTTAATCTATCATGTCAACGCGTTTGCTATTTTGTGTTCATATCAAATCGAAAATCTAATTAAGTTGATATAGTATGTATTTTAACAGAGATTTTACTTTATTTGTTTATTTCATTTCCCCTGAAATTCCTTATTATCTAAGTACCTACCTATTGACTACATTTATTGTTTTCACTCCAACAATTTTGTTCGTTTATAATTAATCAAATCAAATAAGTCCAGAACAATAGATATGTGTCTTGTGAAAGTATATTATATTATTCCTTGAACATTTGGCCTTAAACAATTAATTTGTTGAATTTGTATTATATTTCATACCTACTGTTCCTAATGAGTGCTTAATTGTTTTTAAAATTACTATTGGCTTATTAATAATTAGGTTAATTTTAGATACATTTTTGATCAAATGTTAATTTAGGTATTAAATTTTTTTGTTTATACCTTAGTAACAACAACCTTGGTATAATAATTTTAAATTGTAGTCAAATTATACTAGAAAATTGTAATTTAAAAAAATTTAGGTAGAAAGAGGGGAAGAGAAGACAAAAAAAAAAAGAGGTAGATTCAATTGATAATGATAGGAGGACAGTGAATGTTTGTGTGGACCATTTAAGGGATTGGGTCAAGTGGAAGTTAAGGACAAAGGTAGCCGGCCCAACATAGTTGAGATGAAGGTGAATAAAAAGAAGTAATATATCTGACTTACTGTTTATTAATATGAGTCAGTTATATGGCACCTGTTCTTTGGAATTTTCTCACCAAATTACTTTTTTTTGTAACCATTTCTAAAGCCTAGAAAAACTTTTATTTTTCTGGTTTTGGAATGACGACCCTCTTGTCATAAAAGCATCCTATAAAAACCAAATCCAAACAGTACGTGGGCCATATCAAATTGGCATGCACCCTAATTTATGTACTTATATTGTAAAAATTGAACACAAATTTGCAACTTAAAAATATTAGTTAATTATCATATTTACTATCTCTTTTTGAAATTATAATGATTTACAACTATTTGTTGACTTAAGAAATTTATTCAAAATACTTTTATTGTAACTAGTGCATTTGTATAGGCAAATAAATAATCTCTGTATTTATCCGTATATAGGTACTTAAAATGTATTGTGATTTTTTATTTTAATGAAAAAAAGGTTGGATTAGATTTATATTTTATTGTGTATTCAAATCAACTATGTTCAATTTATGGTTGGAAATGTTATATCAGTACCTGTAAAACAAAAATAGATTTTCTGGGTTTTATAGAGGGTTGTAACGAATTTGGGGAAAAAGGTCTGTATAGATGAAACAGAAAAAAACAGTATTTATTTAAGATCAAAAAAGATGAAATCCAAGTGAATATCCTATGCTTAACTATTTTTTAATTAAATAATGTAGGAATATAAATACTAAATTTTTAAAGAATACTTAATATTATTTTTAAATTGTAGTAAAAGTATCTTAAGAATAATGTACACTAATGTAAAATTATTACTATACTCTTTATTTTAAATTTAAACTTAATATTTTTATAGATAAATCCCATAGTTATATAATGATTAGTTTATTTTTTTCCTGGTGGAAATTATTAGTATTTTAATTCTTTAAAAATCATGTCCTATTGGCTTGTATTATTCGTGCTTAATCTGTCTAATCACAGTATTTAACTGCGTTATATTTCTATGAAATAAAATATTATTTAATAATAATAGCCTAAACTCAATAGATCATAAACTTTATGAAATTCTTTGGGTATTGTTCAGTTAGTTTAATTTTGAAATATATAAATACTTAATATATCAATATACCTACTTAGTATTTTTTTTGTTATTTGTTTATATTTAATTTGATGTAAACAATTTTTGATTTTTAACTACAATATATATGTATAAAACAAAAATATAAATAATTTTTCCCAATTTTAAGTGTTCTTTTTAATGTGTTAAACATAACATAACACACATATGGATCATAGTTAAATTTATATATAATAATATCATCAAAAACATCTTTAACAAATTATTTTTTATCTAGCTCAGTTCTTAAACTGTAGTATGCAGATGTAGTAGCGGTAGTACTGAAAATGAATAAGTACATATTTGTACTTATACTTTTAATGAATCTAATATTATTTTATATTTTGTATACAATTTTGTTGAAACAATTTAAAAAATATATATATTTGAATTTCAATATTATTTTGATATTAATGCATTGAAATTTTGATGAATTCTATTTTTAGGCACCAGGGATGTGTAAAAAAAAACATAAATTGTGTGGTACACACCAAAGTTTGAGAACCTTTTTTTTGGACCATATTGTTAAACATAACTAATTTATGCTGAATGTTTACCAAACTATTATATGGATATCTCTACAAAATACTTACCCATACCCATCTAATTAAGTAAAACTAAATTAAATTAATTTTACTGGTAACTAGTGTCATATTTGTAGTACCTTAAAATTTACAATATATTTATTATTTTTTAATATCTAGGTAGATTTTATAGATTTATTCTTATGATATGTGAAAGGTTAGGTTTGTTTGAAACATTTTTTAAAATTTGTGAAGTGTAAGTTTGTAACATACATTTTTTTTTTATATTGTGTACACATAAAGATTATATTATTTTTAGAAATATGCTAAAAGTAAAAAACGAATACATTTTCTTTAAATCACTTGATACAGTGATGAGGTTGTAAATTATCCCACTGTAAATCCTTAAATTAATTGGATTCCTCAGGATTTCCACCACATAACTTACGTTTGCAAAATTGATTTGTTTATAATTTTGCTTCAAATTATAAATATACCGAGGCTTTGCAATAGAGTGAGATTAATAATTTAAAACATTTTGGGAAATGTCATTAAGCGACAATATAAATTGGAAAGTTCAGAGGAGATGATGTTTTATTGTTGTCCCGCATTCCATTAATATATCTACTGACGCACTAAAATTTAATTCAAAGACAAACAATAGTTGTATGTGGATTGGATCTTGGTTATCCATATAAAAAAATTTTAAAAAAAAACATTGCTTTTTTGTGTTGATGACTGATGTATTTGAAATTTTGTATTCAAATTAAAGATTAATAATATCAAATAAATACATATTTTGTATATTATTAACTTATATATTGCGCAGCTTATAGGCAGGATAAAATTTCCTGGATCAGTTATAATTATAATGTAATATATAATACAAGGTCATAATCCGCTATTACATTTATTATATTTACTTTAATTCTGTAAATGGTTGATATATTAGAAAAATATTTTTCAGCGAGTCATTGTATGAGTCAAAAAACAGAAAAACCGGTACTGTCAGGTCAACGCATCAAGACCAGAAAAAGAGGTAAGAATATTTGGTATTAATACAGATTAAAAGACATGGTAAATTAACTATAATGTTATATTAGGTATTTTATATATGTTACAGTTAAAACCCGAAATTTGTCAAAACTAGTTTCCACAAATCCCTTTAGTTAATTGTAGTTTTAACTGGGCAAAACTAGAATTAACTATGGATTTAAATAAGTCTGTCAAAACTAGTTTTTTTCTGAAACACGGATTCCAACCTGCACTACCTAAAACTCATACAATCTATAAATATTTCTCCATAAATTTGACTGGTCGGCTATCAAATCAATTAAGATAACTTTAACCAGTCGTCTATCTAATAATTTATAGATATGATAACTTAGACTGATTATACCCAATATATAATAATTCGGCCGCTGTAGCTTTTGAGCCTGTGTTTTCAGTTTTTGCCAGTTCATTTGTCTTCGTTGTAGTTATTGTACCTACATGTGTGTTTGTCTTGTGCAACTAGTTTTCACAAATATATTTCAGATACAACTAGTTCTAACTAAACTAAAGTAAGTTAAAATCTAGTTTTGACGGATTTCAAGTTTTAACCGTAACATGTGTAATAAATGTTTAATCACAATAGAATATGGTTTTAAATGTTTTAATATAAGCTAAATCCAATATTATGTATGTAGTGAATTTGTAATACATTTTCAAAAATATTATTTATATTTGTATTTATTATCTCTTTAATTCAATAGGCAGTATTAATTATATTGTAGAATATTAATTAAATACTTAACGAAGTTTAGGTAGGTCAATTTCAAAAAAAGGAATATTTTTGAGAACCCTGCAGTCTTTAAGAAAAATTATCTAATAAAGATTTGTTACTATGATATGAAATGGTTTAATTATAAATGCTATAATTACCTACCTATATATAATTTTTTACAAAAAAAAAAAAAAACTTGAAGGAGGAAGGTATTCAAAATTATTAACATTATAAATGTGTTCACACGTGTTAATGTAATTTCACAATATTTTCCATGGGTTTTGACAGATGTGTTAAAATGTCTTCTTAAAGGTCACCCCTTAATTTGACATTATTATTGGTGGAATATTAACCTCGCATCAGTATCATTTTGATCATCAATTTATTGTTTTTTATTAATTTAAATTAAACTTATTACTAAATAATTTTTTTTAAATTTATTTTATGTTGGGGACATAATTTATTAGCCTATTATTATTATTATTATTATTATTATTTTGTTATAGTATACTATTGTTTATTTTAAGATGAAAAAGAAAAATACGATCCTTTTGGCTTCCGGGACTATATCCTTGGGGGCCTTAACGGTGCCGGCACAGACCTAGAAGCAATTTGGAAATTCCTCGATCAAGCCGGTTCTAAAGTTGATTATCGCCGTTATGGTGAAGTCCTCTTTGATATATTGATCGCTGGAGGTCTTTTAGGTGATGCATTTATAATATAACTTTTATTTATTCATTTTGCAGTTCTCTCTATAATTAAATTTTTTTTTTATTTTAGTCCCGGGAGGATCTATATCACAAGATGGGTCAATATCTCAGGATGGAGACAAACTTTGGAAAACAAACGCATGTGTTTTTGAAGCACCCGAGGATATGGTATCCATGCGAAACTATGAACAAGTGTTCATCAAGCTCATGCGTCGATACAAATATCTTGAGAAAATGTTTGAGGAAGAGATGAAGAAAATTTTGCTGTTTATTAAAGGTTTTAGCGATATTGAGCGTGTAAAACTGGCACGTATGACCACATTGTGGATTTCAAATGGTTCAATTCCACCTACTGTTCTTCAAGTGCTTACTAATGTAAGTAATATAGAAATGTGAATGTTAATACATTACTTTGAATACATTTTTTTTTTTAGGAGCACTTAATTAAAGATGGCCTGGCTCTTGATTTTCTCATCGAACTCTTTGTCACATATAAACAAGAGGTAGGTGTACCTAATTTGTTGACTGTATTAAAAAAAGGAGGACTTGAAAGTCGTTTGATGGATTTTTTGCCACCGAATAAACGTACTGAAGAAAATCTCCGTGCACAGTTTGAAGAAAAAGGATTGAGTGATGTGGTTAAGTTACATTTAGCCCAGGCTAGTCAAGAAGCAAAACGGAACTTGGAAATTCAGTTACATGACGACTTCAATGATAATAAAAACATGAAAGAGATTATTTCGAATATCAAAGAATTATCTTCTAAACATGATATTCCTGAACACGAAATTATTGTTTTGGTAATTATCAACTTCTATTTTTAGCCAATTAAGCTGCAATGTGAAAAAAATGGACATAGTTTTGAAAGGTCATAATAATATTCGAATTTTGAAAACAATAAAAATTAATTTTGTAAATTTTTCCATTTGTTATGAAAACTCTTGGGTTAATCAATAAATGACCTTCCTAGAGTACCACCCTACAAATATTCTTTTCAGTAAAGTTGCTACACTTGAAAATCCGAGCAAAATTTTTGGTATTGAAATTGTTAGCAAATAAAAAGAAAACATCGTAAAATCAATACATTCTTCGCTTTGCTCAGAATTAAAAACTATGAAAATTGTACTTTAAAAAGTACTAAAAAAGTGAATTTTTAAATGGAAATCCCTTAGGTAATTTTTTTTATTAATTTTATTAATAACCATTGTCTATGATGCTATCTAATCTCTTATCTTATGCTCAGTTTTGTGTATTTGAAAGAGAACATAAATGCAGTGTATATTCAAATTTTTATGGCAAATTTAAACTACAAAAATGAGGGAATTTCTACAGAGGGCAAAAACATGTTTAAATCATAATTTTTAGCAGTTGGAAAAATGTATAACATTATTTATAAATGTTATATTGAATATAAAAACTGAAATTCAAATAATTATTTGTACATTTTTTTTTAAAATTCATCTAGAGAAACTAATTGTTTGAAAAAAAAAAAAAATTAAGTTATGGTAGAGGAACAAGATTATCCCTGCCCCTAAAATAATTAAAATATTTGTGTTTATAGAAATTGGTTTTCATGTAACATTAAAAAAGGTTATTATGTGCATAAGTAAAATTGACTGGCATACAAATAGAAGATTAAAAGGTGCATAACAAAAATTGTTCCAAAAAAAAAATAATAATAATATTTCAAATATTTTTAATGCGAGAGTTCTAGTTGTTCCAACTTACAGTATACTTCTTAAATTTGTATATAAATAGAATTTGAATTTTAAGATATCTATTTTATAATTGGTCTTTAAGCTTTGTAATTTAGTAAATATAAAAAGATTTAAATATTTACTATCACTTATGTTATATTTCAACATATTTTTATGAAAAGTATATTATAAATTATTTGTTTTGTAGGTTTGGAGTGTTGTTATGAGACAAGTGGAATGGAATAAAAAAGAAGAATTACTAGCAGATCAAGCTCTTAAACATTTAAAACAGTATTCACCATTGTTTTCAGCATTTTCAACCACTGCGCGTTCCGAATTGGCACTTATGCTCAAAGTTCAAGAATACTGCTATGAGAACATGAATTTCATGAGAGTCTTCCAGAAGATCATATTACTCTTCTATAAAAGTGTGTGCATATTTTTATTATCTTTATTTTTGTAACTAAATATATTTTTTTTGTAGCCGAAGTATTGACTGAAGAAGTAATTTTAAAATGGTACAAGGAGGGACACTCTAAGGGTAAAACAACATTTTTGGAGCAAATGAAAAAATTCATTGAATGGCTTCAGAATGCTGAAGAAGGTAAGATATTGATATAGTTATATACATTTTAATAACTGATATTTATACACTTCTGAAAATTAAAATAACCAATTAATTGCAAATTCCTATCCTGAATAACTTAATTATATATAGATGTTAACATATTTATTTTATAAAAAGTACCTGTCTTGGTAATCTTTGTTGAACTTTTATCAAATACTTAACAACAAAGGGATTTTAAAAAAAGTAAATGAACAGTTGCCTTCAATGCTCACATATTTCCGTCAAGTTCCAAATTCTAGTGTTCATACAAATGTGTTTGACATTGTCGACCATGTCTCAATAAATTATCTCTTCATATTCTTCATAGAAAAATAATTTTTTCAACATTCTGTCTTACAAAATTAAGTAGATATCTGTAACCTCTGTCTTGGTGATGCCTTTGTTAAATATTGTAAAGGATCAAATGCTTAACAGAGGGATATTAAAAAAATTAAATGAACAGTTGCCTTCGGTGCTCACACATTTCCGTCTGAGTTCCACCCTCTAATGTTCATACAAGTGTATTCGACAATATCATGTTTCAATAAGATATTTGTAGAATTATAGTTATTACAATTTTTATTATAAAATTAAGTAGATATCTGTAACCTTTGTCTTGGTGATGCCTTTGTTAAATATTGTAAAGGATCAAATGCTTAACAGAGGGATATTAAAAAAAGTAAATGAACAGTTGCCTTCGGTGCTCACACATTTCCGTCTGAGTTCCACCCTCTAGTGTCCATACAATATTATGTTTTAAAAATATTAAATTATTAGTTTATCAATCTGCCTTTTACTATTTATATAATTTAAAAATGTATTGATAAAGAAAGTTTATTGGAAAGATTTGATTTTAACTAAAACTTGTCATGCTTTGGGTATTCATCTTGTGGTATTTATATACTTTGATTTCATATTTTGATGCTTAACTAAGTTCTATTAAAAATATTGTTTTTTTTTTATTTGCTTAAAATTATCACCAACCTGCTTCACTGATATTCCCTTATTATCTTTTAACTATATTCAATCTTTGTATAATTAATATCAATAATCCACCCTTGATAAGAAACTAATTATTTTTTATATAATTCTAAAATCAGAATTTACCTCTGAATAATAAATACAATTATTTAATTTTGAAGTTATATGTTTATTTGTTTTGCCTTACGGTATAACCATAATTTATTTTTCAGAATCTGAGTCTGGAGAAGATGATGATTAAATTAAGAAAAAAATAACCAGCCTCAAAATAATAGATTAAGTGAAAAAAAAATGTAAGAAGAATTAACACAGATGTCAGCCAACGACCAAAACATTTTACTAAGGATTTTCAAAAACTTGTTTTGTTTCTATTTTAAATAAATAACACCAATGATATTATAATAAATATGATTAAAAAAATGTATAGGTGAAAAACAAATGATTTATAATATTATTTTTTTTGAGCATATTAGTAATGAACAAACAATAGTTATATAATTAGTAATTTAGTTATTCAAAGATATTACTTTCATTGTACCTACACAAGATATTCACAATAGCAACGAAAAAAAATAATTTATTCCAGTTACATCTATACATATTGTAATACATAAAATTTATATATTAAATATAATAATTTCAGTGGTGTATGGCTGTATATAAGTGTTTTTTTTTTTTTTTTTAAATAAACAAACAATATTTTGTAATAATTGTTTTTTTTCTTGCCCTTTATATGATATTATACAGGCATAACACTGAATATTTAAGCATAGTTGTTTAGTCTACCAACACGTCCACGCATACATATGTGACTAAAATTTTCAATTTCTTTTTTAAATATGTTAAATAGATATATATATAACAATAAAGTTATACAAAATAAATCTTAACAAATGTCTAGTAAAAAAAAATAATATTTTGTATAATATAGTAGTAGTAATAATAATTATAATAATAATAATAATAATAATAATAATAATAAAGCAAACATTACACATGGAAACTGGAAGGTGATAATTATAATAAAAATAATAAGAACATACAATTTTCATTAAAAAGGTTTTCAGTTATCACAATACACTTGGCAAAAAAAAAAAAAAAAAAAAACAATATTAGTATGTTTGGGAAAAAATATGGTCAATAATTAATAATTTGGATAATTGTGAGATTTTGCGCTGCAAGTTAATATATTTATATTGAAATGTGCTTAAAAACTAAAGAGATCAATAAAGACAAGGGAACAGTAGTAGTCAACGACAATTATTTTCACTCTGAGCAGAAAAATTGGTTTAAAAAATATATATATTTTAATTTTAATGCAAAATGGCTAATCGAGTAATATTGTAAATTGATACATTGTTATACAAACAATATAGAATTCTCTAAATCGTAGCATAATATATAAATTAAAATAGAAGTATGAATGAATATTCAGTTATTTGTGTTAAATATTCAGAAATAGTGCTAAAAATCAGGCAGCCGTACCGGAAACAAACCAGTCATACTGATTGGTCGAGCGATTTCTACAATTGAGCTACTAAGAATCTGATTTAGACACCATTTCCAAAACACCCTTAACCTTTAACAATTGAAAAATCACTATATGTAATATTGTACATGTTTATAAATTTATCTCAATAAAAATCTATTATCAATATTATTATTGTTAAAATGAGAAAAATATGTTATATAATATGTATGTAAATATATTATTCAAAGATATTTTACATAAGCGATTGATACTAAATAATTATTATAACTTGATATTTATTTTTAAATAATTTGTATTGCAGGTACTTAGGGTAAGGGTAAATTCGTTAAGTGTGACAATTAATTAAAATACAAAATAATATATTATATAATAGTAATAAAATAATAGTAAAAATAATATCTAAACTCTATATGTACTATTTTTAAATATATAACACTATGAACTATATAAAAGCTACTCACGACCACAACATTTATGTATTGATAATAACACAGTTACTATAAAGTAAAAACTAAGAATTTTAAATAAATCTTAATGGATATGTTTTCAGCGCATTGTTTCCACTCAGTACCTGTAGTTGTTTCAAACAAAAAGGAGCCCCAAGAACGAAAATTAAATGCTAATAATAATCACATATAATATATATATTATATATAAAAATAATAAGTAAAATCTACAGTAGTATTAAAAATGAGCGATAAAGTTTAAAATGAATTTAAAAGTTTAGTACTGCCAACAAGTCATAAAATATGTAAAATGATTTCTTGTTTTAAAGTTTGTACAAAGTGAAATAAATATTGTCGTAGTTTGAAAAATTACACATGAAGTTTAGTTAAACTGAGAATAAATAAATAAAGACAGTTATATATTTTTTATATATATGCATTTAAAAATAAAATTATTATTTGAAATTGATGGACAATCTATAATATGTCATAATTTAAAATTTCAAAAAAAAAAAAAAAAAATAAATAAATAAAAAAATACCCACTATGTTGGATAACTAATGCTGGGAAAACTAATTGCACAACAGATATAACACAAAATTTAAGTTCTATTAAAACAAATAAAAACATGCAAATTGCTAAAAAATTTTTTTTATCACATGATTGGAAAAGCTCGCACACTAGTGTGACTGATTTTTTTTCTTTCAATTTTATCACACGCAAAACCCTAAAGTGTGTATAATAAGGGTAACAATTTGTATTAATTGGTTACAATTAAAAACTTTTAAAAATATAATATTAAGAGCAGCGGAATACTATTACAGCAAAATTACGTGTTCATCCCCTTCCTTTTTCTTTTTTTGTTTACAAATAATTTAATGGGAAGAAGTAGAACATGAATTACCTGGTGGCAAAACCACCAGCTCTCCGTGTCAAGTTGGTACAATAAACGGAGTTTCAGACGGCAAAGGTGAGCCGGGTGCTGCATCCTTGGTTTCTTTGGTTTCAATATCCACACGACATATGGGACATCGTTTATTAGACGACAACCACTGGTCAATGCATTCAATATGAAATAGGTGCATGCATGGTAAACGCCTAGAAAATAATATTATTAATGAGCAAGTTTTTTTAGATTCTGAGCGTAGCGAGGGAGCTATTGGTTTTACTAAGATGTTAATTTTTTTTCTTCTAATCAATGGACACATTTTTCCTATTAAATTTGCTTTGATTTTTACGTGTAGCAACTTTTTTGAAAGCTTAAGTTGTCTTGACTGTACTTTAATAAGGTCATTTTTTGATTTCCAACGCTATTTTTTAAATAAAAGCATTTAAGTGGGAAAAATGTACAATTTCACAATATCATTATTTTAAAAAAACATGGACGTTTTTTACCAGAATAAATGATTTAATCAAAAAAAACACAAGATACATTTTTTTTTTTGCCTTATTGATTTAATTTCGTAAGGTATCACAACCTAAACATTTTTAAACCACTATTAAGGAGTTTTAATTTTTGCTATAATTCGGTTATAAATAAAAGTGGACTTGAAACTTGGTAATAATATTTATATCGGATTAATTTTTTTTTTTTTTTTTTTAATAATCATTTGAAATCAAATTTAAACGAAAATCGCAAAACAAAATGCAACACTTCAAATTATGTATTACTGAACTCTCGGATTCGTTTTTTTTTCAAGCAATGGTTTATCGTTGCTTACAGATATAAATGAAATAACCTTATTTGGAGGTAGGGTACCTCCAGATCCAAAATTGATTTTTATCCACTGCTCATCACATTTTTTTTTTACCAGCGAAAATTAAAACAATTTCTTTCAATAAAGTTTACTACCTCGAAATCGACTGCCGAAATTTTAGTATCAGCTCTTTTTTTTTTTTTTTTAGTATTTTTAGTGTTTTTAAGTATTAATTGTACATACCTAACATCCTCAGTATCTTCAAAATCTGAAAGACATATGGTACACTTTTCTGTATTATCTTCCATTTCATCTGAAGATCTCTTAATCTAGCAAAAAAAAAAAAAATAATGATAATTTACACTTATAATTTATAATAATGTTAATACTTACACGCTTGTACTTATGAGGAAAAGTGTTCTTTTCTATTGTGTCTTTTGAAGCACCACGGTTCATCATGTGTATGCGACGTTGTTCCATCAATCTTAAATAGTCTTCTAATCGATACGACAAATGACGTGTTAACATGGGTAATGATCCTACTGGAGTGATCTGAGGTAAATCTGAGCCTGTCTGCGATGGTATTGTTGAGCCTGGAGTTGCCTATATTATTGTGATTATATATTTTAATTATTTAGTTATAAAAGTATGCTTTTAATTAGTTATTATAAAATAGAACTTACATTTACAATAGTACCTGAAGGTGTACCAATACTAATGCGTACATGATGCATTCTACCAGGAGGTCCAGATGGATGATAATTATAATAATGATGAATATGAGGATGGCCACCATCACTGAAAATATATAAAATATAATGAAGTGATTTCTAAATAATACAAGTCTGATCAAAATTAATCTTAAATAATATGTACCTTGAAGAACCACTTTGAACAACAATTTCTGTTTGCAATGAAGATGGAGGTACTTGCTCTATTCCATCAGTAGGAGGTGATAATGTCTAACAAAATGAATTAAACCAATATTTCATTAATGATATTAAATGGGTGTTACATTTGATTGTGTATTATCACAAGTGGATGTTATTAGAAAAATTACTGTAAAACAAGCAGGGAAAGCCTACTCTGTGAATGTGCTAAATTCTTAGTTTCTAAATGTATTTAACAATATATATTATTATTTTAAGTACAAAATGTATACATCTGAACATTAACATAGAAAACTTATAATAGCATAATGGTTATACATTAAAAATATTGTGGGTGTAATAGAAAATTACTAAAAATAGGAAAAAGTAGAATTAGAATGGAATTATACAGAAAATTGGAATGAATAAGGTAATTATAATATATATACAAAGTAGAGTAAGTAGATATAGCAAATCTGAGAGAAAAAGATACATGTAGTACACACATTGAATATTGCTGAAATAAAGTCTTTATCCACTGTCAGGTTGGTGGATGTTTGGAGAAGGAATGTATAAATAATATATAGCTGATGAGTAGTTAAGATATGGGCTAGAATTATAGGTATCAGCTATGGAGTAAAAACACTAATTAAGCTATTAGATATCTTAGATATATTGTTTATAATTTATAATCACATTCAGGCAGAAAAACATTTTAAAATTGAATAAAATTTGTACTTACAATTACGGCAGTAGGACCAATTCTACGTGAAGTGATTACTTCTGGTCGACTGAACACATTTGGTTGTTGAGGTGGAGGCAACACTGTATGAATCGCTTGAATAGACGGATGAACTGGTTGTGTTTGAGGTGGTTGTTGATATCCCTGCATGCATGAAACTGGTGGCATACTTCTATGCGCCATTGAACGCACAGTATTACTAAAAAATAAAAATTACGAGTTTCAATCAGTTCTTAAAAAAAATATGTATACATATCATGGTTGGAACGTATATTATAGTAAAGTATAAAACATGTATTATACGTATGTATAAAATGTACAGCATTAAGCTATTAGTTGTATATATTTTATACCATAATTTTTTTTTTTTTTTTTTTGGTTGCACTTGAATAGAAATTATCAGGTAAAATAACTGTCAATTGAATTTAATCATCAATTTATACACATTATATTAATTACTAAGTTCATCTTTATTCTTTATTAAAAGTAACTACATTAATATTTATACCAAAAAATAATTGATTTTGTTTTATTTTATCCTAAAATATTCACTAATGTGATTTGTTAATTTATTATATTAATTTAAAAGTTTAAATACTCAAGTTTTTATATGTTTTAGTCATTTTATATGTGGAGTAATACATAAAACATTTTATATGTCTATATTTCCGACCCTGAATTAAATATTATAAAGAAATTAGGTGCCTATGAATTTTTTGAGTCATAATGGCTATGAAAAAATTTTCATAAACCAAAATTATCAGAGGATAATATGACACGTATAAACATCCTCCTATTGGTTATTTTAGATTCAGAGCAACAGAGTATTCAGAGTGATTTATTGGTTTTTTTTTTTCTGTATGAACTTTTCTACCAACAATTTTGTTTTGAATTATCAAGTATAGCACACATTTTCTAAACGCAAGTTTTTCCTAGTTGGTGCAGTGGATATCATTTATTGACTTTCTAAGAAGTTTTTAAAATAATAGGAAAAATTCCGAAACAAATTGTGGGTAAAAAGGCAAATATTTACAACACATGGCATCATTGATCTCATTGTTATGCATTTTTGCAACTTAATGTTTTCTATCACTAATCACTATACACTAAAACTTTAAAAACATTTATGTACATAAAGATGAATACTGAGATACAAAATGGGATTAAATAGATACATAATGAATGTGTAAGTTATAGTCAATTTACTTACGGATTAATCATATCCATCCTTCTTCTTTGCATTTCCTGTATTCTATGTTGATTATACCATAATCTTTGATGATATAAAGGTACATTAGATGGAACACATGGAGGCATCGGATGAGTCATCATCCCGTGATGATGGTGGTGCGCTGGATGTATGTGACCGCCCATTCCAAAAACAACCCTTGAGGTACCATGACACTGACTACACGGTGGCGGCCATCCCGGAGTACCTGGCGGTGGATGTGCTGTGTGTACACAAGAAGGTTGAGGAGGAGGTGGTTGATCCATGAAAATCACATCATTCCGATACAAGGGGTTCGGAATGTTCGGATTGGGAGCATAATGTGGACTATAAGTAGGCATAGAACGTAAAGGTGTATGACCGACATACTGTCGTTGTGGCTGTACTACTGGATAGCGTGTAAACACAGTTTGGCCCATTGGTAAATCAGCAGTTCTTCCTGAATGATTCAATAGAGGATCATTATTGGCTTCTTCAGACTCTTGAGTTAAATCTACTACAGGTGGCCCAGTTGGCTGCTGAACAAATTAATGTACGTTTAAATATATGATATTAAACAAATAATGTAATAACTAATTACAAATAGATAAATTATATTAAATCAAATAAACATATATACTCCTTATAGTATTAATTAAATACTATATATGTTTATATAGTTAAATACTTTGTATGAACAATTATTTTGATTCTAATATAAAATTAAATATTGATAATTCCTAAGAAAATATGGTAGTTTTATTAAATCTGTATCATGGTATTTTAATAAATTATAAATTAACTTACTGGTTGATTAATATTCCTTTGTTGATAGTTATTGATTGTAACCAGCTCTATTCCACTATCTTCATCATCAGCATCCATCCCATTGGCCCACTGAAATCTAGGATCTCTATTATATTCTCTTGGTAATGGTATTCCTGGATTATTTAATCTATATATACCATTATACTCTTCATCTAAAAATAAATAATGTTTACATAGAAAAATACATTCTCTATCAATATATCATAAATTTAACTAATTTTAATAAATAATGACTTACTTGATGAAGTCTGAGGGTTACTTATACCGTTTTGATTTGATGAACTCGCTGTAGAATGATCACTTGGAGCTGTAGTAGTTTGTACTTGAGAATTGGGTCGTTGAGTAAACTTATAATTTCCTTGATTCCCTCCAGATGTATATGCAGATGAAGACATTTGATCTTGACCATAACGCTGTGGTCTATACATTCTATTAGACATTTGATGCCGTGGATATGATAATGGACGATTTGTATCAGGTTTGCCAGTTTTCATTCGTAAGTTATTATCACCAGATAACAATGATCTAAAAATATAGAAACATTGGTATTAAGAAAATTAACTTGAAAAATATAATTGTTTCAAATAAAACAAAAGTACCTTTTTCTTCCCATTTCAGATGATGTTGGAGTAGAAGGTACTGGATGAGTAACAGTTCGACTTGATGACTCATCTGTGCGTTGTGGTACTGACCAAGGTGTTTCTATAAGAGTATTTCCATAACTCCATATATCAGAGTTTAATGGGGAAAACTCTTGAGGTGTATCTTCTGTCTCTAAATCACTCCCATCAGCAAATAAAGGATCATAATCCATATCGTTTCCTAATAATAACATTTATACAACTCTCAATATAATTTTTATGAATAACTCAAATTGTACATAATTAGAATATTTAAAGTAGGAAGTAATACAATTTTAAATGTATCTAAAATTACTTAACAACTGTTAATTAAAACCAAAATAATTTAATTTATCAACCAATTATGAATTTTGGACAAATAATTTTTTATATACCTTATACTTTATACAACAAGAATAAACTAAAAAACATTAGAAACATGTATTTTTATTTATACAGTACCAATATTAGTTTATTTCTTTTTTGGCATAGTTCAATTACTATAAATATTTAATGAAATATAAATATATAATAAAAATCCAGTTGATTGTTCGTCTAGAATTTTCTAGAAGCTTGGTGAGCCCAATGAGCGATAAACATCTTTATATATATGGTGATAATTAAACTCAATGTAGTAGTACAGCGATTCGTGTGCGTTTACCTGTTGGTGACTTAGTACCTATTTATTTGATCAGTTTGACCGCACAGTGAACATACTTTACGTAATGCCTAAAATAAAATCAACTTTACAAAGTAAAATTTTGAATTGGATAGTTCCTTACAATGAAAATAAAGAATAAATATTTTCATCAGATGAAAAGATTATATTATTGTCTCATATGTAACAAATCTGGGTCTACTGAAAAAAAATTTCTATTAGATCAACATTCCAAAACAAGAAAGTTTTGTATTTTATACTCATACTACACGTAATATACTATATATTAAATCAAAAATGCATGTATATTTTTTTTTAGTTAAACACATAAATGCATTACAAGGAATAAAGAAAAATAGCTTTTGATTACTTTTTAAAATTTGAATAGTAAAAATGTATTTTTTGAATATTTCTGTAATGCAATTGTTGTTGCAAATATTCCTAAGCATAAGCTGGGCAATCATATGTTAAAATCAATTTTGGAAAAACATATTGGCAAATCAATTCACTCAATAAAGCACTTTAAGAAAAAATTACATACCAAATATTTAAAAAAGTGTTATGGACCAAATAATTAAGTTTACATAATTATTGACAAAACAACCGATCCAAGAGGTTTACATAAATAATTTTTTTTAATTTCTCGTATAGTAAAATATACTATTTTAACTAAACTATTTTTAGGTTTGGCTATTGCAATTGTATTAATTAGTAAATTAGATAGATTGCCTAGTAAATCATATTTAGTTGTATGTAAAGAACTAGAATCCAACAATTATGAAACTATTTGTCAGTTTATTAATTTCTCTTTAAAAATATTTCCTAGTATTGAACAAAAGCATTACTTTTTATTAGTGATACTGGTACTTATATGATCAAAGCAGCAAAAACACTAAAAATATTTTTCCCGAAATTAATTCATATTACATATATGGTGCATGCAGTTAATAAGAGTTTTAGAGAAAATTCGAGAATTGTATCTAGACATTAATAAATTGATTAACAATGGTAATATATTAAGTACCTTTTTAAAATTTAAATACATATGTAACTTATTTCATTTATTTCAGGTAAAAAAAAGTTTTCCTAAAAGCACTATCGAGAATAAATATTTACAGAAAAGAAATGTCGGGTATATCTTTACCAGCCGAACCTATTATTACAAGATTAGGAACATGGTTAAATGCTGCACTTTTCTATGCAAATAATTTTGAAGAATATAAAAACGTGATTGAAAGTTTTATAGATCATGCTACAAGTGTCGAAAAGCTGCAACAGCTTATACAAAATAATACATTTATAAATGTGGTTAAGCATTAATAAAATTACACTAATCCGAGTTATCTATGAATCTTAAAAATTTGGAAGATATAATAGTGAATTATTGAAAAGCATGGATATTTTAACAAATATTTCTGGTCCAAATGGGAAAAAAATTAAAGAAAAATTAATGTATGTAATTGATAAAATTTTAAAATATTACTATGAAGTCATATTAGGTAAAGCAAATTTTAATTTAGATATAACGCCTACTTTATTAAATTGTTTTAAATATGCACCAATAACAAGTGTAGACATAGAACGTAGTTTTTCTTTGTACAAACATATTTTAAGTAATGGAAGATTTAATTTTAATGAAAATAATTTAGAAATGTATCTAATTATTAATTTTAATTGAAAAAGTAACATTTATCTAATTTTTTTTAGATAACTTTTGCATTTTTATAATGCAATTTATTATGCAATTAAATCCGGTCTTTAGTTATCACTAAAAATCACTGTCAAATAATAACACAGTCAAATAATGTCAAAAACACATAATGTTTAAAGAGAAATCTTTTATGCCAAATCCGATAAAAGGCCTGAGCTATATCCAAAAATACCCCTGGAAAGTTTTTTACTTTTTCAAATGAAAATAAGATTTGGTCGCTTAGTCCGTGGATTTGATGTGCTGTCGAATGTATGGTTCTGAAGCCAAATCGAGAGTGTGAAATTATATTGTTGGTGTGAAGTATTGGTCTTGTTCTTAAAATTTTCAAAAAGTTTGGCTAAAGTTGGTAGTAGGTTGATTAGTCTAAGAAGTAATTTAATTTTTTGGTTTGTTGAGCTTAAGGATAATAGTTATTGCAGATAATTTCCAGATTAGTAGAATGTAAGAAATTCTCAACATGGAACTAAAAATATAAGTTACTAAGACAATAGTTTTTTAGGTTATAAGACCCCTGATGATTTCCCAACTTTTAGTTTATTTATTAAACATTTAGCTACACTGGGGGAAGTATATTTCGCAGGAGTGGCATAATGAGGGAAGGAGAAACTATTGACAAATTCATTGACTTTTTCCAGATGTTTAAGGTCAAAAGATATATGTTAGTATGCAATTTTAAGCCAAGGAACTATTCAGCTAGATATTTATTAAATAACTTTATATATCCTACATTTTCAGCTCTTTTAGGTTAAATTTTAAACAGCATAAATTCTATATTATCATTAGATAATACCAATATAATACTGTATTTGACTAATTTAACTAACAAAATTTCATTTACCTAATTGCATGTTTGATTCTGTATCTGCTGGTGGACTTGGCACAGGTCCAGTGGCCGTGAATGCAGTGCTTAATATATCAGCAAAACTATGAGTTTCTTGGCCATTAGAAACATCATCAGAAACATCACTATCTGCTGGTAGTTTTGTATTTGACCAATTATCGCTGCGATCAGTGGTTGTAGTGCTGGTTTCACTCAATTGATCAGCCATTGATAAAAATTAATTGAGCAGACTGGATAAGGATAACTTAATTGATTGGAAAACTAAAATTAAAAACAATAGGTTCTATGGAATCAAAAATAAAGTCTTTGATACAATTAAAGGATGAAAGAATTTTAGAAGAAAGCACCAGACATATATAACCAGGGCCAAATATCCAACATTTAATTCATTTCATCCTAAAAAAAAAAAAAAAAATTAAGTTCTAATGCATATAATTATTCAATTTGTCTGAAGGTTTAAACCAAATAAAACCACATTATTATTTTTAATTCTTAACAATATTTTGTTGTATATAAAAATTATATAATTTATTTAAATATTTAAAAGCATAACATTTTCTAAATCAATAATATAATTAATAACCATTTAAATAATGAAAAAAAAAAATAAGGTAGGTACTATTATTGTTATTAAATTGGTTGTATCTATGATAATTATTATTAATATAACCAAACTATGTTATAACAACTAGTCATATTTTAAAACAACTTTATGTAGGTACTACTATCAGTTAAATAAAAATACGATTAAAATAAAGGTACAACCTAGCCTAATAAGATATGCAATAAAATTGCTTATAATGATTAATATTGATAAAAGGTACAAAATAGTCAAATATGTATATTTAATATAGTATTAAGTTTTATCAAAAACCTTTAACCTTTACTATTAAGTAGGTAGATACATACTTGAATATAATAATTGATAAGTATATACCTACAAGACTAATATTTAAAACAACAATTTAAAAAAAATTATTTAGGTATATATAATAATAGGTAACAATACCAAATACTTTAAATACACATCATTGTATAAAAACCACCTGTTTGATACTTAATGATTTATATTAGACTATTAAAAGTAGAATAGTTTAATGTTTTTTTTTTTAGATAAAACAAACCCATCAGTTTTACTTTAAAAACACAAATTGATAAGATTTGTACAGGTAGCACATAATTATTATTAAGGTTAACTTCAACTATATATTTTATATTAGTTATAAATCTTAGCACGAATACAACTTTTTTTTAAAAAACATTGTATTTTTACAAGTTATATTAGAAAAATTAGATTATTTAACTACACAATTTTAATAATAGGTAACTACTAAGTTTGGTTAATAGTTTTATGATCTTATAAAATACTTTAACAAGCAGTGTTAATTTTGAAAATTACTAAAATTAGGAAGAATAATGGATAACTTTTAGAATGCTCTTAACTCACATATTATTATATTGCTTTGAATTTTTAAATACTACTATCACCATGGTCTATGATTCATCAAAAACCAGTGACGTATTTTTACTGTTTATTATTGAACTAATAGTTTTAAAATAACTACTACATTAAATTACTGACTGTTAATGCATCACTTTAAAGTAATATGTAATTTGATTGGAGGGTGCACAAAACGTAAACTCATAAGGCCAATTTATAATATATACTTTATCATGTTAGTTAAATATTTAGAATAATATTAAAAAATCTAGATACTTTTTGCCATTATTAATAAATTATTATTGTATTTCAGTATTAAGTCTGACATAAAAAATCTACGAATAAAAGTCCAGTAAATATTTATTTTTATATATTACACACCAAATACACAGTATAAATGCAATAAAAAGTACAATACAAATTAAAAATATGTATCCTTAGCCTATAACCTTGGTCATGTCTTAATATTATTTCTTACTTGAATTAAAACTATTTAATACTTCACTTAGAGTTATTAATACATTCGCATAACGTTTTTAAAAATTATTTTTAATATTTTATTGTTCGTACTTAATGCTATTTTTGTCCTATCTGCTCCTACCTCAAGTTTGGTTTATCAAATTAGCACCCATATTATTGGACATCTGTCATACAAAATGTGTAAAGCGATTTACAGAATGGTTTACTACATTTAAGGGGGTCTGTATTTGAAAACTATTCCCCTAGGGTATATCCCTGGTATATAATTTAATATGGTTAGATTTCTAATATTGAAAACTAATTAAAGATTAGAAGACCCAATTTAATAAAGTCACCTATTAAAAAAAAAAAATTCAGACTTTTTTTCATAATCCATAAATTATACACACAAATATATTTAATTGTGAAAACAGAAAAATTATAGGTACAATACTTTGAAAATTCTTAATATGGATTAGATACTATAATATCTACCCTTAAATTTTAAATTATTATAAATCTAAAAATAATTGTTATTTGACTTTGAAATATAATAAGTAGAGGTTACCTTTAAAATTAACCAAAAATCAGTGAAACTCATAAACCTGACAGAATTTGTCTTTAGTTAATCATTCCCCATAGTATTTATTGCAATTAATAAATTATGAACCCACCATCAATAATTTTTCCTCTCTCCCACTGTAAATACTAAAATCATGCTACTGTAGTAATCAGTTATTATACAGGTAAAAATCAAATTTTGAATATTTTATAATATTTATAAGTTATAAGCAATAACACAACTATACAAATTAAAATTTGACAAGATTAATTAAAAATATGTACAGAAATATAATATTGTATATATACCAAAATACATGTATGTGTATACATATATGTGAAAATACCCGATACAGAATTTTATATTCTATATTTTTATAATCTATAAAATGAATAAAATTGTAATGACTGTTTAGTTAACCAAGTTACTCAGTGGTAATACAAAAAATAGTAAAATAATACATAAAATCATAGAATCCAAACAAAATAAGGTAGCTAAATATTGTAAATATTAAAATAATTGGTAGTCAATGACTTGAGATGGTAATCATTAAGACACATTCCCATACCTACCATGATTATTGACATTTCATAATAGAGTTCATACAGAATACCAAATAAAATACAAATAATACAATAGAATATTGAATCTGCAAATTGTATGAAAAAATTATCAATAAGTATAAACATCAGGTTTGCAAAAACTAAAAACCTTTTAGAAAAACTTAAATGATGATTACGTTTACTAAGAATCTGTGCAAAAAGATTATCAAACAATAGACAACAGGCGGCACATGATTCTATCATTGTGTACGCAAGTTTCGAAACCAATAGTACTGAATTATGATAGTAATTATACTATTGGCGTTTTACATTTGTCGGGAAACAATGACGGAAATTTGTTTTTTTTTTCATATACTTTAATACCATCGTCTTGTTGCAAAATCCGGATGATAGTGAAGGTTGTGCCCTAATACACACGGCCAACGTAAATAGTAACACACGTCGACACATATTTTAATAAATGAAATGTTACCTACCTTTTCGATACGTCCGCGTCCATTTCGAGTCAGTCGCCACCGTGTTGCCAGAAAAAAAAACAAAACAGATTTAAGAAAAATTATTTTCCAATTTATTGGTATAGTTCATTTTTGTTTGTTTTTTTATTTTGTTCACCACAAACAAAATAACATTTCAAGAGAACAAAAAAAAAAAAAACAACACTCGCAGACGCACGACTGTTGTGGGGGGATCGGGTGAAGGCACCGTAACAGTGTACTATGCCTATGCGTATTGGGAAACGCCATTTTGCGTAGTACCATATGGACATACGAATACTACGAACCCAGTGTCGCCAACAACGATACATCCATTTTTTTACTGATAATGACAAATAATTTATGTTCATATATTAGTATAATACTTATCTGTCACATATTATCACAGATCCTTTCCGCCAAACGTTTTCTTATCATCAACGATCAATTTGAAAAGATTAGTACACAGAAAAGGAATGTATATTATTCAATATAATGGAATACCTATATAATTTAGTAGTTTACCTTAAGTCCTAATATTTTACAAGTGTATTCTAGTCCTATTCCATTTTCCGCAGATTATTAAAACTCACTATTGTAAGTACATGAAATAGTATTTCATTAAAGTGTTTATGCTTTAAAAATTCTAGTATAAATTTGTTTTAAATTCACAAGAGTAAATCCTTAAAAGAGGTAGGTATATAATCAGATAGTCAAATAACATGTACATTGTTCAATAATCAAATAATTGGTTCAAAAGTACCTTTTTTGAGTAGCTAGTTGGGATATTTTTGTAACTAATTCACATTTGTCAAGTATTTTTTTTTCTATTATTCATTAATTAAATTTAAAAAAAATTATTAATATTTATTAGACTTATTTGTTGTAATATAGCCGTATTTGTTCAAATACAGGTATATATTATACAATTATTAATTTGCATAATGAACCATGATAATTAATGTATATTAATCTATAGGCATAACGTAATGAAATATAGTGGCTTATCAAACATTTTAATAAAGTACTTACTGAATACTTGGTAAGAGGAAATAGAGTTCTGTTGTAAATTAATACATATTACATACATTTAAAAATTATAATCAATCTCATGAAAAAATAAAAAACATAAATAAAACAAATAATAATTATTTTAGGTATCTATATAATATTTTAAGTGAAAAAAAAAGATATACATAAGTGATTGGGTATATTACTATTCAAAATTCTACAACTTTGGTTGTTTTTTATTTTGAGTATGAAAAAAAAATTTATATTAATTAGTTTAACAAAAAAAGGCAATGTTTTTTAATTCGCTTACAGGTTTATTATGTTTTAAATAAGTATTAATTTACTAAAGTTTTTTTCCCCTCAATTTGAATACTCAGTTGGTACTTATAGCAAATACATACATTATAAATTCAATTGTATTTTATATACTTATATAGATTATGAAGCCAGTTTTTCATACTTGTATTGAAAATTTAAAGAAAAAATTGATTATTAATGATCAATTATACAGATTTGATAAGGAACGAAATGAACTTTTACAAATAGTTAAAAGAACTACGGATTTCGGAGAAAGTGACTCTGTAATTATAATTGGACCCAATAAATCTGGAAAATCAACGGTATTATCTATATGACTATAAGCACTAAACTTAACTATTATTACAATGTACATAACCAAGTTGACAAATTTACATTTTATATTTCACAGTTAGTAGATTCAGTGATAAAGACTCTATTACCAGATTCATATACAGTTGTGTCATTGAATGGTCTTATTCATACAGATGATAATTTAGCACTCAAAAGTATTATACAACAACTACAAATGGAAAATTTAGAAGGAGCTTTGGTTGATGGATCCTTTGCTGGTGTGTGTGTTTCAAATTTAATCTGTTGAAACAATGTGATCAACGTAATATAAAATACTCATTATCTCAGAAATAATTAACTTCCTATGGAATTCGTTTTTTTGAACATTTAATAAACAAGCAACTCTAAAATGTTACAAATATTAAATAAGTTTTTACTTTCCGAGATATTAAGTGTCTTAAATTATGATATTAATCATCTTATATAATTTTATAAATCTAATATACAATCAACTGAAACTTTAAATAATTTTAAATTCAAACAATAATTTTTAATTTAATCAATATTAAATTTTGTAACTTACAGGAGTTCTAGTAACTTTAATTGAGTTACATTAATTATAAATATATGATTATTAATAAAATTGTTTATGTTCTCTATCTTTCACTGTTCAATCATGATTTAATAATCTCTTTTTTAAAAATTATAAAACATACTTTTAGATTCTGAGTTAAGTGAGGGATGTATTGATTTTACTATGATGTTCATTATACATTTTTTTTATCTGTGAACAATTTTAATACCATACATTTTGCTCCAATTTTCAAGCGTTGTACCTCTTCTAAAAGAAAATATTTGTGGGTTGGTACTCTAGGGATGCTTTTTTTTGATTTTGTCAAAAGTTTTTATAATAAATGTACAAATTTACAAAATGTATTATTTTATGATCATAAATATTACGGCTTTTCAAAACATCTATAACCAAACTCTGCTCAGAAACATTTTTTATTAGTAATGACTAATTGTTGCATACAGATATACATTTTTCACTTACAACAGATGCTCATCTATCGTGCGACTATTTTTGTTATAGTATTGTTATTATTCTATATTTAATTGTTTTCTCTTTTGCTATAGAATATTAAAACACTGATGGACACTACATTTGTTTACAAAACCATTCAAAAAATGTCACTTTCATTACTGCTCTAATTTATTGACAAAAAAAAAAAGATAAAAAATAACAACAAGCTAAAATAAAGTGCCCATTGGTCTATTGAAATGTATTGGGTTAGAATAGCATTCTTTTTCGTAAGATACCATTGAACATATTTCTGCTACAGCAGTAATGACAATTTTTGGATGGTTTTTATATTACTACTATAGCAGAATTATTGGCCTACTGTCCATTGACATGTTACATTGTAATTATAAATTATTATTTTATTTTATTTTTATTGTACCACTTCAGGTTGAGGCCCAAAAACATAAAGTGATAGATTTTAAAATAGATTTATTATTTAATTATTATTTATTGTTTTTACTTTTGTATTAGTTGCACTAATATTAATCAGTTATTATATTTAGATAACCTACATTTTTTGTTGGAGAGTTTTCGTGCTGGAAACAGAACAGCTTCAAAGTCAATTATTATTATTTTGGATAAATTTGATATGTTTTCATCTCATTCTAAACAAACGTTGCTGTATAATGTATTTGATGCTGTTCAATCTCAACAGGTACATATTTAAATTATTTAAAAATTTAATTCTATTTAATTTATTTCTATTATAGACTCCATTATGTATTATTGGTTTGACGTCACGTATTGATGTTGTTGAATTGCTAGAAAAACGTGTAAAATCTAGATTTTCACATAATTGTATTATGTTGAAACCACCAACTGAATCTAATGAACTTTTAGAAAGATTGAAATGTTTACTTACAATTGATAAAGATTGTAAAGTGAAGTCAAATATTAGTAAAAAATGGAACACAAATGTGGAATTATTGATAGCAGATTCACAAACACAGGAATTAGCTGAAAAACTTTTGAAACTAAGCAACAATAGTACAAAGTTAAATATGCTTATTGTTAGTAATTTATAATCATGATTTATTTGAAATAACTCTGTATTAAATGAAAATATTAAAAACAATTTACAGTTCATGGCACTTTCAAATTTATCAGAAGGTGAAATGTTAGCAGTTAAAGATTTAACTGATAGCTACAATGCATTGTATGAAAGAGATATGATTCTTGTACATTTACTAGGTAAGAACTATAATTTATCGCAAATTTTAAATATACTACACTTATTTATATTGTGTTTATTATTAATTAATAATAATAATATTTTTGTTTTTTGTTTATCTAGGATTATCAGTTTTAGAACTTTGTTTGATGATTTCAATTTGCCATCATTCAGAAATCTACGACCAAGAGCCATTTAATTTTGAAATGATTTATGCTCGTTATTGTAAATTTGCATCACAAAACTCCACATTACTTATAACTAAAAGACAAGTTGTTATAAAAGCATTTGAAAGAATATCGGTTAGTGTCGTAATTAGGGCTGTGAATATAATGTAGAAAATTCTTTTTTTTTTTTTCAATTCTTAGATTAGTTAAATGACTTTGATGGCTCTCCACTTGTCTCTATCCATCACAACTATTTTCAGTTCCTTGTAATTGGTTTTCCCTATATCTTGTATGATCTGTTTCATAAATGGTATTCTTGCAAATTCTCATGAAACTAATTTTTATACCAAAGAGTTGGAGGAAAATCCATAGTGTTATAATAATTATACTATTATATTACTTAAATTATTTAAGTTAATTTATATTCATAATACGTATTATGTTATAGTCTGGAAATTCATTTAAATTTGATAAAATCTTCCGTTTTCTATAAGTAAAGCATTAGCATCCTTATTTTTTTCTTATAAATAATTTTTTATTTTTAAATTACACATATTTATAATTTTTTTCTTTTGCAAAAAATTTTGTTTTAGAATATAGGTTACTATTAGTTTGAGTTAAATAATTATAGTAGTTGATATAAATTCTCTATTTTTCTAATTTTTGTTAATGTCAATCATTGATAATCTTAAGCCAAATTCATAAAATTTATTTTGTCTGCTTTTGATTGTAATTTTACAGCTATTAATTAGATGATTTTCCAAGTATTTTTGAATGTTTATAATATGCATTCTCTACAAAACAATTTCTATATACTATTAATAAAATATTTACCATTATTTTGATACAGTCCTCATTTTTCTGATCTGGTATTCTAATTATTTGAATACTTTAATGATAAGTTCTTCTTCTGTTGTGTTTATCTTCTGTTGATCTTTTTAGATAATTTGTTTTTTCTTTTATTTCCTATAACAAATTAACTATAATTCAAATTTGTACTTTGAAATCATCAAATTGAGTGCTCATAAATTGTTTTTATAAGGTCTAGTAGCTATTTGTTTGAATCAATATTACCTTCTTCCATAATTTTAGTATTTTTTGTAACTACTGGTGTAATATAGCATGCAATCCCAAGATTGCTTTCTAGAGATATTTAATTTTCTAAAACACTCTTCTCTAATGCCCATGCAAGAAAAATAAAAAAATACATTACATTTTAAGCAATTAGTTTTGTTACCGCTAAAAATGTTCTCATTCTATAATAATATTATATTAAAATGAGTAATTTCAGATAAGCAACTAGTTCTAAAATTAACGTGATCTGTGCTGATCTATTTCTTGAATGTTATAAACTGTTAATATTTAAACATTTTTTATTTTTTTATTAAGATTATCTTTCAAAGGGATGTTTATTTAAAGAAAAATTAAATCTGTATTATTACCTCTTAATCACAATTAAAAAAATTAACTGTTTGTTCACTTTTCAAAATTTTAAAAATAGCAGATTTATAATAGATATTTTTCTAAAAAGGTTTTTAAGGGAACAACTGTTAAATTTGTTATATCCTGAGTTGATTGTAGTGTTAATAATATCCTGAAAACATTGTGTAAAGGTCTATGTATATAATACATATTACTTAAAATATCATTTTGAATAAGAAAAAATATTATTTTTATTTTTGCCATTTTAAAATAATTATTATAAATTATACTTTATTGAAATTATGAGAATTTATTAAAGAAGAAATAAGTATCTTGAAACTTAAACTATCAATAAAATATGTTAAAATTAAATCCTTGAAATATGGTTTGAAAATATTACTAAGAACCTAATTGCTTGTTTTGCAATTTAATAATAACAAAAATAAATGTAGCTATTAAAAATTCACAGCCTAAGTCAAAGTTTTTTCTTTATTATGCTATTCATTAATTAACAATTCAATTGTTTTTTTTAAAATCAATCTAGATTATGCAATTGATACTACCTGTAGCAGTTGCTGAAAATAAAAATGTTTTAAGAGAATATCGGCTGTATAAATGTTCCATCAGCTTGGATAAAGTAAGAACAGCTTCAAATACCTATTATAGATTGCCTCCAATTATATTACAGTGGATAGATAGTAATATTATTTAATTTAGTTAACAAGGCTTATTTATTTTAATATTTAATATAAAATGTACGTAAATAAAAGGTTTGGTGGTTCAATAAAGCACTGATATACCTAACTACTTATATGTTTTTTTTTTTTTAGATTCCCACAAAAATATATACCCATTGTAATATCTACGGAGAGGTAATACAAATAATCAAATTCTGTTTTTTTTTTTTTTATATTACTAAATGGGATAAGGATTACAAATATTTATATTGCAATTATTCTTTTATGTTTTAGTAAAAAAAATTGAAAAAATAACTTTTTATTTTATTATTTTTGAAAAATTTGAAGATAGCCATTATATAGAAATTTTCTTCTGAAAATTTTGACTTTTTTATTTTTAATTTTCATTTGATTTGTGATTTTTTTTTAAACAAAATTTAAAGTTGTGTGTAAAATCAACTAATTGTAATAATAATAATCAATTAGATAATGTGATTACAGCTCGCTGCACAATTATTGGTATTTTTCTCTGAACTTAAAAACATTATTAAAAATCGATAAGTCGAAAATTTTCAGAAAAAGAAACTATATAATGTCTTCAAATTTTTCAAAAATAATAAAATAAAGTTATTTTTCTAAGTTTTATATCAAAGCTTAACAAATTAATTTCAATATAAATATTTGTAGTCCTTACCCCTGTGAGTAATATAAAAAAATTATTTTAGATATCACGATGGGTATATCTTTGTGAGACACCCTCATATTGAAACCTTACATAGTGAAACCGTATCTTATATTTTTGTCATGAATCATTAGATGTTCATCTAAACGTTCAGAAGATTGAACATTATGGAAGTTAAATTAATAATTTGTGGTTAATAAGAATGCTAGTTTTTATGTTGTAATTTTTGTGTATTTTAAATAAAGTTAAAAACAGTTTATTAAATAAGGGCAATAAATTTAATACATATAGAACATTAAACTTTTAATCATTTAAAAACAATTAATATTAATTGTATATTAATATAATGTAATATAAATTACATACAATTTCAAATTTAAAATCAAACAAGAATAAATATTTATTTAGTAATGTGTAACTTAATATAATAGTACCAATAAAAACTACGAAAATTCTGATAAAATATTAAAACAATAGTATAGTTAAATGACAAAATACAATTATTAATAACAAAGTGAATAAATTAAAAACAAATAATTCCGGTAGATAAATCTAATGCTATTTTTATCATTTGCACTAATGAAATTAATAAACTGATAACAAATTCGAAAGAAATCATACCTAAAGTCCAAAAGAAAATATTATTCAAATCTGATTACAAAATAGAGGTTCTACATTTTCATCCATTCAGAAAATTACATAAACAAGATAATACAATTTGTCCATTAATTAACTTTAAAACAACTCCAGCTTATAACCTAACTAAATATTTAGATTCTCTCATAAAAGAAAATTTAAACATTCATACTGATACTTCTATAAAAAAAACACTTATGATTTTATTAAAATAATTAATATTGAGCAAGGTTACAAAATGATTTCTGTTGGCATCAAAAATGTGTATACTTCCATACTTAAACAGGAAACAGTAAATTCTATGTTTGGTAAATTTTAGATTGTGAGTGGAGCGAAGAAGTTTATGGTTTTACAAAGACGTTTTTTTCCGGTTTTTATTAATTATAAAAAAAACTACTTGGGATATCAAAAAATGATTTTCTTACTTACCAGTGATATCAAAAATGCAACAAAAAAGGTCCCTTGTAATTTTTTTATTGGAGCAATTGTCTTGTTGCTATTGGAATTAATAATAACAGCATCTAAAGGACATTTCAATAAAATAGCCTTAGCCGATAAACAACGTTTAGATCACTACACAATCAGCGAATATTGATTCATTAAAATATAATAAAATATTTCTCAAGTATTTGTAATAACTACTAAGGTATCAAATTATAATTGTTTTTATTTTATAGTGGTCTGTTGTAAAATTTTCTATACAATTTATTCTATTTAATTGTCAAATTTTTAACTTTTTTAATAATAAATAATAAATGGCAACATTTCCCTAAAAATTGTATGGAATTATGTTGTTTTCTTAGGTCGTTTTGACAATCCATTGTTCGATCAAAATTTCAAAATCGTACGGAATTGTGTTCCCAAAAGGGTAATATGTACGGAATCGTGCTTTACCGCCAACTATATTCATTAGCAAAATCAAGATTTTATTCTATTATATACCTACTTAGTAGTTTTAGTATTAAGTAGGTACCTTTTTAAAATGTTTAACTTATATAATAATAATATTAATTAATGAACGATGGCCATATAATAAAAACATTTTATTTCAATTTTCAAATGATCATATTTGTATTTGATGAAATTATTTATTAATTCTGATGTTTAAACTATAATTTACCAAAGGAGCCATGAATAGGTTTAAAATTTACGAAATGTATTATTTTCAAAACGTAAAAATATTACGGCCTTTCAAAACATGTAATATAAATATGACACTTTATTAATGACAAAAATTATTCTATGACGTGATAATTACGATTAATGACATTGTCGTATGGGGGGATAGACCTCATTTGTCGTATTTGTATAATATATTGCTGTTTTATACAAATTTTCAAATTCATAATGAAATTAAAAAATGTTAAATGTTCAATTGTATTAGTATTTTGTATATAGGTATCAAAATAAAAATAAATTATTGTAAATAGTATAGTAAAATTAGGTTGAAACCGAAACATCCAAAAAAAAAAAAAGTTTTACCTTGCGGCGTATTGTTGTATACCGTCCTCGTAGTAAGTAGTAAAAAGTTGCAAGACCTGTAGCGTCAGGTTTTGGCGGGTGAGAGTGTGAAGAGGGGTAAAATCGTATGTTTCAACTATTTTTCACAATTATCTCAAGAACTCAAGGTTTAGGGCAAATCTCTTGATGTACAAAACTAATCTATATACATTTGTACACAGAAATGGTCCTATGCAGTTTTGTGTTTTAGACAAGGGCTACGGAGATAGGCAAGGAGTAAAAATTACATTATTTGAAAAAGTAAGAATTACGCTATAATTCCATTATTTTCTATCATAGACGGGGCATATTTTATTATACAAAGTACGTGGTACTAGTATAGTGCACTTCGGCGATAGTAAAAATTCATATGTTATAATAGAAACAGAAATTCCCGGAATTATTGCGAATTGTTTTAATATTGATATAAGGTACGTTTTCCCTTGCGTGATCGACGAACGTAATCGAGGAACTGAGATCGCGGTCGCGGTGTCTTGGTTTATTCTAGACGATTCTACGTTGCCATCCAGAGATTTATATAATTTATACTTCATAATGAAATATAAATATATTATATTATAAATAATTTAACATTCAGTCGTACTCAATACTTTGAACGACCGATGTCAATGTGGACTTCCCCATTGCTCAATTATAATTAAATAGTTAAAATAATAATTACAGATTACTAGATTTAAATTTAAATTTCAGTTTATAATTAAACATTATTTATTATTTTCAAAACTACTAGTTCGCGCACCGAACAAATTTACATTGCCGACCGCGATCGCACAAGGAAAACCAAGTATATTTAATTTACATTGTATCGGCATTCGCACGATCGGGGCACGCGATCTTAGATCGCGGGTCTCGTTCGCGATCTCGCTAGAGAAAACGTACCTATAAATAGACTTATTACCATCTGTAATAACGTAACAAATACACGAAATTTAAAGCCATAATTTTACCCATGTTATTATATACACATTGTATTATTATATAAAATCCGGTACACTTATCAAAGTACCCACGCCTGTGAACTACGAATCAGTGTAACTTTTTTTCGAAGACTGATGAATGATGATGATAAAGTGTCTACATATCTCGTAGAAATCATAAAATTGAATGGTTACCTATTAAAAACGTGTTTATACAGTTTATACTAATTTTACTAAACTAAAAATAATATAATTGTAGTTAACTGTAATTTGTAATATAGAAGAACTATATATTGAAATGTGACGAATTATTAAATGTAGGTAAGCAGGGGGAGGGGGGTACCGGAGCGAAATCCCCATTAGTAACCACGGCCTATGATATATCTCATTAGGTTAGGGCACTATAGATAATAATATAGTGTTTTTCTTAAGGTTTATCTTAATTCGGGGTAGTGCTGTATACCATAGTTTAAATATATACTAGTATATATTTTAATCGATACTTATACTCTGTTCGAAATAATTGTGCGCCGGGTGGCGAACGAAAATCGAACAAACTCGAGCATGAGTCCCAACTACAGGCAATTTTTTGCGTTACTGTACGTTCCGGCTGCGACGGTAGACAAACAAACACAATTAAAACATTGCTGAGGTGTCCGTACGTTGTTTCACGGCTCATGTGTATGCCACAAAATTTGGAACTTTAGGGGCTTATCACTAGTTTTGTAGGAGCAATTAGGAGGGGGGATGCTAGGGTGTTTTTAGTACCTCCAAAAATACTCAACAAGCTTCTTTTATATCATCGGCTAACTATTTTAACTATGTATTTCGTAATTAGTAAGCAGAACAAAATTACAGATTATCTATACAGACATTGCATACGTGTGTATAAAAAATAAAGTTAAACAAATTATGATACATTTTTATATCGAACATTTTAAATGATATGTGCGGTGCTTATTATAAATGTGTGTAAAGGGAATTGGGAGGGCTTTGCTCCATGGGTCTGTGTGTGTCTATAATTTTAGCATCCCCAAAATTGGTGGTCTAGTTGTGCCTGTGTCTAGTTCTAGGGAAAAAATATTGAAATGAGTGATTTTTCAAAAAAAAAAAAAAAAAAAAAAACTTTTTAATAAATATAATATTTATGGTTTGTAGAAAGTTACATCGACTAACTAGTCAGTAAAAAGTCAATTTTCGAGTGTTATTTTGTACACATCACGGACGTATATTGCTTGTTGTGTCGAAATATTTTTTTCGTTTCAACGTGAGACGAATTTTCGTATTGTTTATTACTCCATAATGTAAAATGTTGCCAATTTCACCCAAGATATAATGCACCTGGTTACTTAAGTACACG